AATAGAATATAATATATCTTTCATCACATTAATCATGATATAATTGAAAATGTGACATTAAATACACCAATGTCATACAAGTTCATACATATATATATTATCTACTATGTCAAAGGTCTTTGAGAGTTTAGTCTATGAATCTTTTTTCAAAAATCTGGGATGTCGTATTAGCTGGCAGCAGCATGGTTTTTCGTCTCATAGATCTACTGTCACAAATCTATTCTTATATGCCACCGATTTAATAGAGAAAGTTGATAACAAACTACAAGTAGATGCTATTTACACTGATTCCTCTAAGGCCTTTGACAAAGTAAATCACGCACTACTTATCAACAAACTGAAAACATTTGGTATTAATGAAACATTGTTGGACTGGTGTGCATCATACCTTCAAGGTAGATCTTCGTCCGTAGTGATAGATAGCTACTCTTCGCAGCCATATATTGCCTTTTTTTAACGTTGGGAAATGCATTTACGCACGAGGTGTGATTTTGAAAATGATATAATTTCAAAAAAGGAATTTACTAAATGAGCTGATAATCCATACTAATATTATAAATGTGAAAGTGTGTTTGTTTGTTTGTCCTTCTTTCACGTCGAAACGGAGTGACGGATTGGCGTGATTTTTTGTGTGAAGATAGTTGGAGGGTTGGAGAGTGACATAGGCTACAATTTACCGCGGGAGATTATCTAATTTCCACGGGAAGACACGTTATAAATTATAATACAATCCAAACAAATATTTATGATCAGAATTACTTAAAACTTGGTAGATATTAATTAAATCTATACATATCATAAAATTGTAACTAAGTCGAATCTGTACATTAAATATTTTTTGGAAAATCTAATTGAAATAGACATTATTATCGATACAGAATCCGAATCTATAGTTTTTAGAATTTTTGTCTGTCTGTCTGTCTGTCTGTCTGTCTGTCCGTCCGTCCGTCCGTCCGTCCGTCCGTCCGTCCGTCCGTCCGTCCGTCCGTCCGTCCGTCCGTCCGTCTGTCTGTCTGTCTGTCTGTATGTTACCGCATCACGAGAAAACCATTGGACAGATTTTGATAAAATTTGGTATGATGATAGCTGGTTATTCGGGTCAACATATAGGATATTTATAGGACTTTTTACCGCGGTAAAATATCTCATTTGTGAGAAAAAGTACAAAACTGCATTGTAAGAGTATACTAATATGTAAAACCTAAGAGTTTGGTTTTTGGTCATCTGATTGCGGGCGGAGCCGCGGGCAATGCTAGTTCTTCAATAAAATTAAATCAACACGTGTTTTAGCATTTTTCGAAATTTATCCTATAAGGGGGTAAAATAGGGGATGAAAGTTAAAGCTACCTTTTTAGAGAGATTTTTTTAATTTTAGCTTGAGCGAAGCCGCGTATTTTGCTAGTTATTAATAAATATATTAGTAGTTAATAATAAATATATACAGTCGAATTGAGACCTACTTCCTTATTTAGAAGTCGGTTAAAAATCTGTTGTCGAGCCGAGTCGAGTACCTAATATGATATTTACGAAAATAAAATGGATAGGTTTATTTCCACTGATTGCACGATGAACTAACATATCACATAGATGAATTTTAAAAACAAGTGCGAAACTGACAAGCCCGGTGAAGGTTTGGTAGCATCAAACATGTAGTTTCAATTTAAATATGTACATTGTACGCAATTTGTTATGTTACAAATAAAATAAAATATAGCCATTAAAAATTATTCAATTTTATGACATAATAAAACTTTATAGTTAGTACTTCTATGTAAACTGTAAACAATATTAATTTTGCGACGAACGTGTGAAACTGTAAATATCCCGTATCTTAAAAACTATTTAACGAATTAACACCATTAGTCACAAAGTAAAATGACGAAATTATAAACGTACCTGTTTTGCCCTTTGTCTACGGAACCGTAAAAAAGTATTCGTAAAGTATATAAATATAACATCAATCGCATTTTATTTTTTATGGGAACTGAGATGTAGTTTAGAATAAACTATTTTTGCTATTTCGCGATGGAAGTTGGCAACACCGTACTACGTTTGATGCATATAAAAACTTACAGTTAGTATATAACAATGAGGGATACAAGAGAGCTCTTGGATTGAATAAAAGTTGGCATTATACCTAGTACTCTTTGGTTGGCAATATGTTTAAATCTAAAAAATCACGTTAAAGAAATTTATAATACGTACATAATTCTTATATTAGCTATATAGTTATATATACCTATTATATACATTTTTGTATAAAACATAATATTTATTACGTATTAAATAATATTTATTTGAATTTTAATAACTTAGCTAAGATATTTATTTTTATAATGTGCATTCTTTCATAGTCTGACGAAAATTCAAATACTATAACAAAATAAACATAATTAGCACACTATTGTCATGAGCTATATTGTTAATAAAAATAATGTTTCCAAATGTTTCTGTTTCCATGGTCATTTTAATTACTATTAATAACATGAGTGACTGACTATAAGACTCGAACTACCAACGCAGTATCTATTTATTTCCTTCATGTGTTATTTACAGTTTAATATACCTATAACTTTTTTTCCAATAAATATTTTGCTTGCCGTATATATTTTAAAGTTATTTAATATTTAATTATCTTTGTCCGAGTCAAGTGTTTGTAGTTGTATCTACGAGTAATAGGAATGATGCTATCAAAGTTGTTAAAATTGTGTAGCGTTGAATGATGATAATGAACAAATATACACACATATATATTATTGTCACTCAACAAAGTTGCATACAGTACACGGATGACCATATAATTATTCAATACTAGCAAAACCCGCGGCTTCGCTCGCGCTAAAACTACAGAAAAACTATAAAAGTAGGTTTCATACAAACTTTCATACCCTATTTAACCCTCTTATGGGATGAATTTCGAAAAATGCTAAAACACGCATATATTTTATTGTATTGAAGAGCATTGATACCAAATTTTAAGTAATTCTGATCATAAATATTTTTTTTGGGTTGTATTATGTGTTTTTCCGTGGGAATGAGATTATCTCCCGCGGTAAAAAATAGCCTATGTCACTCTCCAACCCTCCAACTATCTTCGTACAAAAAATCACATTAATCCGTCACTCCTTTTCGACGTGAAAGAAAGACAAACAAACAAGCAAACATACTTTCACGTTTATAATATTAGCATGGATGTCACTTACTATATTACATAAGAAACTAACAATGCCCAATAAACAGATCGTGGCTAGAACAGAAATACAATTTATAGCAATATAATTTACGAAGAAACCGTTAAAACTCTCAGGGTGGTAAGGTATTTGAAATGAGGTATTACTACGCTAATATAAGGTCTTTATCTATCGTTTATTATACAGAAAGTTAGTCATTTTTTTATAAATATTTTTTATTTCTATCAATCATAATATGCACCCATGCTATCGATGCACCTCTGCTAGCGCAGTGATTATTTTTTAATGTCTTTCTTGATGAAGCCTGGTTAGGGACCCAACAAACTCTTCAAAGACGTTTTGTACTGCTTCTCGGGTATTGCATTTTTCCCTGCCAAGAAGTTGTCCAAATTTTGGAAAAAAAAGGAGTCTGTCGGCGCAAGGTCTAGTGAGTACGGTGGATGACGCAAAACTTCCAACCCTAATTCTTGTAGCTTAGAGACCGTCTGTTGTGCCGTATGAGGTCGAGCGTTGTCGTGTAGGAGCAGCGGGGACGAGCGATTCATTAAAGCTGGCCGGAGATTTGCGAGGTTCTCCATCATTGTGTCCAGTTCCTCACAGTACACATCCGTAGTAATGCTGGTGTCATTTGGTAAGAACCTGTGATGAATTATATCGGCACTAGACCACCAAACAGTGACCATAACTTTTTTAGGACAAAGATTTCGTTTGGGACATTGCCTAGCTGCTGAACCAGGGTCTAACCAAGTAAGTAGTAGCAAGTGACTACTATCAGTTTTAATTTTTCCAGACGGTTATTTAATATTAGATTGTTCAATATGGTTTTTTCTGCTGTTTCTTTTTTCCCTGAAGCGATTTTCCTTGTATTTTTTGGACTCCATACGCTCTTAAAATATTTATCTTTAGCAGGTTTGTTACCTATAACTTGTAATACTTAATGAGTTTGGTCTTTTTGGTTTTCTTGTTGGAAATCTCAGTTTGTTTGGTTTTTAGATTACATTTAGAGATTAAATCTAATTATTTTTTTGTTATTTTGAAAACGGCTTTTTAATCAATTTTATATTAAAGCAGATAAAGTAGCTTTTATGCATTACGAAAAGAAATGATTAAATATGCCGTGTTATTTGCAGTAAGTGGGCAGGTGCATAGGTTGGTTTATATATGCATCAAATAGACTGCGTCGAAGCCCAAAAGAGCGTTATGTGTTTGACCTTTATGTATGTCCAACCCTATGTTCCCTCGTAATTGCTAAAGGGCGCAACCGATTTTGATGATTAATACGTCATTAGATTCGCCTTGATAACGTGAGTGTCATAGAGGGGTATATACAAATCATTGAAAATCAAAATGGAGGATCCTAGGCGCCAATTTGTCTTGAAAAAAATAATTGTCCGAATCAATCGAGTGGCATATCAAAATACAGATTTTTAAGAAGCGATTACATAAACATATGCAATTTACATGTTTAAAAATCATTTAGGATCAGAATTTGTTACATAAAACTAAAAATGTCTAACTGACCAAAATTAAAAAGCTGTAAGTATAAAAATAATTCACAAAAATAAAAAAAACCCCGACGGTGTAAAAAGCGAACTAAAAGATGAGAATAGGTTGACGAAAAAATATAGTATTAGTGTGTGGACTGTAGGATGAATGTTACGACTTACGAATATGATTACTCAGTAAATTTACATTATTTCCAAGTATTTTTAAATAAAGAATAACATACAAGACTATTAATAATCTAAAAGAAATCAAGCTTATGATAAATTATATGCTTCATTGGTTGTTTTTATTCTGTTGTTGCAGGTCGAGCTTTCCTCTTTTTAGAAAAGGCTATAAAGAAGGGTTTACATTAGAAGATTTATGGCAAACTCGCGGCGGAGATCAGTCTGGACGTCTTGGAGATCGCCTAGAACAAGCGTGGGAAAAGGAAGTAGAAAAATGTCGCAAAACAAAAAATAAACCTTCTCTATCTAGAGCAATAATAAGCTGCTTTTGGTTCGAGTACATGATGTGCGGCTTCTTAGCAGGCATACTTTTTATTGTCGTGTGGTAAGATATTTATAAACATTTGTAATGTGTATTTAGTAGAAATGCCGCGAAAATATTTAAATTTATAGTAGATTTTTTCTTTAAACTACTTACTTTGCTTAAGCAAGACATATACCTTTTGAAAAATTAAAAAAGAAAGCAAAGTTACGTAAATAATTGAACACGTTACTCAATACTTTGTAATGACTACGATCAGATACGTTGTTATATCATAAAATATCCAATATAATACTAATTCAGAATATTTATTTTAGGCCACTCGTTCCTTTTACTTTAGCTTTATTTATAGAATATTTTGCGGGAGATAAAACGCCAGATACGTATAAGAAAGCACATATTTATAATTTTGCTATGAATGTTTCTACAATATTAACTGCCTTGATGATGAACCATCTACAGCTACTTCAGGGTTGTTCTGGAATGAGAGTGAGAATAGCGGCATGTTCTGTTTTATTTAGAAAGGTAGGACACGGAATCGCACTTATACATATAAGTTATTTTATCTTCGATCGCTTATATATCGAATAAATGTAAATGCATGATATGATCGTCATTATTATAGTACATTGCATTTATTTATTGCTAACACATTCTTATAATATTTTTTTTCGATGAAACTTGTCTAACTTGCTTTATTATTATTTTTTATTATTTAAACGATACAGTTGATTAAGTCAATTATAAAAACAATTAATTATAACTTTGAAGGTCAGCTATCAAATTATAGTTTTTTTTTATAATTTTTTGTAATAATAATTTATTCCTTTTTTTAAAGATATTGAAACTGAACCGGATCGGTTTGAGTAAAACAGAATCAGGGCAGGTCATTAATTTGATGTCTAACGATGTTAATCGTTTTGATATAGCAGCTTTATACCTTAATTACATTTGGGTTATGCCGATCGTCGTGCCTGTTGTCTCATATCTAGTCTGGCAGCATATTGGTTGGGCAACACTTGCTGCTCTCGCCGTGATCTTCATACAAACAGTTATCGTGCAAGGTAAACTTTAGTTCGAATCGCAAAACCTAATTTTAATTCTAAAAAGATAGAATTAAAATGAAATTGATACAGGAAATCCGTCCGTAAGGGACTAAATATTATCTTAATGACATCCAACTTATAAAGCACTAGCGGCTCACCCTCGCTTCGCTCGGATTCATCGCTAGGTACGATTTAAATAGAAATAAATAGTTATTAGCCAGCGTTAGCCATATACATTTTAATTAATTTTTTCATTTTTTTCTTTCATAAGAACCTTCTCCTGACAATAACAAATACAACAATAAAAATATACGCTAAGAATGTCTTAGGTCTACCTGTCATTTTGTAAATCTTTTCCACATACCCACCATTTTAAAGATACATAGCTCTTAAACGAGTGAACCGATTTGGATGCGGTTTTATTATTTAAAAGCTAGTTTCTTGGCGACGGTTCTTAGACATGTTTTATCATAATCGATTCAGCCGTTTTAGTGTAAGGAGTTTTTCAAATTTTAATTAAAATTTGATTATCAGGGCACTGCTGCTAGTATTATAATTTATTGTTTTTATTATAAATTTAAATGAATTGCGTTTATAAACTTTACATTTGCATAAACATAGTACGTATTGCTTCATAAAGAATTATTATGTACTAGCATTGCCCGCGGCTCCGCCCGCGTTCAGATGACCAAAAACTAAATTCTTAGGTGTTACATATTAGTATACTCTTACATTGCAGTTTTTGTATTTTTCCTCAGAAATAAGATATTTTCCCGCGGTAAAAAGTATCCTAGGATCGCGCGCTACATCGCCCGGTTTATATAGCTTGAGCAGGCGGTCGAGCGATGCGGGGCAGAGGGGATGGACTCGCCGTAGGCATCTCAATGCTCGCCAAGCATTAAAAATGTTTCGCTACTAATTACTTCTAACAACGATATCTCAAAAACTATTCATCTGATTGATTTAGTGTAAAGAGCAATTTTAATCTGCATTAAATGACTAAGCTAACTAAAATATTCATTTGGATAAGGATTAATACCGAACTAAAGAAAATAACTTTGAAAATAACGTAATGTTTTTAATTAAAAATGTTAACATAAAAGTGGTTATTGTAAGTCAACCGTAAGAGATAGAGATATGCTATCGCGGACTTTTTTGTAGCATTTTTATAGATTTTGAATTCTCTAGTACATTACTTAACTGTATCTTTGCTAGTTTACGCGGCGTTCGCGTGGAAAGTTCCCATTTGGCGAGATTTTTTGCGACCTCTTCAACATTTGTCGCCGTATTTCAGCTAATTTACATAAAAGCATAATAAATTATATACCTAAACCTTCCTCAAGAATTACTCTTTCTATTGTTGAAAACCGTATAAAAATCCGTTCAGTAGTTTTCGAGTTTATCGCGTACAGACAGACAGGAGGACAGACAGGAGGACAGAAAGACGCGGCCGGGGGACTTATTTTTATAATAAGTATAGATTATCAGTGCATATTTGTATTATAACAATAAGTTGGTAGTTGAGATGTTTTAGAAATTGTATCGGACATGACATTTTTATAACTTTATACCATTGTTATTACGACATTGTATTATTCTAGTTTTTGCCCGCGACGCTGCTCGTGTAATTTATAAATAAATGCTCCAAATCTTCAAGTTCGTAGCATAATTATATTAAATAGTCAATATTATTACTAAATATATAGCCTAACTGGCGTTTTAACGTTTTTTAGTTACGTTATAGGTAACGTATAGTATAGATTTCTTAGAGATGAGATATTTTCCCGTGTTAAAATTTCCTATATGTTGACCCGGATAGCCAGCTATCATCTTACCAAATTACATCCAAATCTGTCCAGTGGTTTTCTCGTGATGCGGTAACAGACAGACAGACAAAATTCTAAAAACTATAGATTCGGCCTCTATCGATAATAATGATTATTTCAATAAGATTATTTAATAATAATAAAAAATATTTAATGTACAGATTCGACTCAGAATTCTATATGTATACATGCAAATAGAATATTTTAAATGAATGGTAGCTATCTCTACAGCTTTATTTATTAGTATAGACTGATTTTTAAATACATGTAACTAAAAAATAATCACTGTTAAGAGAATCACATTATAAAGGATCTATGTAGCAAAATCATTACTTGTGTTCAATTTCATTGCTCTACATTGCATCGTACTCGCGTCACATTTTACATTACACCCAGTTAAATAATAATTATAAAACCCGTGCAAATCCAGTTTTGGTTTGGCATGACCCAAGCTAACATTTATGTATCCTTTTTAATTAAACTACTGAAAAATGAAGCAAGATAGAATATTATAAATATTATGTAATAAGTGGAATAGTAATTTATCAATGAAAATGTCACCTTCGAGCCCGAAACGTATCTGTAGTATTTTTAATGAAGGTCAAATGTTCACCTTTATTCATTACAGCATATTTAAGCAATCTTCAAGGTTCTCTGAGAGGAAAAATAGCAAAACGTACAGACGAAAGGGTAAAAGTAATGAGTGAATTAGTTAATGGTGTGCAAGTTATAAAAATGTATGCCTGGGAAAAACCTTTCGAGAAACTGGTAGACAAACTACGCAAGTAAGTAAATTTCCTAAATTTATAATATATTAGCGACTCACCCTCGCTTCGCTCGGGTTCGTCCCTAGCATGCTTCCCAATACAAACTTTCATCCTCATTTTTATACCCTTAAGGAATAATTTAAAGGGATAAAAAGTATCCTATGTCCTTCCCAGGGTCTCAAACTATCTTTTTACCAAATTTCATCTAAATCCGTTCAGTAGATCCAGAGATTACCCCCTACAACGTCACAAACTCACAATCTCACAAACTTTACCTCTTTATAATATTGGTATAGATAATACTAAATAAAACTATGTTTTCGGATTTTTTCGTGGTTGCCGGATTTATTTTGATTTTTGGTTTCCTGTCGTTTCGAGTGCTTTACAGCAATCATGGTTACGGGAGAGGCTATAAGGTTCTCCCGAAACGTCGGGAAGCAAAAGTCAAAATATATCCGCGATAAAATCCGAAAAGATATTCATATTTAAAAAATACAACAGTGTATAAATACACTCGTGAGCAAAAAAATCGACTCAGACGACACATCTGTAGACGCAAGTCACTGGAAAAAAAACTGAAAGCAAATATATTTTTTTCATAGTAAAATCTTAAAGCTGCTAGTATTAGCTTCAAAATGATATAAAATATTGTAAGGTTTATTGCTCACACAACCCAACAATATGTTGTGATCAGTAACCACCCTTTTTACGCTTGTTTACAATAGTGCTAATTAAGGGTTACTGACCCATATAAAAGGTTATCTACTTGACCCACCCTTATCAGTTAGCCGTCAAACGTCAACCGATACACATCTCCGTTATCAACAATCAAGAATTCTACCTGAAAATGGACACAACAAGCGATTTAGCAGCTCAAGCGATCACCCTATTGCGACAAGGCCAGAGTCAGCGTGAAGTGGCACGTGCACTGAACATGAGCCAGTCTGCTGTTTCTAAAGTTTACCGTCGTTACCAGGAGACTGGTGGCTTTAATCGAAGACGCGATTCCGGTAGAAAAAGGTGCACATCAGAGAGAGATGACGGATTTATTGTCAGCACATCGTTAAGAAATCGGGCCCTCACTGGCGTTCAAGTCCAACAAGAGCTCAGAGAAACGCGAGGAGTAGCTGTGAGTGGCTGGACAATCAGAAGACGACTTAAGGCAGCTAGGCTTGAGCCAAAAAGGCCAGCTACTGGCCCCAAATTAACCCCAGACCACCGAGCAGCCCGCCTACGTTTTGCTAGAGAACATGTTGATGGACTAACGAACAATGGAGCACCGTTCTCTTCTCAGACGAAAGTAGAGTGTGCTTGCATGGTAGTGATAGAAGAGGACGAGTCTACAGAAGACCTGGGGAAAGATTCGCGCAGTGCTGTATCAAAGAAAATGTTGCTTTTGGAGGATGTTCCTGGATGGTGTGGGCCGGCATTTCAAGCGAGGCAAAAACCGAGTTGGTTTTTATTGAAACTGGCGGTCGAATGGGAGGATTGACGGTGATCCGATACATCGAAGAGATTTTAGAGGATCACGTCGTTTCCTACGCCGGTTTCATTGGCGAAAACTTCGTCCTAACGCACGGCAATGCCCGTCCACGTACTGCAAGTTCCGTCCGGCAGTATTTACAGGAGGTCGCAATTGCCGCTATGGACTGGCCAGCGCGTAGCCCGGACTTAAATCCTATCGAGCATTTGTGGGATGATCTTAAAAGAAAAGTTCGGGCTAGAAATCCTGCACCAGACACGATGGCGGACCTCAAAGCAGCGCTAATCGACGAATGGAATAGCATCGAATAAGATCGAGTAAGGAAACTTATTCGATCCATGAAAAAGCGATTGGAAGCTGTTATTAGGGCCAGGGGGGGCAACACTAAATATAAAAAAAAATTAATTAAATTATTGTTTTGACGAATTTTACGTGGTATTTTCTTTACCGTCAACCATCACTTTTTTTATTGCTTAAGACTCCATCTCATTCAATATTTTTTCTTTACCAGAAAACATTTTTTAATAACAACATAGACCACTCATTTTAAAGCTAAAACAAAGAACTTTGAGATGTTAAAATCAGAAATATAATAAAAGCTTCCGATTTTTTGCTAGAGCTTTTTAACCGCAAGCGTGCGTCCTGAGTCGATTTTTTTGCTCACGAGAGTATAATTTATTTATAGTATATTTATTTTATGTTTGATAATTTTTAACGTTATGTGAATTTTCAGGTACGAAGTGAAATTTATTTTGAGAACGTCTTTTATCAAAGGATTTTCCACTGCACTCAGTGTGTTTACAGAGCGGTTCATATTGTTTGCTGCAGTGACCACTTTTGTACTGTTAGGAGGAGATATTCACGCAGGGATCACTTTCTCATTAGTACAATACTATAATCTTCTTCAGTTAGCTTGCAATATCTTCTTTCCGATGGCATTGGCATCCCTCGCTGAATCCAAAGTGTCCGTTAGGCGTCTTGAGGTAACTTAAAGAACATGTTGAAATAAAGTTTTTTATTTAAAATAAACATTTCATTTGTACAATAACAGATTTTTATAAGATAATAAAAATATTGAGTGAGTATATATATTACATAATATAAAGTAAAATAAGAAATTAAATGTTATTTATTTCTTTAACATTACATACTTGTTTTTTAGAATACGTAAGTATAGTTATTTTGTCTCATTTTGTATTTATTTTTTAATTTTTATTTATTACATCTATATTTCCTTTGAACTAATTAATTCGAAAGTAATTTTTTTTTCAAATTGATAAAGAAACAGGTTTCTCAAAAACCTTTTAAGACTGGTAAAACGTTGAAATAATACTTTCATGAACGAGTATTGCCGACTGTGGATAATTTTATTCTTTTTAAGTATTTATATTGAATAAATAAATTCAATTTTGAACTATAAATACCTATACTTATGCTATAAAAATAATAATATAAGAATATATTTATTTTATATTATGAAAATAGAATCATTCATGTTTAAAATTGCTTTTGTATTTTATCTCGTGATTATTTAACTATTAATTTTTACCTAAAACTTCGAACATATTTCTTTTTAGGAATTTTTATCCCTAGAGGAGCTGGAACCAGAAGATTTTAAGACCAACGGTATTAGCGTGAATGGTATAACCAACGGTGTAGATAAACATAAAGAAAGTGTAAAATCGTCAGGTTTGATATTGACAAATGTGACAGCTAGTTGGCAAACAAAGCCTATTGTTCCTACTATAAGAAATATATCTCTAAACGTCCGTCCTGGGGAGTTTATTGGAGTCACTGGCCTGGTTGGAGCAGGGAAGGTAAGCAATCCTTTTTATGTTATAATCATTTGCAAAACTCATTAAATAACTAGAACTCTAAACTACCTTATGCATATAATTTGCCTCGTTAATTTATTTGCAAGCCAGTATGACTGGTAAAGCAGTGGTAGCCCATTGGAAACGCGCTCGCTTGGGAGTGAAGCGGGTTCAAATCTCGGGTCTCGCACCTCTGATAGTTTCATGTTCGAATCATTTCCAACATTATTATCACTTGTCTTACGATGAAGGAAAACATCGCGAGGAAACCTCCATGTCCGAGAGAATCCACTCCACTCTCCACTAGTTAGTAATCGAGTACTAAAAGGTAAAAAATAACTAAACGGGGTTTTCATTTAGAATAGATACCTAATCAGATATTTTCGAAGTCGGTGCCAGCCGACGCATAGGAAATCTAATATATTTTGATACGTAAAATACATATTTACCTATTAGATATCCATATCTTAAAATATTGTGAAAGGAGTAGAGAGACTTGTATTTGTGCACACAAAATAAAATCTAAAGACAAACACTATGTTTAGTTTAATTATTTTTACTCCAAGAGTGTATAGCGATTTCACCAAGGTAACTTGGTAATTACTGTACAATTACATAGATTATATGTTTATTACTTGATCCTTAAGGATCACTTTAAATTGTAGAATGAGGAATGCTAAACTTATATATATTATATAAAGAGTAATAATATAAGATATTAATACGCAATGGAAAATAATATATTTATTAAGACTTTTATTTTTATTATTGGCTGAAACACACGATCCAATGTTGTTGAAGTTGTGCGTGAACATAAAAATATCTTTTCGCCCCTCACGTTCAACATTGGCCTACTCTCTGTTTTTATTTCGGACTAGCGAATCTTCCTCGCTTCACTCGAGTTCTTCCCTAGGTTGCTTCACCATACAAACTTTCACCACCATTTTCACTGCCTTTAAGGGATGATTTGCGGTATAAAAAGTCCTTCCCAGGGTCTTAAACTATCTTCTTACATCTAAATCGGTTCAGTAGTTTCGGAGCGTATTCGATACAAAAAAAAAACAAACAAAAAAACAAGTTTTTCCGCTTTATAATATAAGAATAGATAGGTATTTACATATGTCGTAATCAAATCAATTATATAATTCGATTAACCATTAATCAAAAATGGTAAAACTTTTTTTCATCTAAAGCTCACGAGAATATAAATTTGCACGTCATAGCTGGGTTTTGTTGGATATATTCGGTGGGATTTCTCGGCCAATGTACTCGTATTTAAGAGTGGTTTGGTTTCATTCAGTTATAATTCGACTGAAGAAACAAAATAAAAAACATAACCACTACAAAATATTACCAGGCTAATTAATTACTCTTATATAACACTCACGTTATCTAACGACATGGCGCGACGTATGTATTATCAAAAATGAGTTATCCGTTTAGTAAACACATAACCCTCCTTTGGGATTCGCCGCAGTTGGGTAAAACAAGACCTATTTTTATAATCGCGATCAAGTATTACAACAAAAACGCAGATACATCAAGGTTCTTATACGATTATGCAAAACTTGAATATCTATACATACATAGATAAACTGTTGATTATTTTTATTTTATCTTAAATAATTTTGACGATCAATAAAATATGCAAAATAATAATTATAATATCAATTGAGAAGAATAAGTAATATCAATTATAATTTCAATACCAAAAATAGACAGCTCCTTTTTCTGTAAATAATATTTATTAATGATATAAAGTCATAGTTATATGTCTATCTTTGTTTAATTGTACTCGTCCTCTGTCGGACGATAGGTAGATTTTATTCTATTGACTTCTTTTTTGCTTTAAGTCATTAACGTAATTTGTTTTCTAACACATTTACCTACTAACAAGCAGTTGCCTGGGACTATGTACGCGTGATTTAACAAAAATATACTTATTTAAATTTATTATGATCCAGTTAAATAAAATGTGTGTGTTGTATGAACTCTGAAAAAAAATATAATAGGCTTATACTCGTATTGAAATTAAACTTCTTTAGAATCGTTGTGATTTGAAATTTGATGATACGTAATTGCAACTCTAAAAAGAGACAAACACAAATAATATTTACAATTATTATGTAGGATTAAGGCAGCGAGAGAATAAGATAGAATACATTGCCATGTTGCCATGGAAACTGTTCTTATTTGAGGTAGAATACATTACACAGGAAGTGAAAAATAATAAAATTAATCTCTGAATAATATGTAATGTATGTTTATGTCAAATAAAATATAAAATAACTTTTAAACTTCTAATTTTTTTTTAAATATTATAAAAAAATAAACCCTATAATAATTATTCTACTCCTGATACTCTTTGCCTATTCATCTCATTCTCTTGTAGGTTACTTTTCTGAAGTTTCACTTCTACCATGTGTGTTTTAATTAAATATCTAAATACCTATTATGAAATCAATGCATTGACTGACCGGATTAATTACTAACGAATGGAGGGGAGGTACTGCAGTATCAACATCGATTTGTCAATGTCAATGTTTACCGACCACATTAAATGTTTTTACAAAATATTTAATGTAAACTAATGTCTTTTTTTATTTAAAACTAGCATTGCCCGCGGCTCCGCTCGCGTTTAGATGACCAAAAACCTTATTCTTAGGTTTTACATATTAGTACACTCTTACATTGCAGTTTTTGTATTTTTTGTCAGAAATGAGACATTTTCCCGCGGTAAAAAGTATCCTATATGTTTACCCGGATAACCAGCTATCACAATACCAAATTTCATCAAAATCCCTCCAGTGGTTTTTCTGTGATGCGGTAACAGACAGACAGACAAAAATTCTAAAAACTATAGATTCGGCCTCTGTATCGATAATCATGTTTATTTGAATAAGATTTTCCAAAAAATATTTAATGTACAGATTCGGCTTAGTTACAATTTTATTATATGTATAGATTAATGTTTGGGTATGCATAAAAATAAAAAAAAATGATTATTACAACAAATTCAGATTTAGAAGAGAAATGGGAAAAACCATGGACGAAGTGGTTAATTCGTTCATGGGAAAAACGTATACAAGATCGTTTGCAAAATTATTGATTAATTAAATTACTTATAATAATGTGTCTATTGATTTTCGTTGATGACATGGGAACCATGAGCATGGCCTTGGCGTGTGCGGAATAAACTAGAAGTTATTATATAACTAAGTACTTAGAACATACTAAATATATCATATCCAATTGCTTTAAAATTATTAATTTTCTATTTTAATGTTCTAGTTACATAATACTTTCGTAGATTTATTTAGAATTGTAGTTTCATGCTTGACATACAAAATTCGCAAAATTCTTTACGCTATTTCATCCATGAAAAAAATGTGTAATTAACAGAACAAATGAGCGTAACGTAAAAAATATTTCATTGCTAACAAACAGTTAGTGTTTGTTACTTAAATAAGTATAATATCGGTAATATCGGTATCGACTATCGCTTAACAATATTTTACTAACTACGTAACTTAACGCTTAGATATATGTACCTACTCGTTACTGTTTAGGTATTTTTTTTCTATATTTGCGATTTATTATTACTTGAATATGTAAATATAATACTTTCTTAGTTTTCCGCGAATGTTTGACATCTATATATATAAAAGAAAGTCGTGTTAGTTACTTCGCTTATAACTCAAGAACGGCTGAACCGATTTAGCTGAAAATTGGCAGGGAGGTAGTTTAGAGCCAGGAGAAGGACATAGGATACTTTTTATCCCGTTCGACCGCGTTCCAATTTTTATGATATTTTAATTTTTGGATTTCTCTTAGTCCGGAATAGGTAAGTATTAAAACATATAATTAAAATGTGAGAAAGAAAGATTTTTTTTTTTATATCTATTTAAAACGTACCTAGCGACGAACCCGAGCGAAGCGAGGGTGAGCCGCTAGTTATTAAATAAAACTATCTTTTCGGATTATTTCGCGGATTTATTTTGTTTTTTGGTTCCCGACGTTTCGAATGTCATTCGAATCTCTCTTCCGTGACCATGGATGCTGTAAAGCATTCGAAACGTCGGGAACCAAAAAACAAAATAAATCCGCGAAATAATCCGAAAAGATAGTTTTATTTAATAATGTAAATATAAGTATAATATGTACGTGAATACCGTAAGCCACTCTTTGTGGATTATTTTATGAATTTTATTTGGTTTAGTTAGAATGCAAATTTTTTATTTACTTAATCTATGATCCACAAGGATCAGTTTTAGGACCTTTACACTATATTACTTACGTCAACGATCTGAAAATGTTATAGAAAATTGTGAAATGTATCATTTTGCTGATGATACTTGTCTTGTGTCATCAAGCCGTGATATAGAAGGAGCACTTAGACCAGGCAGATTTCGACCCGCTTGCAAAATGGTCACATGGTATCGGTCCTATCATTAATGTCTTAAAAACTAAGTTTATGTACATAAGCTCAAATCACAATAGATACATAATACTTTCTTAGATTTACGCGAATACTTGACATTTTAAATAGAACTATCTTTTCGGATTTTTTCGCGATTTTTTTTTGATTTTTGAACTCAGAGTCTCTCCCGTGACCATGATTGCTGTAAAGCATTCAAAACGTCGGGAACCAAAAATCAAAATAAATTCGCGAACAAATCCGAAAAGATGGTTTTATTTACAATAGATACAATGGTACAATACATTATACAACTAACCGCTTACAATCACGATTGTTTAGACAACTAGGTATATAAGCTACGGCAGCCAATGCCCACTCGTAGAAATGGTACACAGGCAGCGATACTTCGGTCTAAACTATCGTTTAAATAGAAAGCTCATATAAATACTATTTGTGATAAATTACAAGCTTTGTTATCGTAGTTTAGTTTACTAAGGAATAAAATTTCTTTTCCCAATATTGCTCATGATGTATAGAACATTGGGTGTGTCAATAATTTCATACTGACTAAGCGGTTACGGTCTTACATATAAAATTCATATTGATCAAATATACAACAATTGTACCTAAAAAACTTAAACATTTGTAGAAAAATGACGATCATGGGTTATTTAGTAGTTATTGCAAAGTAATGCAATGATGTACCGACATAGAATTCGTTACTTGTTACTGAAAAAACAATATTTTAATACAAAACTACAAGAAATCAAATAGGTACAAAAAAACATTATCTAAGAAGCAATATAAATATTAAATTAGAAATGTCCAATTATATAAATAACTAGCATTCCCCGCGGCTCCGCCCGCGTTCAGATGACGAAAAACCAAATTCTTAGGTTTTACATATTAGTATACTCTTACATTGCAGTTCTTGTACTTTGTCTCAAAAAAGAGATATTTTCCCGCGGTAAAAAGTATCCTATATGTTGACCCGGATAACCGGCTATCACCATACCAAATATTATCAAAATCCCTCCAGTGGTTTTTCTGTGATGCGGTAACAGACAGACAGATAGACAGACCGACAGACAGACGGACAAAAATACTAAAAACTATAGATTCGGCGTCTGTATCGATAGTAATGTTTATTTCAATAAGATTTTCTAAAAAATATCTACTGTACAGATTCGGCTTAGTTACAATTTTATTATATGTACCTATAGATTATGGAAAACGGGTATTTGAATATGTAATCAATTCTTTAATTCATAACCTATCTAAAACTTTAAAAGATAATGTTAACGAAGAAAATATTAAATATATATTAAAAAACTATTATTTATAGCAGTCTGTATAGTACAGTTGTATTACTAACCGATTATACGCTATTACAGTGACGAGACACTGCCATCTTGAAACAATTTAATCAACGCAAGTTGGTGATATTCTTATATGATTTTAATAGATGCATGATTGTATGTATAATTAACTACCGCGTATGAATACGCAGTGCATGGGAAACTCATACATGGTTTTTGTTGCACTGTTTGTGTTTTATTTAGTGTGTTAATAAAAATTGTTAGATATGTTTAAATAACTACAATACATACATATAATACTTACAATTCAGTGGTAAAACGCTCGCATGCTAAACCGAGTGAAGCGGGTTCAAATCCCGGATCTCGCACCTCTGATATTTTCATGTGCGAATCATTTCCAATATGATTACCACTTGCCGTACGGTGAAGGAAAACTGTAAAACGTCGTGAGGAAACCTACATGTCTGAGAAAACCTAGCAAGTTTTTGAAAGACGTGTGAAGTCCGCCAACTCGCACTTGGCTAGCGTGGTGGACTATGGCCTGAACCCCCTCGTATTGAAGGGAGGACCGTGCCTGGCAGTGGGATGTTAAAAAGGGCTGAATACATAAAAATACTTACTGTCTATAAGGCTACTAAGATTTACACTAATCCTGTTTTTTTTTCATATGTAAATAAAAAGAAATTACATTAGTATATATACATACATTGTTGTATAATACAAGATAAGCTATTATTTGAAGATTAAGTTTATTCAATAAGCCTTTGAGAGATAAACGAAGTATAATTCTACTTAAGCTATTTAAATGGCCTCCATGTTTCATCTTACATTAAATATTTGTTGAGATTGTATTCATATTATCTTACGGAAACAGATAACGCACTAAGTAATATAAATTTATTTCATACTTTCCTCCGGTTTAGTTTTTTCGTACATTTAATATACCTCCATATTTAGCGAACTGTACCGATTTTAGACCCCTGAGCCAGTACTTGGCGCGACGCCAATTTTCGGTCAGAAATCCCGGCGCCTGTTGCCCACTACGCTATTTTGCAATCTTGAATTCTGCTTTTGCTTTTAAGGGTAAAAAACGGTTTTTCTCGATTTCCGGCAAAACTAAAAGTCCTATCGAAAAAAATCAAATGGCAAAGTTGTAGGTAATAAAAACATCTAAAACTTTTGTATTTACACTTTTTTCACATAACCTCAAAATTTATGTGAAAAATTCAAAAAACCAACTTTTTGGTTTTTTATTTTTATCTTTCACAATTTTTTTTTTAACGAAATTTAGTGAAAACTTGCCTTTTTATGTCCCAAATACGCTGTAATTTATTTGATTAAAAATATGTATTTTTTCACCTTATTTTGAATTAATATCGAAAAAACACCCTAATTTACAATTGAAAATTCACCCGTCAAAATATCAGCTTTTTTCAAAAAGTTGGTATGTTTTCTGTTCGTTGAAATGTCTACTTTCCGATGGTGAAAAAAAAAATATGTTACTATAGTATATCTTCTGAGAAAATGCAAAAAACAAAAAACCTTTATTATTTCATACACTTGCTTATCATCTGCCTTATTGCAGATGATACAAACAGATTCATCCATACTGATAATCTGAAAAGACAAAATCGAATTAATAATGCCATCACTATTTTATCGTGAGTATACCCCCATGAAAAAAAATACTTTAAAGAAATAAATGTCAAAATGTATAAAAAATATATTATAAATATATTAAAAATCTATACATATTTTTTATGTATAAATATTCCCCTCCTTTTCTAATGGGTTGCATCCTACTATTATTTTTTTTCACTTTTTATTATTTTTAAAGGCTTCTACCCTGGTCTATAAGGGATGAAGAAGAGCTAGTTTTACATAAACAATATTTTAAAAATGTATTTTTTATGAAAATAATTGTATGAGAAAACAACTGGTGTTTAATGTTATGATAAAAATCTGTATTAAATATTCTATATATTAGTTAATTTCATGCAAACAAGCCGTCAGATTTTTTCCTAATTAAACAGTTGAATATTGCGTGATGATAAATTAATTTATACAAACAAAAAATCAAATAATTCTTATATTTATATTTAACCTATTTAATTTCACATTTTTTACAACCTAACCTGAAAAGTCTTATCGTATTCATAAACCTAGCGCATTAAATGATCTGCTATAAATTACAATCTTTACATAGTATAAAATGAAGTTGCTTCCGCTGTCTGTTCGCTTAGATCTTTTAAACTACTCAACGGATTTTAATGTAGTTTTCATCAATAGATAGAGTGATTCAAGAGGAACGTTTATATGTATAATACATGCATATTATAGTATAGAAAAGCCGAGAAATACAAAGATTTGTATTTTAAACCTTAATTTTCTAACCGTTAAAACGTATGATATAATAGGGTTATAGGTTGAGTAAAGTGGGGTTAAAAGCTAAAACCTCTATTTCATATACACCTTCTTTTTCGACGCTTTATGAGCACACTAGTGGCTCATTATAAAATATCACTCTTTCTTATAAATATAATATACCTGAATATATATATATTTATATATATATACTCACCTACATGTCTCTAGCAGCAAAAAACATAGGAGTTTCATACTCTCATTTGCCTATGTACCTAATGTCCTTTTCTAAGATCCCATCTTCTATAGAGATACCAAAATTCATCGAAATTGGTTTAGCGTTTTAGGCGCCAAAACGTAACGGACAGGACAGAACAGTATGGATATGTTTATTACGCTACAAAATATTTTATCACTACAATAAACTTTGTTAAAAAATTACATTGACGGACTTTGAACATTATACTTACTCGTAGTCAGTTACTTATGACACATTAGACACTATAAAAATAACTTTCAAACCTTAAAAAGAAACACACACGAAGCTTCGTCTGTGTGTTACCCAGTCAAAAATGCATATAGACAGTTCTTTTTTTATTTAGATAAGGTGATCCCACCTTAAAGATTTTTAACTCGTAGCCAATTAAACTCTAACGCTATTGGCACGTTTAAACTTGGCCTTGTAGGCTATTATCATACCTACTTACATTTCTGTGCGTAGGTACGTATGGTATATAATTATTAGTAGTAGATTATGCCAAAATAATTCTAAATATTTGTAATGTCGTTTAAACAATAACTACCTGGGCTACCGAGCTTCGCTCGGAGTTTTTGGCCTAAAGTACAATTTTCTTCTTTTTTTTTAAACTGAATAAATATAAAAAATATTTATAAAACCTGGATAAATATAAAAAAAATATAATAAATAAAACCTGAATAAATAAAAAAAAACAAAATAATATATAAAACCTGAATAAATATAAAAAAAAAACAAAAGTAAAAACGAGATTCGAACCTGGACACCTGTGATTGTTGATGTTGCACCTTGGCCGCTTGACCACGATGCTTACACCAGAGCCGATCATATTTTGTATGGAATAATGCAAAAGAAAACTGCATAAAAACTCTAAAACGCGCATATCTTAGACATAAAACTAGTCTAGATCGATTTATCGCCCCCGAAACCCTCTGTGTATTAAATTTCTTGAAAATCGTTGGAGCCGTTTCCGAGATTCAGATTATATATTGAGATATATACAACAATTGCTCGTTTAAAGATATAGGATATAGTTATATTTAAAACTGTTACTTTGGTATACCAGGAGGCAGGAACTATGTTTCTTTCTACATGTGGCTTTAAATCGTTGCACAGATACTATTTTTTGATTGCCACTGATCATTATATAACAATTTCTTTATTACGTAAGATCTATAGACTATATTTTCTATCATCGTTTATTTAATTTTTTTTGTCCTGTAGTTTTTCCATGATATATAGACACACATTTTCAAAAATTCAGTCCAGATTTTTTATAAGCATTTTTTAACAGAAGTTATAATGTGAATACTGTTAATGTTTATCTCGGGAGTCCTTCCATATAACATCATTTCGCAATTTAACTGGCAACCTACGGTTTAGTCAGTGCTAGGTAGATAATCATAAAATTATTTACATATACATATCTTTTACACAGTCATCGCTGTTACAAGTAATTCTGGGAGAACTTCAGCCCTCACAAGGAAGCGTTTCTCTGGGCGGAGCACGCATATCATACGCAAGTCAAGAGCCCTGGCTTTTTGTAGCAAGTGTCCGACAAAACATTTTATTTGGTCTGCCTTATGATCGTTTGCGCTATAAGAAGGTAAGTATTTAATATCTTACACATATTATTATTATTTATTATTCCTTGTTCTGTATGGATATGATTATATACTTTTAGCCATTTTGTGAGCAATATCATTAATATGTCAACCCTTGACAAAGTTTCATATTTGAAAATAGAATTATTTTTTGATCCGCTAAAATCTGATTGTTCTATTATAGATGAGCACTTTTTTACATGAAGGAGCTCTTTAAAAAATATTGTACTTTTAATAAATTAATGACATATTCAAGGTGATGCAATCTACTGTTTAAGCATACCAAATTACTATTAGGTAAAACATATTACGTATATAAAACAATATTAGATTCCTTTAATTAATTGTTATTGATTGATTGATGTTTTAAGGGATAAATATTTTAATGCTATCTTTAAATACACAAAAAAAAATCATTATAATGAAACATTAGAATCTATTGGTGGGTATCTATAAGATTTTTGTCGTGGTTGTTTTGAAAGTAACCAAATCAGTTACTTACTTAAGAGTCGTCTGTTAATGCTATAATGTATAGTTGTAAAAGTTATATCTACACATATTATCTTATTTTTATTGTAAGATTAAAACATAATATTTAAAACATAAAAGTTTAAGACTGCATGTAATATACATTGTATAAATGTAACTATTTCTCAGAAAAGCAGAATCAATTACCTAATCATATATATAAAATAGTCCAATTGGAATCCGGTTTGGAAACAAAATATTGAAAACCTGAAGTTTTATGATTTTAAAATATTTTATTATAAAAAATATTAAAAACCGAGTTTTTTGTAAATATCTCGAAAACTTTAAGGTTATTGTAAAAAGTGTTACTTAAAATAGTTGTAGATTTTTACTAAAATATTTTTCAATAGAACGTCACAGTAAGCCGGAAATTGAAAAAAAAAAACATTTTTCGACGCTTTGCGTCTCCCCATTTTTCGGGGGTAGCTGGGCCATAGCTGATGTGGGGTATTTTATTTATTTATCGTATATATTTTTTTATTTATTTATCATATATACATTATTTTTATATCAGTTTACGAATTTCTATTCCTTATATACCTGCTAATATTTTAAAGTCATAAAACTTCAGTTTTTCAATATATTTTTTTCTCTTAAAAATAAACGGATTCCGATTGGTCTAAAAGACAATTTAATTTCTTGCGCGCTGTTTTTTTTATATTTCAAATATGCGTGTGAATTAGTAATATTCATTGTTATGCAAATAACAATATTTTCTAGTGACAATAACTTATATAATATTAATGAACGCAACACAAATTGGTAATTTTTGAAAAATATCATGTTATAATTACTTATATTATACAGATGTGAAAAAGCTAATAAGGTTATTTCTAGATATAATCAATGCTTAATCAATATTTTTATATTATATCGTACATCGCATATTTACGTTACTGTACTCATGGTTATGTCATGTCATGGACATGTCCTTTTAAGATATTTTCTCGCAATGAGGCCGTATAGTATAGTTTTATTCAATTTTTCCTGCTTTTATGACAAAATCTTTCTATATTTTAAAAATGACAAAAACGTAAAAGTGTTATCAAATAACACTCAACAAAAAATATATACTTTCATACTAGTAGATACGTTTGATTATATTTTTTACTAGCGAAAAATACTAATAGAAATCTATTAGTTCCCATGGGAACCGTTCATTTTTCCCGGATGAAAAGTAACCTGTTGTTTGACCGGCAATATAAGGTATCAGAATGTTAAATTTTACTAAATTAGGTGCATAAGTTGTATAAGTTATAATAGTTTTTTAACTATCCCACGGGAACCATTTAATTTTCCGGGATAAAAAATATCTAAGACGTTGTCCGGGGATATAAGGTACCACCATGCAAAGTTTAATTTAAATCGGTCCAATAGATTCGGAGATTAGCCCGTACAAACAAACAGACAGAGAGAAAAAATGAAAAAAATCTGGATTTGTTCTATTTGTCTTCTTACATCCCCCTGACTCGCGATGGCTTATCATTAGCGTATTTCATGTATAACTTTGGTGTTTCTATACCGATTTCTATGATTCTTTTTCATGGAATAGTTTATAATGTTAACTTTTTTAATTAGGGATGACTGAGAGTGTTATAAACGTAAAAATAGACAAATATAAATCAGAAAGCTTCGAACTGCTAAGCTATCGGGAGTTACACGTGTTATTGTGAGTCAACCATAAAAGATAGACATATGCTGTCGAGGGATATTTTTTATATAATTTTAAGGAGAACATTTCCGTCATACATGATTTCTGTGTAGCTTAACCATTAAGGTTGCACACGCGACGGAAGCTTAAAAAATGGAGTAACTTCTCCCGTTTTCCCAACATTTCCCTTCACTGCTCTGCTCCTATTGATTGTAGCGTGATGAAAACTATACCTTAACCAGCTCAGGAGTATGATAAATAATTGTACCAAGTTTCGTTAAAATCCGTCGAGTAGTTTTTGTTTCTATAACGGTTATACAGACAGACAGACAAAAATTTTACTGATTGCATTTTTGGCATCAGTATCGATCCCTAATCACCCCCTGATAGTTATTTTGGAAATATATTTCATGTACAGAATTGACCTCTCTACAGATTTATTATAAATATAGAAGATAATTGCAGAAACAAGTGCACATCGTTTATTATTATTCAAATTTTATACAGGTGGTAACAGCATGTGCTTTGATTCGTGATTTTGAACAACTACCAGCAGGGGATGCAACATTAGTAGGTGAACGTGGCATCAGTCTTAGCGGAGGTCAGCGTGCGCGCATCGGCCTAGCACGTGCCTGCTACAGAAATGTAAGTCTTAAAAAAATAAAAATAAAGTGTTTATAAAATTAAAAATAAATAGAGAGTTTGTTTGTTTTGTATAGGACTTTATAATACTTGATGAGTCCAACTCGGCTATTTTACATCTACACGTTAAACAATTCCACTATCTATCTACGTGGTGGTATCATATTCAGATCAGCTCAATGGTATCGAATTATTGATGGAATGCGATATGCGTAATGCCAATAGTCTCCAAGTGAAGTAGATGGCTAGTATGTCTACAAAAGATAACTAATAACGGTATTACCGTTGTACTCTGAACGGTATTACCGTTGTACTCTATACATATAATAAAATTGTAACTAAGTCGAATCTTTACATTAAATATTTTTTGAAAAATCTAATTGAAATAGACATTATTATCGATACAGAGTCCGAATCTATACTTTTCAGAAATTTTGTCTGTCTATCTGTCTGTCTGTCTGTCTGTCTGTCTTAACGCATCACGAGAAAACCACTGGACAGATTTTGATGAAATTTGGTATGATGATAGCTGGTTATCCGGGTCAACATATAGGATTCTTTTTACCGCGGGAAAATATCTCATTTCTGAGAAAAAATACAAAAACTGCATCAAAACCCCTCCTGTGGTTTTTCTGTGATGCGGTAACAGACAGACAGACAAAAATTCTAAAAACTATAGATTTGGCCTCTGTATCAATAATAATGTTTATTTCAATAAGATTTTCCAAAAAACATTTAATGTACAGATTCGCTTTGTTACAATTTTATTATATGTATAGACAAACAAACTTAAATATGATTTTCTGTTTTATATTCCTATAAATATGTTATTGATATAATATATAATATAATAAAAGGTACATACAATTAATTATTCTTTCACATTTTATTACACGCCATGGTAAATTTAAGTTTTTCTATTTTTTATCGATATCCAAAACAGTAGCAAAATGTCGCTGTCACTCAGTGACGTCAGCGTATGGGTGGCAAATTTTAATAAAACAGCCAAGAATTGGATCATTTTCATACATTTCTGTGAAAGTCGTAATCGAAGGGGCCTTTCCGCATGCGCTCTACGATTATTAGATCAGTCGAATAAGGATTTAACCTCGGCATTGAAATGAACTATAAAGCTGTATAATAATTACTTTTTTGTGCCATTTTATATGTTAGCTCAAAAGTCTCATAAATTTTTTTTATACCATACAATCACCCGTTGTTGAGATAGACCGTTAAGAACAAGAAGCGTTTAGCTGTATGTATAGTATATAGTAATATTTTAAAACTATGAAATTCAGTATATAATAGATACGTCATATAGAAATACTGAATAAATAAAATATTTGTTTTATAATTTCTACTAAAATAATATCAACGGAGCTGCAGGTGAAAGCTCGTATGATAATACAAGTCAAATAACAACAACGTAAAAGTGAAATTAGCGACGATTAATAAAATAAATAATACTCTTGTACTCTGTCCATATGATAGTATATTTAAACAAAACTATTTTCCAACAGGCGGACATCTATCTTCTAGACGATCCATTGTCTGCCGTAGACACCCATGTTGGCAAGCATTTGGTAGCAGAATGCGTCATGGGACTCCTTCGACATTCGACACGAATTCTTGTTACCCATCAACTGCATCATCTTAAATCTGCGGATAAGATTATCATATTACGAAATGTAAGCAAAATTAAGTACTTACTATTAATGTTATGTATATATACTTACTATTACTGTAATGTTTTGACGACACGTTTGGCTCAGTTTGTAGTAACCCTACTTGTTGTGCCAGCGGTCGCGGGTTCGAGCCCGCTGGGGGCATTGATTTGTGTGAAGACCACGAATGCTTGTACTCCAGTCGTGGGTGTTTATATTTATAATATGTATGTATTTAAAGTTATATGTATGTAGTGTATCAACTATCTGGTATCCATAACACAAGCCTCGTAGCATACCATGGAACTAGATGGTGCTGTGTATTATTGTCCCAACAAATTTATTGTTATCTCACATAGTTTTAGAGGACAAGGTCATAAAGCAGAATGTATCGCAGAATGTAAAATGTGAATAAAAACTAAACACGAGCAGTGAATGAGATAATGTTATCTTTTATAGGTTAATTCTTGCGGGTCATTTGTCATCACATTTATCTATGAACTAGCGACTCATTCTTGCTTCACTCCGGTGCGCCCCTAGATACATACGTCTTAAATATATTATAGTTATTATAAGCGTACTTTAGGAGATGAACACATGCTACATAAAATCTTACAAATATTTACACAAGCCTTCCTCGTTTGTCGCTCATTCTATTAGTGAAAACCGTATCAAAATCGATCTACTGTGTAGTTTAGAAGAAGTAAACGGAGAAACAGACAGACACCGACTTTGTTTTCTACTATGTAGGTATATTGTATACTGTATAGGTATAACTACATTTTGCATTTTCCCATGAAAATGAGAGATCTTGATGCACTATCATGTAATCATGAGGAATTTATTCTCTTTAAGATTCTTTAGATTATTGATTATTAGCTAAAAACTAAATGCCTTTTTTATCTTAATTTGTTAATAACAATTGCATTTCTACAACTCGTGCTAATGTCAGTGTAATAAATCCATAAAATGGCGGAAAACATAAGAAAAAGCATAAAAATATCGTAATTTAACTTTGTATGTTTTTTTAAATATTTTTGAACAAAATAGTTAATTTTATTTAACAGTTTTCTGTTATTTAAGTATAAATAGATGAAGTGCCAAAATTACATAATATGACATTATACCTTTAACAGTAACAACCTTTATGAGCTTGAAATAAAATCCCATAGTGATAATCAGTTGTTTTTTACGGAAAACTTCGCATTACGAGTACTAGCTATCTTTACCATTGCTATCGATACAAGTTACTACCTTGTAAGAAATCTTGAGCTCCTAAATAGTATAGAATAAATATAATTAAAAAGACTCGCATGCTTTGTTTTTATTTTTAATAATGAATATGGATTTATTTTCTGTAGCGCTGTTCTATATAATTTGCTTAGTATTTATAAAAATAAGATAAGTTTGCAGAAAGCTGGGTAATTGTCGTTAAGATAGGCCAATTTTAAATTTTTTTTTTATTATATTTGTCTTATTTTAGACACTAGCGGCTCACCCTTGCTTCGCTCGGGTTCGCCTTTAAACAAACAAAGACAAATCTATCTCACGGGAACCGTACATTTTTCCGGGAAAAAAAGTAGCATATTTGTTATTATGATGTATGAATTATTATTATTGTAAAGTTTCATTAAAATCCAATCAATCATTTTGGTGTACTAAGCTGTATAAGTTACTATAATTTTTTAACTATCCCACGGGAACTCTTTAATTTTCCGGGATGAAAAGTATCTAAGACGTTGACCGGGGATATAAGGTACCACCATGGAAAAATTCATTTAAATTGGTCCAACAGTTTCGGAGATTAGACAAACAGACAGAGAAACAAAAAAAACTAGATTTATTCTATTTCTCTTCTTACATCCCCCTGACTCGGTTTTTAGCATTTTTTTTCTATGTACAGACATTCGAACTCTACAGTTCTATTATAGTATAGATAATATAATCATTCATTTGTCTTAAGATGTGTCTAGGTTGTTTAGAGAAAGACTTATCTAGCTTTAACACGTTAGTATAATCTTATCACGCAGAGTTATCAGAGTCAACAACATTAGGTAATCTAGAAGTTTTCAAGTCGTATCATAAAACTAGATCTATACATAATATTTTTTTAAATATAAAAAATATATTTATATATATACATATATATAAAAGCTTAAATTAACAAATTAAATTAACAAATGGTAATAAATAAAATGTGGACCGCCTATTTGTTTTATTATTATTCGTTTTATAACAGTTTTTCTAAGGAACGGTAAACAGGGCAGTCATTGGCAGACATATAATTTCATACATTATTGATCTTAGTGGTATCTTTATTGGATATCTAGATAGGGGATTTATTGGAAAGTGATAGAGAAGATATCCTGAGAAAACACAACAGATAGTGAGGGACCGAAGTGTATGCGAATAAATATGATTGAATTACAATGGTTGTTGATATTCACACTGGAATTAGAGCGGAATGAAGCATTACAATAATAATAAATAAATAATAATATTAATACTTAAATATTCCCTCAACGACCGCGGACACGCCGGCGTTGCAGTTAACAATAGATTTCTTAGAAATTTAATTAATTTCTTAGAAATTTACCTATAGGTGATAAAATTTACCTAATTAGATACCCGCTTAAAATACATAATATCTAATATGTGCAATACTAAGTTCTGACTTCTCATAGGTTACTATTTCTTGGCATAACTACCACGCGACCATACGCTAATGTGAATTAGAATACATAAAAAATACGGGAAAACAAATCATGTACAATAAAACACGACTTTAAAGACAATGACTAAGCAACAGTAGGTATTTCTATTTTTACGTCAAATTAATATTAAATACTTATCTACCCTTATTTCCACCCTTCTCATAATTATTAGTATTGTTTTTTTTTAAACGCTCCCTAAATAATATAGTTTGATACTATATATGTAATAATTTGAAACAGGGTGAATTAGAGTTGCAAGGTAGCTTCGAGGAACTGTCAAAGACTCCGCTGTTCGAAGAATTACTGCAAGATGAGGAGCCACCAGAGCACACTGAAGAAGCTATTCAAATTCAGGCACAGAGACAACGTACTATATCAGTTCAGGTAAGCTATTTTGGTAAGTATGTTCTTATAAAGTAGAAAAATTATGTACCTATTCAAAAACATAATATAATAAATACTAGCATTGCCCGCGACTCCGCCCGCGTTCAGATGACCAAAAAGCAAATATTTAGGTTTTACATATTAGTATAGGTACTCTTACAATGCAGTTTTTGTATTTTTTCTCAGAAATGAGATATTTTCCCGCGGTAAAAAGTATCCTATATGTTGACCCGGATAACCAGTTATCACCATACCAAATTTCATCAAAATCCCTCCAGTGGTTTTTCTGTGATGCGGTAACAGACAGACAGACAAAAATTCTAAAAACTATAGATTCGGCCTCTGTATCGATAATAATGTCTATTTCAATAAGATTGTCCAAAAAATATTTAATGTACAGATTCGGCTCAGTTACAATTTTATTATATGTATAGATTATAATAGTTCCATTTGTAAACAATAATGGCAAAAAGACTCGCTTAAATCATGTACAATAATTATTATCTATTTAGCACACGGTAATTACAACGCAAGTCAATTTACACAAAACGGTAATGAATGTTGCACAAAAGTAAAACTATATACAATAAAATGCATTAGTTTAATATTTAAGTTTAATTGATAACTATGCTTTTGTCGGCTAAATAGGTATTCTTGAATGAAAATTATTGAATCTTTTTGAAATTGTATCTACTATATTGATGCACATGTAAAAGAAAGATTAAAACCATAATAAGCTTCCATATTCTATCTACTTCAAAAAGTTTTAAACACAGTTATATGATTATTTAATTACAGAAAACGTAAAAAAACATACATAGAGACGAACATAGGACCTCCTACTTTTTGGGAGTCGGTTAAAAATATCGGTTAAAAATATCGATATCGTATCGATATCGATCGATCGAAGAAGAAGTAATCTTGATTAATAATACAATAATAAATTAAACAATATCTAATCAGATTCATTGAACTGCTTCTGCTTCATTTACATCAAACTCATTAACATGTAATACTTCAATATTCTAGTAAAAATTCTTAATTAAAATAAATTAAAACAATGATAAGGATTAAAAAAAATCGAATAATTAAATTCAATAAATTAGTTATTGCTAACCAATTATTATCAAAAAACAAAAACTTTTTATTTTACTTTTAGGATTATTAATTTTACTTTTACAATTAATTCTAAGAATTTTACTTTTAACTTTGCGATGTACAATTACGATCTAATTAATATTTGTAAACATAATTAATTAATCTAATGGTAGCGCTGCTACATTACTATAGAAATAATACAATTTTCGTCTGTGAGTCGGTTAAGTTTTTAAATGCTATAGGATTCCTTTATCGTCAACATTTGAACTAGGCACTATCCATCTCCCATTATTAGGTTACATCGGTTTAAACTTTAAGGTTTATTGTTTAAGGTTAGGTTATAACTCAATATCATTGAGAAGAGTAAGGTTTGGTGTATTATTTGTATTTATTTATAACAAATATTATATAATTATAGTCAAGAATAAGTGTCAGCACGACAACGGAAGCGCAAGATGATGAAAACGACCCTCAGGAAACTGCTGAGCTTATGGAAAAAGGTAATTATATACATACATATGTATTAAAATATATAATTATAATTAATAAAATTAATTTATTTTAATCACAAATAGTCCTAGGAAGTCGTCAATTTTTACATTTATACTGAGTTAAGTATATTCAGTCGGTCTGTGAAGGAGCTACAAATAAAAAAAAACTAAAAAAAAATATTGTTAATCGCAAAAATATACCTATTTAAATGGTTATTAAATTAACACCTCCAGGTAAATTTCTCAGAAATTAATGAAATTTCTAAGAAATCTATTGTTAACTGTAACGCCGCGGGCTCGTCCGCGGTCGTTGAGAGATTAAGAAACTATCCTTTTTATATTTATTCTGACATCTACGGACTACGTTAGAGGTCGCGAGACATTCGTGCAGAACAAATATTTTTTAGTAGTGCAAATATTGTTGAATACGATATAATATGTACATTGTACATATCAGTCAGTGTTGTTCACCCATAGAAGTTTGTTATGAATTCAAATGGCAAAATAAAATAATAGGATCGACCATCTTTATATCATACTAGCAATTACCCTCTTGTATAATATATATCGTATGCGCAGTTGGTTTGATTTCCATAGCTTTAATATTTAAAACATAGTATGGTTTAAAAGGTAAAAGTGTGCATAGTTGTCCCCGAATTACTATATCTCCTGCACAGTTGCTTAATCTCAGTAAGATTAGACGCCATGGCCTAAATCGATCGAGAGGGTAGGACTTCATATCATTTTGCTAGAAGAACGTGAACAAAATAATATGATTTCGATCAAAAAAGACATCCAAAAGTCAGCAACGATATTTTTTCTTGCAGATGTCGATATATACGTCTGCCTGTCTCTCTTGTTAACTACTATAATTGTTTTTCGCATGACGGTGAATTAGGCATGCTTACACGAACGCATGTGTGGCGCTGTGCCTGGCATATTGACGTATGACAAAGCGCAACACGCCACACGTGCGCCAATTCTACGAGTCGCATTCGCAAACCGATTAACGGTGAATCCCAATAACCTATATACAATACATATACATAATATGTTATTTTTGTTGTGGTTCTAGTTACTAGAGATAAGAATTTGACATGAATCGTATGGAGCTTATATCAAATGTAATGTTTAGTAAGGTATTACATTTCTATCCACTACAGTGGGTAAGGAAAACCATATGTAGGGGGATAGGTTAGTGGAACCTCCGTCAGTAATAAGAAAAAAAAAACAATCGTTGACACTTAAGGTTCAATGTATAGTAAGTGTCAAATTAACGAGGTTATCAACTGTAGTACCTATTGTTGATCGAAGCTTATACGATTTTAATTAAAAAAAATTCAATTTCACATGCGAACTTTAAACATATTGCTAGTATTGATTGTAATACCACAAGATTCTTTGATGAAAAAATTAATATTATTTTGACTAAATAGTTGTGCATTTTTTCTGTTCATTTGAACATTTCATAACATTAAATAGATTATAAAACTAGTTTTATAGACAATGAAACTATTTTGTAATTATTTTTTATATTTTATAACGAAACTAGATACATTAAACTAGTTTCGCTATATAAATTCGGTTTTGCTTCCTATCACTTTCGCTTGCAGACATTACATTTGAATATATGGAATTAATTTCGCATCAGTATGTATCATTGAAATTAACTTCCTTTAAGCTAGTTTTATAGGTAATTGATTTCAAGTTTCATGTGTTATCATTTCATTATTTGCATATTAAAAGAATTTTAAAGTGTTTTATCTATACTAATATTATAAAGAGGTAAAGTTTGTGAGTTTGTGACGTTGTAGGGGGTAATCTCTGGATCTACTGAACCGATTTAGATGAAATTTAATAAGAAGATAGTTTGAGACCCTGGGAAGGACATAGGATCCTTTTTATCCCGGAAATCAGCACTTAAAGGGGTGAAAATCATGATGAAAGTTTGTATCGGGAATCAAGCTAGGAACAAACCTGAGCGAAACGAGGGTGAGTTGTGTAGTGTTAACTATAAGGATTACCACCATCATACATATAGTATATGACCAAAATATTTAAGAAAAGCAGACGAAAGTTTGCTAATAAATTCATTTAGGTACTGTGAAAAGAAGTACTCTATGAATTTTAATGATTTTATAGTTATAATAAAATATATGGATATGAAGCATGATAAGCACGACCATATATATATTCTTATCTCAAAACGAAACGCAGATTAGTCATTTTACGTATTATAACTATTATTTATATGATTTTATGTTACTTGTATTTTTTATATTACTCTAAAGCTAAATTATTAAGTCATATTTGACCCATTATTAATGTACTTTTTTCTCATAAATATCGAAGAGACAAAACTCCTGGTGAGGTTTAAAATGCGAAAAATAACTGGTTTGTTAAAATAATCTTAGAATTAAATTGCTCTACACAGTAGTTGATCCCTTAATCACGTAGTGTTTATCCTGTACTGATTGCAAACCTGCATATTTAATATAATTTATCGATCTCAGTAGTTGTACATATACGGTACCTATTTAGATATGTTTATTGGTATAAACGTGACCTAGTTTGAATGACACGATCTCGGTATAACAGCACTCTTGTGATATGATTGATAGATATAAAACATATTCGTACATAATACACATATAATACTAGCATTGCCCGCGGCTCCGCCCGCGTTCAGATGACCAAAAACCAAATTCTTAGGTTTTACATATTAGTATACTCTTACATTGCAGTTTTTGTATTTTTTTCTCAGAGATGAGATATTTTCCCGCGGTAAAAAGTATCCTTTATGTTGACCCGGATAACCAGCTATCATCATACCAAATTTCATCAAAATATGTCCAGGAGTTTTCTCATGATGCGATAACAGACAGACAGACAAAAATTTTAAAAACTATAGATTCGGACTCTGTATCGATAATAATGTCTATTTCAATTAGATTTTCCAAAAAATATTTAATGGACAGATTCGACTTAGTTATAATTTTATTATATGTATAGATAATAACATAAATTATAAAGTCAACTGCAGTCGAGTTTGGCTGTTTTTTAATTAAGTTAAGAATGAAGACAAATTTAAGTCAAAAGAGTTTAATTATTGTTTATCTATTCACCAGTCGAGTTTAAGTATGGCGAATTTAATTATTTTTAATTATTTATTTAATACTTAGATACTTTACGAACGTACGATGACTCGTATACAAAATGCTAAAACTTATATTCGTAAAGTACCTACCTATATTTTTCCCGACAGATCTACGAAACCAAAATTTTGGCAGAAGTCTAAAATTAAATAAAAACTAAACTCGATATAAAAAAGAGCTTTATTAACCCTTGATGTTGGGGATTTTGGACAACCTATTTTGTTAATTGAACAGTCTCCAAAGAATTAGAAGAGAGAAGAGATCATCAAAATAAATATATCAGAGTAGATATGGTTAACTTTTAAAGAATTCTTTTAAAAGCCATGGTTGTTTTTAAATTTTATTTGTTACTTTTTAAGATGACTTTTAAATTTAAGTATATTATACCTAATAGGTACTTATTACATCTACATTATATTACACACTAGCGACTCACCCTCGCTTCGCTCGGGTTTGTCCCTAGGTTGTTTCCCCATACAAACATTCGTCTCCATTTTCACCCCTTTAAGGGATGATTTCTGGGATAAAAAGTATCTTATGTCCTTTCCAGGGTCTCAAATTATCTTCTTACCAAATTTCATCTAAATCAGTTCAGTAGATCCAGAGATTACCCCCTACAATATTACAAACTCTAAACTCAAACTTTACCCCTTTATAATATTAGTATAGATTACTTGAGCATGAAAACTAAGCACTGACTTTCCTAAAAGACGATTACATAAGCACAGAATAAACTATTACATAACTAACATTATTTTTTGAGAAGTTGTATAATTTGCTAAATATTGTGGTAGTAGCAGTTACCATAATATTATTGCACGTCTACGTCTTGCGTTTATAAAAAGGTAACAAAATGAATACCTACTTTGTTCGAGTTTGGTAGCTGGTGGATTAATCAACAACCAGGTAGCCTATGTTCGGCTCCATGATATAATATGTGTTCTTTACAATTTTATCGAAATCGGTTCAGCGGTGTAAACGTTAATATAAAAAACACACAGAAATCAGAATATACTACCTACTTATCTAATAACAATGACCTAATGTTAAGTTTACCACTTACTTCAAATTATACAAATGATGACATATCACTGATCTTGTATTAAGGATAATGTTACAAAATTAACAATGTATGGCTACGAGCGATTAAAAACAAATTATTTTATCGTTATTTAGCCTCAATCATTTTATTGCAATAATGTAAAGGACTTGGTAATGAAAAAATTTCCTTCCGTAGGACGAGTGTCTGCGTCGGTGTACACAAAGTACTTCCGCGCCGGAGGAAGCTGGGCCGTCTTGTTCTTCACATTGGTATCCATTCTCCTCGCCCAAATTGTTACGTCTGCAGGCGATCTATGGCTCACTAAATGGTAATGATCTATTGCAATTTATGATTTATTAATTCGTATTTCCGTATTACCTAATTCTATACTAATATTATGAATGGGAAAGTTTGTGAGTATGTATAGATGTTTGTTACTCTTTCACGCCAGAACAGCTGAATGGATCTGGATGAAATTTGGCACGGAGATAGATTATAGTCTGGACTAACACATGGGCTACTTTTTACTACTACTTTTTATCCCGGAAAATGTACGGTTCCGATGGGATAAGTTCTTGTTTTGCTAGAGGCGAACCCAAGCGAAGCGAGGGTGAGCCGCTAGTTAGCTTATAAAACATCGATCCATTGATTTTTACACGGTCGCCTTGTCAATTAGTCCCCGAACCTTTAATTATTATCATTTAAAATATGTACGATTGTTATTTATTGAAGTTATACTTCTTTAGGCGCGTTACGGAAATAAATGATGAGAGTGATTTTTGTAGGATGCGACAGATTTAGACTACAGTATGAAGCGGGTCGTTAAATCTCCTTTTAGTATAGTTTGAAGTTATGTCTATATTTCAAGATATTATTTCAGTATTTCTATATACACAACACGTTTTTTATATCGATATCTATATAAAAAAATAGTTTCGCCTGTCCCAGTATCTGTCTGTAATCAAATCTTGCAAGTTAAATTTGACCCACTTTCCAGTGTCCGATTGAGCTGTTTGGCACATACGTTTGGTTCTCGTGACTGCTCGATTACCTAAATGTCGCCATTTTCAATACAATGGCAGACGTCACAAAATGGTGATTTATCATTTCCATTGTGTCCGTTATGATGTAGGTATCAAATGAAAGGGCTTGATGAGCGAAACCCAATTAGTAAAGTGACGTCATTGTAAATACATTATGCACCCCCATGTATGGATATCAAATAGGTTTACTAAGAAGAATACGAATAAATTAAAAACTAAAAAAATATATTTAAAAAAACAAAAAAACAAGCTTTTTTTTCAATGCTTAACTATAACTTTTTACATGCCTACATAAGTACATACACACTTCTTTTTAATTAAACTTGTTTTTAAACTTTTAATTAAAAGTAAGTTAAAAAACAAAAACTTTTCAGGATGAACACTATAGAAGATAGAAATATTAAAATGTATGCTTTGTTGAAAACCGCGAATAACGATTTAGACTTTACATTAGCAAATAATGTAAGTGCAACAGACAATGAGACGGTAACAGATGCCCCAGCCATTGAAAACCTCGTTGCAACAACAATAAGCTCAAACTTATCAGTCATCGGCACTATGCTGAAAACAGCACTGACAGTAAAGAATTTAACAATGACAGAGGAAATATACGAGCCAATCAATCATGAATACTACATTTATATATGGGCTGCGGCTATTTTTGGATGCATCATTCTGACAACCGGCAGGTAAATACTTTTGTACTTTGCACTGTTCTGATTTTTTCAGATAAAAAATGTCAATGATATGTCTGTTAGTATATATGTCAACAATAAATAATCAGCTAGGCCGAGCGGATATATCTAAGACAAGTTCTTCACCTCATTCTGTCCGATAAGTGTTTTATAAAGCAGCATCTGAGACAGCGCGTTGACTACAACTTTTTGTCGCGGTTTCCTTTTGTATCTGTCTGGTACTTTTGAATAACTGACGTAAAGTCGAGTGCACGATGCAACTCATCCAATGCAACTTCATCTATTTCGTTTAGCAATTTGTGGTGAAATTTGTCGTTCATTTAAAATGTTATTGTTTACATGCTTTTATATATACTCACTATGTAACCAAATGTTGAAAGTCGATTTTATCTTGTAAGTATGTGAAATATGATAGATAAATAAACAATACGATAATTTGACACCATCGATGATGTGATGATGCGCCAGAAGGTAGATAGATAGGAGGTCTACAATAGCCAATACTAAAATTTCCGAGTTAGGGGTAATATTTTTTAAAAGAGTGTTTTTTTACTTTTTGAATCGTTTCATGTTTTCTAGATCAATACAGTTCCTATGGGTGTGTATGCGCAGCTGTATCAAGCTGCACAATCAAATGTTCAGCAACATCCTGTCGGCAACAATGCGTTTCTTTGACACCAACCCGTCGGGTCGTATTTTAAACAGATTCTCCAAAGACATGGGTGTCATCGACGAAATCCTACCCAAGATGTACCTTGATAGTATACAAGTAAGTTTAATTAATACGACTGGTGAAAGGCTATTTGGTTTAAGCGACATTTGCTTAACTTTACAGGAGAGCTAATTTAATGATTTTTTTTCAAAAAAAAATCATTAAATTAGGCCTCCTGTAAAGTTAAGAAAATGTCGCTTAAACCAAATAGCCTTTCACCCGTCGAATAATAATTAACTATGTAATAATTAAACATGTTACTTTGTGAGTAATTAATTAAAACTTTATCAAGAAGGTTTATTAGGAAAGGAACTCCATTGAATAAATATCTTAAATTTTTACTTCCTTTAAATTTTTTCCTGATATTTAATCTAATTTTCTGTACAACATCTCATCTCATCTCATGAAAAACAATCTAATTAGTGTTTAGAATAAGTAACGATAACTTCTTATTTGTAATAGTATGTAATAATATTATTATTACCTTACTTTTTTTATAAGTTTTATATTTTCCTTTTACTCATAGATATTACATAGAAACCCATCTCATAGTATTATTTACTCTACATTAAGAAAATGATGATTTTAATAATTTATTACGCAAGTTTGGACTTGGAAAGGCGCCAGCTCATTTAGCAGTTGCCAATAGTTCACCGACAGATCAGTTGGACGGCAATCGTGTAGCGCAACGTATATTTTTACGTGCTTTTATTAGCTTTACTTGTAACTGTAAACAAATCTTTGAAGTTTTTGACCTACTTCTATATCGTATCGATCTGAATGGCGTATGTACTATAATTTGATACCATCTAGTTGATCCGATTATTGAACCAGGAGGCAGTTAATTGAAATTTAAGCTCATTTGATTCCTTTTCACAAGTGTCATACATTTTACGTGATTGAAAGCGTATTTTTTAACTATAATTATTATTCTTTGACCAATATCATATACGCACTCGCGTACTTCATACAGATTACGAATAACGCAACTAAACTCGATAGCTTGAAGGCTCTAAGTGGGGACTCTAAGAGTTAGGTGAAATGGACTTAATACTTTCGCACTTGGTCAGCCGGACTTAACCTACTTACACCTAGAATGCAAGCACTCGTCTCGTAAATGTCGTCGTCGTGAAGCTAATAAAAACATGTTAATCATTATACTATATCATTACATTATTAACAATTCGTAATATAAGATTGAATAAGGCTTAGAAAATAGTGTATAACCATGGTCTCTCGTAGTTATAGTATAGATAATAAATAATACTGACGTAGGTCATAGCATGGTTGAATTCAAAATACATAATTTAAGATTTATAGGAGTTGATTATAAGTAAATCGTATTATGGAAGCAGTTACGTCTCAATTTTTTTACGATAATTAGAACGAATAATTGAAAAATAAAGATAAAATGATGCAAAGTAATGTGAGAGATATTATATTATATAATCTAAGAGATAGAAGTAAGGATTCCCCACAAGGTTTTTTGTATAAAAATTGTTCTGAACTTAGACGCATTAAGAATAAAATAAAACAAAATATTGTTGATAAATAAAATGATATTTTAAGCTAAAGGATTACCTAACGATAAGTACATAGAGAAGTTTATGATCCGTATACATCGATGAAAAAAATACTATATACACAATCCTATGCAAAAGTTCTCGTAAAACTGTCACCAATTATGTTTAGGTAATTATTCTAGTTGAAATAAATATAAAACAATGTAAATTAAAGCTTAAACGCAAAGCTTAAAGTTGTTTTCACAAAAAATAATAATAAAAGCGCGCTCAAATGTTCAAATGAGCGCTCATTCGGTGAGGACAATTTTTGTCACTCATTGTGTATCTAGAATTTATTGATCGATGCCCGTATAGGTCACATTAAGATATATCCTAGTCAAAGTGATTACATATTTAAAAAAATACGGATTTGACTATATTACATCAATTTATTGATGGTACAAGACAGGCTCTTGTGGAAATCTTTGGGAGAGGTCTATGTCCAGCAGTGGACATGTTTGGGCTGACGACGACGACCACATCAATTTTTAATACATTATAGTATAAACATAAAGCGTCCTTGACGTTCAAGCATGCTTACGTTTTTTTAGGTTTAAATAATTTGAGATAATGTTAAGAATATGAATATATAACTGAAACTAAAAAAAACTTTAGTAGGTACCTACTCGTGTTCATTCATTTACACAAGTTTTTTTAGTATACTATTAAAGTATTTTTAAACAAAATACAAAAAGACGCATTATAATGTCACTCTATAAATTTTTGTGCAACAATTAGTATAATGTCAAATTTATGTATAATTTTTTTTTCAGGTGTTTATGGTGATGTTGGGTATCTTAGCAATGGTAGCCATTAAGAGCCCGTTTATGATAGTTACGACTGCCTTTTGTGGTGTCTTCATGTACTTCTGGACTGTTGTTTATCTCAGTACAGCTCAAGCTATCAAAAGGCAAGTAGATTGCGGTCTTTTATGTTAAATTTATTTGAAATTCTTGAGTTTCATTTTAACATTCCTTTCCATTAAGTATGAAGGAAAACATGTTTAATTGTGCAAAATAAACAAATGTGCAAAAAAATCTAAAATAGTTCATAAATAAAATAATACAAAATAATAAATTTTAATTACAATTGATTTGTCATTATTGTTTTTTTTTTAATTTCCGTAAAAATATATAACAATTTTTTTATGCAAATGATATAATATAATAATAAATAGATAATTTAAAATAGCATGTTGCGTTCTTTCTGTTATCTGTATACTTTAAACATTTAAAAAATTTAAAAGATAAAATTAGATAGAAAGAAATTAACAAACTTTATGGAAATTAAAAATGCCCCTCTGCACAATAAATAGAGTTGTCGAGCGATGTAAGGAGTGAAATACTCAAAAAAATTGATCTGACTGAAATTGACTGAACTCTAAAAAAAGATATGGTATGCAAACTTATCTAAACCGTCAATAAAATCAATATTGTAGATATATAAAATATTTACCATCTATACATAAAATAAAATTCTAACTAAGCCGAATCTGTACATTAAATATTTAAAAAAAATCTTATTGAAATAAACATTATTATCAATACAGAGGCCGAATCTATAGTTTTTAGAATTTTTGTCTGTCTGTTACGGCATCACAGAAAAACCACTGGAGGGATTTTGATGAAATTTGGTATGGTGATAACTGGTTATCGGGGTCAACATATAGGATACTTTTTACCGCGGGAAAATGACTCATTTCTAAGAAAAAATACAAAAACTGCGATGTAAGAGTATACTAATATGTAAAACCTAAGAATTTGGTTTTTGGTCATCTGAACGCGGGCGGAGCCGCGGGCAATGCTAGTATTCTATAAAACCAGCTGTTGTCAGACAACGCATCCCTTTGGCTAGGGATCTTTTTTTTCTAAATGGTCATCCTTCTCATCTAGAGCAAATCAAACCTCCCAAGTGGCCTATTGATTTGTACGGTTGAATTGCCGGACCCTACTAAACCACCACTCAATCGGGGGAGACTATATATCATATAGATAGATATTAAGCCTTTAGGACTGCCAAGTTTATGACTGTTAAATATCTTTAAAAGTAACACACGTATTTCACGGCATAATTATTGCATGCATGAATTGCAAGGGTGGAAATGTTAGGTTAATAATTATAAAGAGTCAAATGACGACAGAGAACCTATTTCGAATTTTGCCACGCCTTCTATTATTGGTTTAGTCTCAGCTGTAACCAAGCAAAGGCCATTATCACTTTATAATTCACTACAATACTTACATAGTATGCGTGAATATTTATTCAAACGCTCTTTTTCTGTAAAGTATGTTATTGCTACTTTGTCGTATTTGAATTATTACTCATATCATAAGTGATTAACCTTGCACATTCATTGACCCGAGCGTCGTCTAGACTAGGTATTAGGTTCTTTCTAACTACTAGCGGCTTACCCTCGCTTCGCTTCGTCCCTAGACAAAAACAAATCTATCCCACGGGAACCGGGGGGTATATTTTTTCCGGGATAAAAGTAACCTATGTGCTGTTCCAAACCATAATCTATCTCTGTGCCAAATATAATACACTATTAAAACTACTACTATCCAAAAGAGGTACGCTATGGTTCTATCCTGAGACATGATAGTCTAAGACAATATCGGATTCTGATAATGACAAATGTCGCGTTGCGCTATAATGCTAAACAAATGTAAACAAATTAAAAAACTAAAAGATACAATCTATGAATGCAGAGTGGAAGGTGTGTCGCGTAGCCCGGTGTTCTCGCACGTGTCGGCCAGCATGGCGGGACTGGCCACGGTGCGCGCGTGCGGCGCGCAGGCCATGCTGCGCGAGCAGTTCGACTACAAGCAGGACGTGCACACTGCGGCTTGGTGAGGGATTTGCATACATTCTCACACATATATTAATGATGCTATGTACATATACAACTTTGGTGGCCCTCTTATTTTTCTTCTTGCACGGCTTTTTCCGCACTTAGGCAATTTTGCCTGTTATGCGTGAGCTTGTTCTATTGTGTGTTATTCTTTCCACCTAGTACTTTGATGGTCCTATTGATATTCATAATTTCGATGCTCGGAGTAACTCCAAAGTAGCACAGTTATATATAACGTTTAGGTATTGATAATAGTAATTTTTACTCACGTGGTTATAATACGCATACTATCTCCATTGTTCTTAATAGACTGACAGATATATTATAATCTAATCGTATTTTGTTTACTCCGTCTTGAAGCAGGTAACCAGGCAGCTCTAGTTCACTTCACAGACAAAAATACCTATTGTTTAAATTAGAACAAAAATACTTCAAATATTTTTTTACATGAATATTTTCCATTAAAAAAAATATCAATTTTCTTGTTTTCTAGCTGTCTCAAATCTCAACGAGACATGAAATATTGCTGTTATAATTTTATGTGCCTATATGCCCATTGACAATATTAATTGTATATAATAAGAGAGTTTCATCTTTCTTATAATTTTTATTTACATTTTACATTTTCTTAAAGAGCAATTTTTTATGTAGATTTATTTTTCAGGTACTTAACACTAGTAACTAATACAGCATTTTCAGTATGGCTCAGTCTTATATCAGCGGTGTACGTCGTGATTGTCGCATACACATTTTTGTTATTAGATGATGGTAAATTTTTTTTTACTAATTTTATGTTACATTAATCCTTCAATTATCAATAAAACTAAATTTATTTTAGGGTCAACAAAATCGGGCAACGTCGGCCTAGCCATCAGCCAAGGACTCATACTGGTGAACATGGTCAATTATGGTGTAAAGCAAGCGACCGAGGTGATATCTCAGATGACGAGCGTGGAACGAGTGCTCCAGTTCACAGATTTGCCCAAGGAGAAGACGGACGGCCCCGCGCCGCCGCAGGGCTGGCCACAACGCGCACGCTTAGTCTTCAAAGATCTTTATCTTAGATACGATAAGGACGCCGAACCAGTACTCAAGAATCTAAACATTGTCATTGAAAGTGGATGGAAAGTGAGTATCGCAATATCAGTAAATTCCCTTATCTCAAAGAACACTACACTTCTGAAAGTAGGCTACAATACGTCGTACCTACATACCTACACGTATATCATGTGAGAGACAGATCGTGTGAACTACTTGTAATTTTTTAGCACTGTTGCGCAATTATTTTTTTCTCCTGGCATTTATGTGAAATACTTTCGTAATTATTTATGTGTTGGATAAACTAATAGCTTTGAGACAATTCAGTAAGAAGTCGTTATCCAGCAATCTCACTGCATCGCATTATTCAATGAATCAACATTATTGATATTCGTGAACAATGAGGGGGATCAAGTTATAAATAAGAAAGTAACATATGAAATGTATTGTACATTACATTTTTTAGCAAAATGGTTATTTAGTAACCAATTGTGACTTAGATATAATAACAAAAAGACTGCAAGTCATGTAGCATTATTAACAGCTTTTTTTTCTCAGCCTGATTAAATACTTGCTTATCTTAAACAATCTACTAGCTATTTTGTTTTCAATTGAGCTACATCGAAATCTTATGGTCGCAAATTATCCGGATCATGGACGACTTGTCGCCAAATAACCTGTTAATTTGTATTGGACACAAGTCCTGACAGAAGATTACATATCATAATTCATTATTTAATGATTTCGGGAACTCAATACATAGCAATTACTGGTACCTGCTACACATGTATATGCTGATTTAACTGTCTGTTATTACTTGTCTAATATCCATGATAGATGCTGCTGGTAAAATAAATAATACTAATTCTGACTCTCTCACCCACCTCTGACTCTTTCTACCTAACCTGTACAAAACCTATCATACTTGTTATGACAAATGTGTTATTTTTATATTTTAACCATTATTTTGCGACCATATCATAACATTCATTACGTCATTTATTTCAATTTATTTGCTTATTATAAGCAAATGCTAGTCGTAAGATCGAAATTTAGATACATCTTTAAATATCGCTATTAACATATAAATGAGTGCATAATATTTTTGCTGTTTTATCCTTTATGCATTATAATAGTACGTATCTACGCATTAGGTAGGAGTAGTCGGACGAACTGGTGCAGGCAAATCATCGCTTATATCTGCCCTCTTCCGGTTGGCGCCGATCGATGGTCATGTCTACATTGACGATGTCGATACTGGCGAAATAGCTTTACAGGTAATCTAATCTTATTTCATTGTTTATTTTTGGAGTATATACACAATTTTTGTGTTGATACTTAAAATGCGACGTACTTTATATACCAAAACCTAAATATTATGTAAATAATGTCAAGCGTTAACGTAAATGTTGACCCTGATGTTGAGGGACGCCGCTACGCTAAACGATTGATCAATATAGGGTGGTTGGTTTGATATCACGATTGTAATTTTGTAATAGAAACCATACGCCCAATATCATGTCAATCTATAACCCTTATAAATAAAACACCACACAATTAATTAAAATTGTTAATGTACTCTAAAATATCATTTTTAAGTATTATGGTGCAAGACTAAAAAAATTTCTTACTCTTTCTTTTTCCTTAAAATTGTGATTGCAAAGGTTTGCTATATTTATCATATTTTAACGCGTGCCGATTATTCTTAACTTCTATAAATTCTCTATTGTAGCAATTACGGTCGAAAATTTCCATCATTCCTCAAGAGCCGGTGCTATTCTCAGCAAGTTTGAGGTACAATTTGGATCCCTTCGACAAATACTCTGACGTTGAAATATGGAGTGCATTGGAACAGGTAACGTCTTATACATAGGTATACATAATTCATCTATAACTATACTTATATTATAAATATGAAAAATGTGTTTGTTTGTAGTCGATAAACTCTGAACGATTGACTGATATGAATATCTATAGATATAGCTATATTATTATCCTCGAGTGTTACAGGCTATAAATTATATTTGTAATGTGTGAATTGTAGACGTTAATTAAAAATATATATAGAAGATCCCTTTAATAATACTACAAAAAAGTCCGCAATACAATGAACAAAATGCTCAACAGCAAACGTTTTGACGTTTTCTTAAGACATATAGTGGTATTACAACTGACCTTAACGTAGCTCCGAAAGCAATATTTCGTAAATATCATTCCAATTGATTTATTAAAACTGACATAAAAACTTACCTATAATTACTTTATTTTAAAAACCTCAACAATTCACATCGATATATATGATAATGCTTAAAGTTCAAAAGTCCCGCGCGGGGCAATTATCTATTCATATAATAAAATTGTAACTAAGCTGAATCTGTACCTAAAAAAAATGTTTTGGAAAATTTATTGAAATACTCATTGTTATTGATACAAAGCTGAATCTATAGTTTTTAGAATTTTTGTCTGTCTATCTTGTCTGTCTGTCTGAGAACGCTTCACGAGAAAACCACTGGATAGATTTTGATGAAATATGGCATGATGATAGCTGGTTATCCGGGTCAACATATAGGATATTTTTTACTGCAAGAAGATATCTCATGTCTGAGAAATCTATACTTACCGTTAAAAAGTATCTATCTAGTAATGAGTTGCTAGTGTAATTATAATTATAATGTTTAATGAATGTACTTATATATGCTATAAGGAAGATTTTATATAAAATGTATATGTAAATAAAAATACTCCGTTATAAACACAAGGCATACAGCTAACTAAAAGGGTTTATGGGAACCCTTAAGTCAGGTTAGGGTGAGCAACCCTAGTCGAGTTGAGTGTGTAAATGATCCTGCGACACCCATATTAAAATTGAAATGTTTTGGTTGGGTTTTAGTGGGTAGTATGTTAGTAGTGTAGTGTGGTAGTTCCACGTTACCCGTATGTATGAAGGTGGTATGTCCGGGGTGCGGCAGGTGGAGCTGAAGCAGAGCGTGGCGTCGCTGGCGGCGGGCGTGGAGGCGGGCGGCGCCAACTTCAGCGCGGGCCAGCGCCAGCTGCTGTGCCTGGCGCGCGCCGCGCTCGCGCGCAACCGCCTGCTCGTGCTCGACGAGGCCACCGCCAACGTCGACCCCAAGTCAGTAAACACGCACGTGTCCTACTTGAGTATATATAGCGTATACGTGACACTTCAGTAGCTTGCGTGAATATTTTACTTAGGAATACATATACAGGAATTTTTACTACGATAGGGTCCATGGCCCAGGGCGCCAGGTTGCGCGGGCATCGTCAAAGTAAGTCAATTAATTGGTTGATTTATTATGATTGTGGTTGAAGACTTGGTAAACGAATTTGTACAATATCAGAAAGATGTGAATTGACCTTTATTCTCATAATCCGCATATGGACATCCCACCTTTTTAAAGCTCAGGGCATCATTGACATGTCTAAATGTCAATTTTACAGAGTCGCAGTTTTGAAGTTTAACGAAATAAAATTAAAATATATGTGATGATATGAGTGGCAATTTTACAGAGTCGCAGTTTTGAAGTTTAACGAAATAAAATTAAAATATATGTGATGATATGAGTGGATAATAATATAAAGTAAAATACATAATAAATTTTAAAGTTAATATAATTTTTGCGGTCCTGTAAAATTGACATTTATATTTTAGACATCCACAAATTTACGCCAGACATAATAAGTGTATATATATATATATATATATATATATATATATATATATATATATATATATATATATATAGACCCGGCCACGTGTTGCTGTGGCACACATCAGTATAAATATTATGTGAAAGTTTATGAGTATGTATGGATGTTTGTTACTCTTTCACGCCAGAACGGCTGAACGGATCTGGATGAAAGATACAGAGATAGATTATAGAGTCTGGAATAACACTTGTACTACTCTTTATCACGGAAAAATATAAGGTTCCCGAGGGATAGGTTTGTTTTTATTTTTCTAGCTAGTATGAAAATAAAATATATGAAAATCGGTAATTTTGGAATAAAAAGAGGAAATAAACGAGATCAAAGCTATCCTATCTTTTAAGTTGCAACAAATTGCACATTTTGAAAAAAAAACGTTATGGTAGGATAACTATGTAGTTTCGAAGTTCATCCCGGACCAACATCGTGACACGGGAATTTTATATATTAAGGTATATACAATTGTACGTTAGTACTACACTAATATAGTATTATAATTTATAACTGTGCCGCTTTCAAACAAAATGGCTGAGCATTTGTCAATATTATCATCATAGCAGCAATTTGAATGCGCGAGTAATGCTATTTACTCGTTAGTCGTTTGTCGGAAATTTGGCAAGTTTTTCAGAGAGGCACAGATATAAGTACGCGCCGCATACACTTATTTATTGGCATATAAGACTACAACTTAATATTGAAAGAAATTTAAAATAGAAATTAAATTCATGTATGTTTAAGGTCCAAAATCAAAATTCGTACAATAATGACTTACGATGTTGTACCTTGCTAATGTCATATCTAAAACCGTGATGCACAATTAAATTCAATCACATACTCATTGTGTTTATTTGTTTTTAGCAACGAATTTGTCAAATAAAATATCGTTATTCTTAATAGTCACGTTCTAATCCTTAAGATAAGTATTTTTTGCAATCACTTGTTTAGTTTTTGTAACTCCTAAATTATTATTAGTTCTTGTGGCCTTGAATGTTCGGAAGAACTCGTGCTATTTATACATCGATGGTTGATCCAAATCGACGATGAATTCACAAAACTATGACGTAATGGAACATCGTTTGCTCCATTGATTCTCAGAAGCTATGGACAAATAATGAATCTTACATCCTTCTATCAATGATTGGAATAACTATTTTATTCCAATCAGTTGTTTCTTATCATTTTGCATAAAACTGTTATAGGTATATTTAAAAGCCAATAGATAATTTTCTACCATACTTCCATTTATTACTCTCCGGAGATTCTTTGTTCTTTTAAGGATATATAACCACAAGTAATAAACATCATTTATGTTATATCATCAAAATCCAAGTACTTCTGTATACTAACACACTTAATACCATTTCATAATTTTTACAGTTGGTTACGCCAAGGTAGATTTTAAATAAAAACGTTGCAACAATTCTCGCTAACAGTATCCCTATTTTACTGGCCAACCAAACAGCAATAAAATATTAAATAAAAATATTGGCTGGCACACTACTTGTTGTTGTTTTAATGTTCTGACATTGTAAACGAATATTTGAGAAAATATTAAATTATATGAAAAGAATACTCCTTAGACAGTCATATAATGATAAGTTTTAAATGGATAAAAATAATGGTTTTGAAAAAAACCCTCTGTTGAATAAAATCTTTAATTGCGCAAAATTCTACGATAATTAAGATATAGGTAATGAAGAAGTATGCATTGATTAACATTAATGTTCTTTTTTTTATAACATATGCTTATTTTATTTATAAAACATGTATAATTTTGAATTAAATTACAGCACGGATGCCTTGATCCAGAAGTCGATACGTAAACATTTCTCAAATTGCACGGTGGTGACCGTGGCGCATCGTTTGCATACCGTAGCAGATTCTGACCGGGTTGTGGTAAGTAAATTAATCTGACACTTCACTGCTTTGGTTTCGTATGTATTAAAATAAAAGTATTTAGAGCAGGTAGGAAATAGTAACACAGTAAAAAAAAACATACTGGAGGTCAACGCATTTTGGCATAAATACCCTAAGATTTGTATGGCAAGGGTTGTCAATTGTAAAAAAATTTTGTTAATCATTATATTTTTTTTGAATCATTAATCAGCAGTCTTTAATTATGCAAATGCCTTCGTTAGTCTTTAATAAATTATTATTTAGTAATTTTGCCATTTTGAATTTGAAAAACTCCTGCGACTAACTTACTCGTGTTTTCTCGTCCACGTTGTTTTAGTAATGTAAGTACATGATGTCATGTACTTACATTATTACAATGACAATGGGCTTGAAGCGAGTAATTGTATAATATTAACTGCATATGAGTATACCTGTATCATTCTAGAGAATGACTCGCAACATCTGACAGCCCATGTCGTGTGAGATCTTGAGTGCTTACTTTAATCGGACTTCTTGAGTACCTAGTAGTTGTATAGATATGTTTATTACTTTTTCACGCTGAAGCGGTTAAACGGGTTTTAATGGAAAATATACAGCCCTATGATATGGTGTTACAAATCGCTAGTTATTTTACAAAACAGAGTTTCTGTCATACATGGACAGGCATGTATAATATATTTCTTCATTAAATAAAAGTGATACACATGACATGTGGAATAATATGTTAAAATCTATATTTAGCAAAAAATGTTCCTAGATATTTACGTGCAATTAATTAAAACTTTTAAGCATACATTTAAATACATATACTACGTGTTAAATAGTTTTTAAGTTTTAATATTAATATATATGTTAGTTTCTAAGGTATATATGATAAGGGCCTCTGTTTACATATTTAAGAGTTTTTGTAAACATTGCCTGAAATAAATGATTAAATAAAAAAAATATTATAAAAGAAACAGGTACCAGCCTTAAGCGTTAACTTGCAAATTACAATCAAGTACATTATATTATGTAATTCTGGCCTTCATAAGCCGCGTATTACACCTCACGTTCCATACAATTACTCTGTCAAAACGTGTTTGTTGTACGGACTGACGACTGTATGCCTTTCTTTATACTGCGGTAGGAGTATAAATACCTACTGCGGTTACTACATTGTGGGTCAAGGTTTTTATTTCTTTTATTGATTCGCATCCATAAAATAGAACATTGAGCAACCATTTTGAACGAAATTTCTTTTGATCATCACAAATTATGTCACAAATTAATAATTATATTGTAGTTATTATCATTTAAAATATTATTTATTTACGCTGCAGTAACGTTGACAACGCAGCGTGGAATTGACATTTGATCCTTTTTATCTGTCTACGATGATTCAACATTTACGAAAATATTTGATATTGGTTGTTGAATATTTTTTTAAAAGTCACTTGATAATCTACGTCTTACTTACATAAAAACTTTTTAACAAAAAAATAAAAACCGACTTCAAACAAAAGCACTAAAAAGTAAAAAATAATTGATTGGTAGTTTTCATTTACTATACATACCTAATCAAATATTTTCGAAGTCGGTGTGCTTTGCTTTGTATGGGCTGGCACCGATTTCGAAAATATTTGATTAGGTATGTATTTAATAGGTAGGCTTTAATTACTTAGCCAAAGCACACCGACTTCGAAAATATTTGATTAGGTATGTATAGTAAATGAAAACTACCAATCAGTTATTTTTTACTTTTTAGTGCTTTTGTTTGAAGTCGGTTTTTATTTTTTTGTTAAAAAGTTTTTATTTTTCCCTTTTTAGTGTAGACAGTAGTAGCAAAGTAAGAATTCTAACGTGATAGGCTTGTCAAATCAAACAAAATAAGCCCAAACTCAAAGTATCTACTATTAGCCGTTGAAAAGTTCCACCTATACACCTTCTGGCCTTGCCATCAGATCAGGTCAACAACACCGAACCACTGTAATCAACGGAAATAGAAATACTTGCAAAGTTTCAAGTCAATATGACAATTAGAAGTAGGTTAAATTCATCATTAGTTGTTTTTCCACCCTTAGGGGTGGTATTTTTTTTTTTAATTTAAATGGGACCAATCTGGAAGTATACCCTTTCAAACAAAACAAAAATTGTCCAAATCGGTTAATAAATGACGGAGTTCTGAGGTAACAAACATAAAAAAAAAACATACAGTCGAATTGAGAACCTCCTCCTTTTTGAAGTCGGTTGAAAATTGGCATTTTTATTAAAAAAAAAATAATTATTATTGTGTTGTCTCGCTAATAGTAAGTATTCTTTATTTCATCTTATGAAATTCAAGTTTCAACATTTATTTTGCAACATTACTGCCCGAATTCACCAACATCCCATAAGCTATCACCCACGTATGGGATACCTAGATTAAAAGTTCCCCTAAACTAGCCCTTAAATTAAATTTCGTTTTACCATCGTCAGAGCCCGTATTTCTAGTACCTATATTTAGGTGGCATTTTAACATTTAGGTGACCCCTAACTGACGGTGAAACAGAAACTGTCCCCTAACAGCCCCCTAACCATGCTTAGGAGACCTCTTAAACTTAGGTGACGTTGGTGAATTGGGCCATACGTCTTTTTTGTAACAATCACACAAATCCATTCAGTAGCCATACCGGAATTCTGTTAATTATACTCGTAAATGCTAAAAACTAGTTCCTTCATAATTTTAACACCCCTTAAACATTTTAGAATTTAATTCTAAATTCTATTATGTTAACAAATTAACAAAGAAAATAAAAATTTTTGTACTATTTGTCTGTAATCTGTTGCAACTATGTAATGTAAAATAATGATGTGCAATAAAAACTATTTGATTTGATATTGAAAAAAAAAGGTACTAATATAACCATTTATTTGTGAAAAAGAATATATTGTATACCTTCATATATAAATGTATACAATATATTCTTTGTAAACTATGTAAACTGCCTTGGTGGTGTAATGGCTAGCATGTACGGCTGCACATCCCGGAGGTACTGGGTTCGAGTCCCGGGTCGGGCCAAGTTTAGTTATTGAGTCTTTCTGTATATTAAGCCTCAGTAACAGCCCGGAGTTGGGAAGTTGGCGGTGTTTCACCCCGTGCCTCGGAGAGCACGTAAAGCCGTCGGTCCTGCGCCTTAACTCCCACCGGTCGTGTCTCGTGTCGTCCCACCGGAGTATGAGAGTGACAGGAATAGAGGCTGCACTTGTGTCAGCGCGCATACTTGTGCACTATAATATCTCCTGCGTAGTTGGCTAGTCTCAATGAAGTTGGCCGCTGTGGCCGAAACTAGGCAGACATTACATGAATGTATATCATTTTATCTTTAATTTTAGGTAATGGAAGCAGGTCAAATAGTGGAATGCGGTCACCCTCATGAATTGCTACAAAATGCAGAAGGCCACTTCACAAAAATGGTCAACCAACTTGGTCCTGCTTCTGAGCAGAGCCTGCGGGAGCTCGCGCACAATGCGTACTTACAACACATTAAATACGTCGACGCAGACGACCAACCCCAAATATAGGAATAGATTGTAATAGGTAATAGAAACCGTCAGTGCAACTGTGGCCCAACCCCTTGACTATTACTCTAAGTGATTATAGCTACTGAATATTTGTATACACATTACCTCATAGCCTTTTTATAAGATAATATTAAGTTATAGCTAAAAGTTCACAATTTGATAGATATTCAGGCTAAGCCTGCTATCATATATAAATAATTAATTATTGCATCGCAAAAGTGGTCTAAACTCAGGCCACCTTTGCATTGTTAAAAGATGAAAATTCATGAATAAAAAATAAATTTTGCTAAAATATTTGTTAGTTATCCCTATAATATTTTTTGATTAAAATGTAATTTACAGAAACTGAATGAGTACATCTAGTGTGTGTTAGGCCATTTTTGCACAAACGATCATTAATCAACAGCAGATTACCAAACCCAAAGTTAGGACAAGAGTGTAATTTTCATTATAAAAGAAAAATCGCCTTTATAAATCCCACTCTGGCTTTATTCATTGGTCATTACTGCCGCTTAAGTAAATAATAAGTATATTTAATTTGTGCATAGAATAATTTAGAAGTTAAAAATAATAAGTATACCATGTGTATAATCACATGGTAGGTTGCATGTTCATAGGAAAACTACTCCTAAATAAGTGAATGTGATAATGCATCGATAAACAATGACATTTGCCATATGATGGCTTCAATATTTAAAACATGTGATGAAAGACATTAAAGAGATTGACTTTAAGGTATTTTATATGTTAAACTGTGCCTTTATACTTAATTTTCTCACGAAACTTTTATTTATACAAACATACAAGTGAATATTTAGGTCCATGCAAGCTATATTTTTTTAATATATTATAATACAGGTAGCCATAGCTTTTCAGAAATGTATGTGCCTATTATAAGCCTGAAATGTGTTCTAAATAAACTCTTCTAGAAATAAATATTTACCATTACTTTGATGTTTTATAAATGTTACAAGAGTTATAAACGTTAGATTAAATTTACGATATGTGCAACAAAGAGTACCTATAAAGTAATATAAAGTGTTTTTGTCAGGGTTCTGAAGCCTATAGCAAAAATGTAACGCTTACAATTTCATCACGTCTGTCCATATTAAATACTAACATAAACTTTATTTTCGAAACTACAGGTGCTAATTTAACTGAAATTTAATGGTTAGCGACTTTTATGTGAACTTCTGTACAAAGTTACAACATTGTAGTCAATTTATGAAACGAATACAACTCTAGGTAATTAAACTGAGATGTTTCTGGATGATTTTTTTTAAAGTCAATAATAGGGAATATGTGTGTGATCTATACAAAGTGAAATATGTATTTTTTATAATCTTTATTGTCTATATTAATATTTTTAATGTAATTTCTTTTTGATAAAGAAAATAATTATAAACAATTGCAAAAACTGGTGTGTAATTCAAAGTAGTTAAAACGCAACGCCATTGGTCAGACCGAATATGACGTCAAAGTATATGATAATAGAGCGATTAGTTTTACCGTTTACGAATTGAGTCGTTAGTTCTGTGTTTATCATACTGTGACATCACGCCAAGCCCGCGAAATTACGAGCGTCTAAACTCAAAAGTATCCATAACGGTATGATATTTAAAAAAATTTCTTTTATACTAAATTTTAGCTTTTCGGAGCTGGATTTTTTTTACAATTATATAAAGGATTTAAGCTAGTGTAATTAACAAAAACTCATGCATATTCCCTATTACTGAGCTTCTAAAGTCATCAAGTAATGTCAGTGCATTGTGTAAGAAATTTTAAGAAAAATTGAGGCACTAGAGCTTCCAAAATAAGACATTTTTCAATTTTATTATTTTTTTCTTTATCTAAAATTGTTTTGGTAAACCTTTATTTAAATAGGTCTTGGGATATGAAAAATTTATGGTTACATGCTTTGTTACTCTATCGACCGTAAAATTAACTTTTTATATAGTACCTTTGAGAAATACAAATATGTTTTTCTGCCAATAAAATGAATATTAGGGACTTTAATTTTAACTTTAAACATAAGGAACAAATTTAATGTTAGTATGTTAAATATAATGTTGGTATGGTTCGCATGTCTGACTCACACTTTGCAATTAAATTATAAGTTCAATTTGGTAAACAATATGGCTTACTTTTATAAATACCTCCGATGCTTGATAAAAATAATTTTAATAACCACCTGGGGCCCATCCGTGGTGTATTTTTATTCAGTCCATAATTAATGTCACATGAAACCTGCTATGCTTTTAATTTGAACTATTTATTATGTGCAACAAAATATTTTTTAAAGCTTTGGCTTTGTAATTTTATTTTACATAGGCAACATCTGATAAAAGATAACTTTGCAACTGTATATCTTCTTTTTAATAAAATTTAAAATATTAATAAAACTAAAAATATTTTCATTACTCTAGGAGTTATCCTAGTTAGTGTATCATTGACTGTGTGCACAATAATGTCAAAACATGTTTTAAAAAGGCTTAGTTACTTATTTCCCACAGTTTATGAATTTACAATGGGCAGTGTTAATATTGTGCTAATGCATTTTGTTTATCTAACTGGACTCGTAAAACACTCACTTTGAGACAAGACATGAACCATAAAGTGAGAAGGACCAAATAAATGAGTATATAAATTATTATTTGTCACAAATCTACTTAATTTAAGTACTTAAACAAAAACTGAATTAAATTTCAAAAGTTACCTGTGATTTCATTCACGATTTATTATGTATTTTAGTAATGTAATTTATGAAATACACATGCATTTAATAACAATTTTTGTAATGTAAATAAATACCTTGAATACAAATAAAAATTTTTGTTGAAAATGTTATTTTAATGTTAGATGAAAGCCTAAAACAATATTTGTGATTTGTTTTTAAATAAAAAGAAATTGCAATTTTTATTTGTTTTTATTTTACCTTTCCCAGACAAATTAAGAAGGAAGATCATACCAGCTGAACTTTTCCATTTTTCACTAAATCCGCTATTGGTTTATACTGTAGTATATGTTGAGAACCCTCTGAAAAAATATTTCATACTATGTTATAACAAACAGGAAAACTTAACTGCCTCAGTGGTGTAGTGGCTAACATGTACGGCTGCACACCCGGAGGTCCTGGGTTCAAGTCCCGGGTCGGGCCAAGTATAGTTATTCAGTCTTTCTGTATAGTAAGTCTCAGTAACAGCCTGGAGTTGGGCAGTTGGTGGTGTTTCACCACCGTGCCTCGGAGAGCACGTAAAGCCGTCGGTCCTGCGCCTTAACTCTCACCGGTCATGTCGAGTGGTCGTCCCACCTGAGTATGAGAGTGATAGGAATAGAGAGTGCACTTGTGTTTGCGCGTACACTTGAGCACTATAATATCTCCTGCGCAGTTGGCTAATCTCAATGAGATTGGCCGCCGTAGCCGGAATCGGCTAGGAAAACATCATCATCATAACAAACAGTTAAAAATATAAAAAGTTCTAGAATGTAACAAATGATGTATGAATTGAAGATTGCCAGGTCACCCATTTGTTTGTCACATTTCTGTGTTAATTACTTCCTGGGAAAAGCAACTCATGTTATGTGCATATTTCTAAAATTGACCATAAAATTGTGTAGCATATTGCTATTAAAAATATATTTGACAACTAGTACTTTCATAAATTATCAATTTATAACCCAGAAATAAAATTATTTTTTAATTTTTTAAGGAAATATGTTATAAATAAGTAAATTAAGTCTACCTTCTAAATCTATTTCTTCATCTTGATCACCTAATATATCTTCCAAAACTATGCCATTTACAGTATAATTTGCTTTTAAAAATATATGTGACTGTAAATTGGGATAAACAGCCATTTTATTCAATTCAAATGTTTGCATATTACCAGGAACATGATCAAGGATTGTATTTTTTAAATGATTTTCCATGTTTAATAAGTATTCTTGAGCATATCTAAATTCTGACTGTGTCAAATAATTTGTTCCAGTCTCAATACGTTGTTTTTCTTCATTGACAATAGAAATACAATATTTCTCTATTTTATTTAACCTAGTCTTCAGATAATTGCAAATTATGTACTTAATCCTATTTAATTCCATCCTGTGAATAGATGACCGAAGGTCTGTTTTTGGGAGCTTGTTTATATTTCGTTCCATGTGCTGTATCTGCCCCAACATACACTCAACCATATCGTTACGATGAGGTAGAATTTCAGGAGCTAAACGCTCATTTTGCCAAGCATTCTGAAGTGTTTTTAAAACTGTTTCTGCCGTAATTTCCTCTTCATCTTCACTTATTTCTATATCTTCAGTATCTTCCATTGCTTTAAATTAACTCGATAACTATTTATTTACAAATTAGTAATTACGATAGAAATTCAAATATTCTGACTTTGACACATGGATGACAAATAAAAATTAAAATAGATGAATTAAATAATTCCATACAAGCTCTTGGTGGATCTAATATCTATCTATCCCTTTCATTTGTTTGGTAATTAATGCTTTGACAAGTGACAGATTAGACAACAGACATCACTGAAGGGTTGTATTGCCTGTTTTCTAATTCAGCACTAAAGAGTATTATGCGGTATAATACTCAACTTCGAATTTTTCAACTACAGCAATCCTCCGCCGCACAATCGAGCACTTTGAAAAGTAAGTACAGCCTTGGCGTGACCAGTGACCAACCAGTAGCAGAAAATATGTGAAATGTTTTATCGCGATGATCGTTTTTGTACGCAAAAGTGCGGCATTATACTCTGTAATTGGAAAACAGGGACTATTACAATGTTTATTAATTTATTTAATAATTATTAATCTTCTATGATTACAAGCTTTTATTTAGTGGGGAAGAATTTTGCCTTTTTCTCTCGGCAGATTTCGCGATCACTATGGCCCTCAGTACCTATATTATTGTAAAGCTCTATGGCATGGATGGATTTTTTTTTCATTTTATTTCAAATTTAATTCAAATGACAAACTGCAGTGCCAGCCCAGACTGCTAAGAAAATGCATATCATTTATTCCCAAAAGATGAAAACTGAAGAAATTGTGGGCTGAAGCAGTAAGACGACCAAAATTGGCGAAATCCTCATATCGTATAATATTTATATTTAAAACTATGTGGACATCATTTTACAGAAAGTGATTTTAAAACTCTTAAATCATCTGCATGTAAATATTTTTTATTTTTTGTACTTTTCTAAATATTAATAACAGAGTTTAATACTTTCATCCCTTATTTTACCCCCTTATGGGATTGAATTTCGAAAAATGTATGTATTTATTTAATGGTATTGATCATAAATAATTCTTTGCCCGTATAAACTTTATTACCCCCTTTAAGGGGTGAACCCTTTAAGATTTCGAAAAAAATCAAATAAATATATTTCTTTTTTTATCTCAAAAAGCTAAACACCGCTTTCTGTGTTTTCACATTAAGAATGACAGAGTTTCATACAATCTTAATCCCCTATTTTATCCACGTAGAGGATGAATTTCGATCATCATATAAGGAATACATCCTCCTTATTTCACGTTTCTACGACCAGCGGTTTAGGCTGTTTATGTTGATCCATCAGTCAGTCGGGACCACCACAGGATGCACCGTTCCTTCTCAATTTTTCCTACAACTGGTCTAACTTCCAGGTACAATACATTGCACAAGTAAGATGCGAACATAATAGAAGCTAAAAACCAGGTGCAAAAGAGATATCATATCAAATTGCTTAACCTCAGACTGAATGTAAATAGATCATACGTGTAGCGGCCTCCTTTCAAGAAATCTTTCGCATTGATATTTATTTATTATCTCCTAAGAACAAATACTTATTATTTATTCGTAGACTGTCTCCCTAGTTTTAAATGAATTTAAGTAAAAAGTTGCCATTTTATATACAATATGACAACACCACATTTTAAACGGTAATCAAGATTGTAGATATTCAAAACAATGATCACAATGGTAACGATTGATGTTTATTTAAAATCCATTGAGTAGGTAATTTTCGTATAACTTATCTCTTTTTTTAATAGTTCCTATGCTCTTTCTTTTTCAGTATTAAATTTAAAGCTTATCCGCTACCGTATAGCGAATTTTATCGAGGTAAATTCAGCGGGCCTACCTAGATTATGTAGAATGAAGGAATTCGTATTTAATGTAATTCCACAAATTATGAAATTATCACTTGTTTTTTTTTTGAATACATACATACATGATTCAGCGACAGTATTTTATTAATAATATTACCTACTAGAAGTTCAACTATGTAATATTGCTATCTATTAAATGTGTAAACCCTTATTTTTTTATATTTAACTTCGATACCGAATTTTAAGAGTTAGGTACTAGCGTCCCTTATGGTTTGACGTTTAGTATAGATTTCTCAGAGATGGGATATTTTCCCGCAATAAAAAATATTCTATATGTTGACCCGGATAACCGGCTATCATCATACCAAATTTCATCAAAATCCGGCCAATGGTTTTCTCGTGATGCGTTCCCAGACAGACAGACAGACAAAAGTTCTAAAAACTATAGAATCAGCCTCTTTATCGATAATAATGACTATTTCAATAAGTTTTTTCAAAAAAAAATTAATGTTCAGATTCGGCTCGGTTAGAATTTTATTATTTGTACTATATAGATTTATAGCGAATTACCTTCGACTCCCTCGGGTTCGTGCCTAATTACGTTTTAACTTTTAGGGTACCTACCAATAGATTTCTCAGAGATGAGATATTTTCTAGCAGTAAAATATTATGTTTATGTTATGTTTTGACCCAGATCAAAATTTGTCCAGTAGTTTTCTTGTGATGCGTTCTCAGACAAAGAGACAGACAGACAAAAATTCATAAAACGATAGATTCGTCCTCCATCTCCATGTAACGATAATAATGACTTATTTCAATAAGATTTTCCAAAATATATTTATTGTACAAATTCGACTCAGTAGAATTTTATATGTATAGAAGATAAATATGTAACCAGTGAAATATGAAATCATTATATATTTATTAAAGTTTTAATTCATCATTTATTTTCGGTAAACCCCTCAACGACCGCGGACACGCCGGCGTTACAGTTAACAATAGATTTCTTAGAAATTTAATTAATTTCTTAGTAATTTACCAGTATGAATAGATTTACAGCCTATAATTATTAATTGAAATGATACCAAATTGTATTTAAGGTATTTTTCTTTAAACATTTTAAATTACCTGTCACCTACTAATGATGTATAGAGTGTACTAACCACCCTGGTCTGTAGTACTAACTACTAACAGGCACTTGCTTTGCTGCGGCGCGGTGTATAATCTTGTTACCATACTTATATTTCCATAACGATATTAGCAGGCTTAAATTAAAGAAGCCCAGGGAGGTATTCATGATATATTGTAACAATATATTTGCAGAAAAATTAAATATTCACAAAACAAATTATTAGAACTGGAAATATATATTTAAAGACATTTGGACATATTGAAAAAGATTTTAGGTTCCTATTATCAAAAATCTCGTAAATTCATAGTTTCTTGTCAGAAATAAGCAAAAAAAGAGTCTTTTCTAAGTAAAAATTAAAAATACATTTTATTGTTCCCTCCTGTTTTAGGAAATAGGAGGTAATAATAAAATATTTATAATTTTAGGAAATCTATGCTTTTTGTACGTAAGTGTTTGTTCTCACCATCAATTATGATAATACGTATCGCGTTAATACATTAGACATAATATATAAATTTATCTATCACGAAATCTGCGTACGGAACAAACATGAAAATGATAAGAAGCCATCCCTGTAATACATCAAGGAACCCTTGCGGGTAATGTATTCACCCTATTATCTATATCTAATTATGAATATCGATTTCTGTATGACAATATTTTAATCCTCCTGCTTTTATTATAAAAGACAAGGGAAGCGGCCGAAAGATCGAGTAGCCTCCGCACCGCCTAGACATCCACGCCAGAGATTGGTTATAGCAAACTAAAGACTGGAGTAGTTCGTCAAGCGATTTTCTTCAGTATTTTTGGTATTAACCATCTCGGGGCGACCTACCTACAATAATCCCTTTTTTTAGTGAGTCAAGAAGTAAAAATTTGTTTTAACACCATAAAAATATTCTTTTTGCTATTGAATTTAGTATAGTAGGAATACTAAATTTAAAACATTAAGAATATAATATATGAAATTTTTTGGTGCTAAAACAATTGAGATTGCGAGCTTTAACTCTTTGTTCTAATACGATTTTAAATTCCTGTGGGACTCCAAATATTTTACTATCAAATGTTTTATTTAACGAGTGCAATTTAACAAGATTTTTTCACTTTTAGGTTTAAGCACACAGGCCTAAGAACAAAAATGGCAATCACAAGCTTGGACCCCGGACCAGGTGCTGCAGCTCTTCAGGCATGGGGCGGTCAGATGGCAGCCTTCGGCAGCAACGAAACAGTTGTCGACAAAGTACTACCAGACATGCTGCATCTGATTGACCCTCATTGGTAACTGCATTTACAAACTTAAATATGTTTAACTCATGTCAATATTATACAATTTCAATAGTTTTACATCTAATTATAAATTATTTATCTATAGGTATCAATTCCCACCCATGAACCCACTATGGCATGGCCTACTTGGCTTTGTTATTGGTGTCTTGGGTTTCATCTCCGTCACAGGAAACGGCATGGTCATTTACATTTTCACAACCACTAAGGTTTGAATTGTTATCATAACATAAATATTTTGAGATGTTTTAGTAATACACAATAATAATCATTATATTTTATTGCAGACCCTCAAAACACCATCAAACATACTTGTCGTCAATCTAGCATTCTCCGACTTCCTTATGATGGCAATGATGGCACCGCCTATGGTGATAAATTGTTATAACGAAACATGGGTATTCGGTATGTTGTTTTATTAATTACTGTCAATATTAGAATAAATACGTATATGACCACTACTGACGCACAAAATATAATTTTTAGGACCGTTAGCGTGTCAACTATACGCATGCGCGGGTTCACTATATGGATGCGTTTCAATCTGGACTATGACGATGATCGCTTTCGACCGCTACAATGTGATCGTAAAGGGTATCGCCGCAAAGCCAATGACAATCAATGGCGCTATTCTCAGGGTATTTGGAATTTGGCTTTTCTCTCTCGCATGGACTGTTGCACCTTTGTTCGGATGGGGCCGGTAAGAGAAAAAATAAATAAATATTACAATTTGTTACATTTTACACTTATGTGGAGTACAGAGTATAACATTTGTATTTCTTTTTTAGATATGTACCTGAGGGCAACATGACCGCCTGTGGAACTGACTACTTCGACAAGTCCTGGTCAAACCGCACCTACATCATGCTCTACTCCGTTGCCTGCTACTATCTGCCACTCTTCCTCATAATCTACTCCTATTTCTTCATTGTTCAGGTAAAATAAATAAGAATATATTAAAAATATATCATAAAAAAGTAGAGACTAATTGATATGCAAATGTTATTCATCGCTATAAATATCTTCTATCCAGGCTGTAGCAGCTCACGAGAAGGCTATGAGGGAACAGGCCAAGAAGATGAATGTTGCTTCTCTTAGGTCATCGGATCAGGCGAACACCAGCGCTGAGTGCAAATTGGCGAAGGTATTTAAAATAATAATTCAATACAATTTTATAACAATTCATTACATAAACAACACAGACTTTACTTAGACTTAACATTAATGATTATTATTACAGGTAGCTTTAATGACCATTTCACTATGGTTCATGGCATGGACACCATACTTGGTGATCAACTATGCCGGAATCTTCGAAACCATGACAATCAGTCCTCTCGTTACAATCTGGGGATCTGTCTTCGCCAAGGCTAATGCTGTCTATAATCCTATTGTATACGGTATCAGGTTAGTATATTCTAATAGACTAAAAATGAAAAAGATTAAGGTTTAGAATTTCTAAATCGAATTTCAAGTCACTTTATAAACTACCTAATATATAATAATCACTTAATTTCAGCCACCCGAAATACCGCGCGGCTTTGTACGCGAGGTTCCCGGGTCTCGCATGCCAGCCCGCGCCCGAAGAGAACGGCTCAGTGGCGTCAGCCGCGACTGCCACCGAGGAGAAGCCTTCGGCGTGAACACTCTCCAGCCCAAGCTCGACACGACGCCTCACGCACCTGGACTACGATTCTGCCAATGCGATGTTCTTTATTATTTTTATACGACTGTACAAAGTTATCTAAAACACAGAATGCGATCATTAAAATGTTCGGGCTCTAGTTTAGGTTATCGTGAGCCTGCACATTTTGAGTTCACTTTCTGCGGCAATTGAACATTGCACACATTTCTTATGCCTTCGCTTATAACACTGGCCGGCGGCATAAAAAATACAAAAAAAATAAATAAAAAAGGGGAACCATGTCGCTAGGCCGCCCCGCACCATGAGACTGCTCCCATTAGAAATAGGTAACGCAACGGAATCTTAACGACGGCAAAGACGCTTTGTATATTGGACAAATAAAATTTACTGGCAAAGTGGTTTATGGCCACATAAATATGTATTTTCATTTCCACCCTTCCTTACCTTTAATACTAGAGATTATCTACAATATGTCAAAGAATAACTAATTACCTATAATTAAATCATAATATTTAACATAATGGATAATTTAAAATAACATTTGATAAATTATATTAAAAAAAAAAACATTTTTTTTAATGGTAAACATTTTTTTTAAGATAAAATATGAGACATACATTATATCAATAACATCATCGTTGTCGTTGCTTAGTAACGAAATACAAACAACTGTCTTGTAGTTTTAATTTTTTCAATGAGAATGCGATATAATATATTTAATAATAAAACAAAACTATTTATAAAAATATAATGAACAAGATATAAGAAAAAAATTGTTAAAAATGGCTTGTAAAACATCTTTTGAGCTGCATCATAACTTTCCAAAGTTAGCGGAAGAATCTGGCTTTACATTTAATACACACAAGCCACGAGTGCATATCGAATGGAACAAAATAAGTAAGTTATCAAACTATTTATAAAACTTAAAATTAAAGTGATATTTATTTTTTGTATATTACGGATAGTTCCAAATTGCATACATTTATCTACCTGTTTAAAAATTTTGTTTACTAAAATATAAAATATTAATAGCATTATCTACAGCTCTCACGAAATGTGTAATAATAGCATTTTGAAAACTAATAAATAAAAAAATACTGAGGAAAATAGATCTCTCAACTTTTTAAAGACGGTTAAATGTTCTCATAATGTTCAAATGTTGTTTGTCTTCAAAAGTTATTTTTTCAAAAAAACATAATTTTTATTAATTACTTATGTGTATAATAGTAATAATAATATTTTTATTAAGTACCTAAATATAACTTTGAAATTCAACTTATAAAATTTAAATCTAATTAAAATTTGCTTAAACATATTGTTCACTTGTTCTTGTACTTATTATTTATATTTTAATTTCAGAATTAATAGACATAGAAAGTTTAATAAGAGAGAGAAAATTTGTAATAGTTGAACAACACATAAATGATGTGAGTAAAACTTTGAAAATAATAAACTTTACAAATAGCTTTATTATATCTTCTCTAATATATAAAATTCTCGTGTCACAGTGTAGCAAAACTCCACCGAAACGGCTTGACCGATTCTTATGAAATTTTGTATGTATATTCAGTTGGGTAGCCCAGTGGTGACGCGCTCGCTTGGGTAACCGAGTGAAGCGGGTTCAAATCCCGGGTCTCGCACCTCTGATATTTTCATGTGCGAATCATTTTCAACATGATTACCACTTGCCTTAAGGTGAAAGAAAACATCGTGAGGAAACCTGCATGTCTGAGAGAACCTAGTAAGTTTTCGAAAGACATGTGAAGTCTGCCAACCCGCACTTGGCCGCAGCGTGGTGGACTATGGCCTGATCCCCCTCATATTGGAGGGAGGCCCGTGCTCAGCAGTGGGACGTTAAGAAGGGCTGAATACATACATACATTCAGTAGGTCTGAGAAAAGGACATAACTATTTTTATAACCCTAATTCATAATGGTGGTCCACCCCAAAAAAAAATTTTTATGTTTAGGACAAAAAAAAACCTGTTTATTTTTTTATGATTCGGTATTAAACAATACATACAAATACAAATTTTCACTAAGGATGAACCCGAACAGAGCGAGGGTGAGTCGTAGTAGTAAAATATATTATTACTAGCGGACCCGACAGACGTTGTCCTGTCTACACGTCTTTAATTTGAAAATTTCAAACTTTTTTTAATAATTTTTTTGATGAAAATTATTATTCAAATTGTGAATCTAAACCATTCTCAGATCCCCTTGAACACACACAAAAAATTTCATCAAAATCGGTCCAGTCGTTTGAGAGAAGTTCAGTGACATACACACTCACAGAAGAATTATATATATAAAGATTTTGTACATGTTTTAGATTTTAGACTGCGTTTTAGAATCTGAATTCGATGTAAGAATTTTAGACGATGGTGTACTTAAAATATTCCGATTGGCGCAACTAGCTGTCGAATATCAACAATTTTGCCGGCATTATCTCGATCGCAGCGTTTATATACTGCGAGAAGAAGTTACAAATTTACTAAAGGTAAACTGTTTTTTAAAAAAATATTAGAACTTCCTTATGTTAAGGACATTAAAAATATAACAAATATCACTTGAATGTAGAGATTTCTTTGACTAGTTGTTTTCAAGCCGACCGTCGCATTGGTTAGTCACCAACTTGCAGGGTATGAAATTATCAAGATAAATATATCTTTTGATAATTATCGCGATAATTATTAGATAATTATCCGATAATTATCAAACAGATATAAACTTAGCAATCCTTGTGTAGGTATTGGTATTTGACTACTTGCCTATCATAATTTATGTTAGAATAAATTATACACTTTTAACAATCAAGGTAATTTTTTATTATTATTATTTTTTCATTATTTTGACATATAAAAACTTGGAAATAAAAACAGAATCAATTTAACCAACTATATAGACACTATTTAATTAAATGAAAGGTCACTGCCCACTATACTCTCTCATATGCTATGCATATCATGACCGTGCTAGGGATGTGTCAGTCAAAAAAATATCCTTTGTATTGAAAAGTATGAGACTATGCCCACTAATCCGTTCCATCACCTTTCCGTCACCAACCAACACCGACGCGTGTCGCGCATGGAAAGTTAACAATAATTGTAGGCAAGAATATTTTGCCGGTGCCGATACGCTCCGTGCCTGGCACACGACGTTGCCGAACCGGTGCGCGCGGACGGCAAAACACAATGAGCACACGGGTTATAACTGCATATGATGAACGTTCTAAGCCCGTTATAAACGTATTGTCGCTTGTCTTTTAGTGATTTTTCTTTTAAATTATATTTTTTTAAAAACGGCGTGAACCTAGTAACGTCGTGATCGACTGATGTTATTCTCTTTTTTCCTCGTCTAAAACAATAGCTATCATTGTTAATTCTCTGGCGGACAAGTTTCTAATAGCCATCGTATAGGTATAGGAAATAATTTACGTAACAAAAATATTCACTCGCTCTTCCTGACGCGGCTGCCTCACGCGAAAACACAGGTGAACTACTACGATTGAAAAAACGGGAGCTATACGGATATGACACGCGGATGATACGCGGTTGAAACGCGGTTGATACGCGGTTGATACGCGAATGATATGTTCTAGTGGGCATAGTAGTTCGTGTAGCTTGTTTCCGTGTCTGATATGTTCATAGCACGGTCATGGTATGAGATGGTGTAGTGGGCAGACTCCTTAATGAGTGGAATATGATCCTCCTCCTCCTCAACCGCATTAACTCAGTTTGCTGATTGAGTTTTTTGAGCTGATTGAGAGAGTTCAGTTTGCTGATCGACAATTTAAAAAGATACAAATTAAATATTTTCAATTATATTTATCAAAGATAATTATCAACCCATATATATCATGATAATTATCGTGATAATTATCAATGATAATTATCATTTCGAACCCTGCCAACTTGTAATGCATGATAATATTATTAGTCGTATAATGTGATGTTTTTACTTAAATTCATATTTGCCTAGGAGTTGGATACAACAAAAAGGAATTTGATGGAAAAAGAGGAAGAAATTAGAAGAGTGAGAAGAAAAAATAAGCAATACACACGTACTCCCCTTCCTTACGGAAATGAAAACATTGCCACCATGTTGCTAAAAACTTTAAATCAAAATAAAGGGGATATGTTTGGTTCTCCATCTCAAGCAGACCTAGTTCATCATAACAAATGCAATTATTGTGAAAAAGTTTTTCTAAATCAATTATATTTAAAAAGTCATATTTCAAGGCGTCATGCAAATGTACTTGAAATACCTCAAAAAGATACAACAGATAAAAACATTATAAATGAAGATAATAACCCGCGAGTGAATGAAGAGATTGCAGAACTCAAACTAAAATTAAAGCAAATGGAAGAACTTATTGTTAACACGCATAACTATAATAAACCTAATGCGTCTATTACACATTTAGATACACAAATAACAGAACAGAATAATGTTAAAAATAATTGTATTAATAGTAATGAAAATGCGATCAAGGAAATGAAAGACGCTGAAGTTTTAACAAATGAAGATGAATATTTGTTAGATAAAATTCAAGAATGGAAAAAAGAAGAATACGAGAAATATAATAAGGAAATAAGTCTATTGCGCAATCAAATAATAGATATTGTAAGTAAAAAAGAAAAAGAGGATCAGTCGACAATTCAAAATGAACTGAAAATTATGGAACAGCTGCAAATGACGATAAAACAACAGGGAGCAGAGATAATCGCATTAAAACAGGAACTAATCAAGGAAGAAAATAATGAAAAAGAAAAACATAAAGATATTGAAAACCAAATGAGTTATTGGATAAAACAGGCAGAAATGCAATCTAATGAACATAAAGCACTATTGCAAAAACTAAATGAAGTGGCAAATGAAGCAAAAGCGTATAAAGCCCAGGCTGATGCTGAAAAAGAAAAATCTATCAAGTTACAAGAATTATTACAAGAACGTTTAAACAGAGAACAATTTTTGATGAAAGATTCGCCAAAAACATCTAGTACATTAAACAAAAGTAAAGTAAGAAATCATTTACATAATAAGAAATAAATATCACAGATAATAAAAAAAAAATAAGAATAAGTTTTAATAGTATCGCCTACTTTATTAAAAGCAAAGTATATGTTGTAAGTTAATTAGTTAGTTGGTTTGTCATTCTTTTATACAGTTTATTTTTTCTATTTACCGGCTTACGTTGCATGTGCTTTTATTTAGTTATTGTTTTGGAATAGATTATTAAGTAATCATTACGAAATTTATTTAGTAGGGATTCACGTACGGCGAGGGCTCGTTACTAGCGAATAATACGTCAAAAATTAAATATCGAATAACTGTGTTTTATTACAGAGTAAAGAGTACTTGAAATCAAAAGAAAGTAATACACTTAAAACTGTACAAAGTTATCCAACAGCCGATTTAAATACACTTAAAAAACTTCAACAAAAAGCTCAAGAACTATTGAATATTGATCAAATAAGCTCTACTGATAGTTCAAGCACAAGTGATGAGAAATCAAAAGCGAACTTAATAAAGTATGAAACGAAAACACCATCGAAAACGGAAAGTTCTTATAAGTATGGTATTAATAGAAATAAGCAAAAGACAACAAAATCTAAGGAAAAAAGAAAAAAGTCCCGAAATATTGAAGATAATGGCAAAGTTCAAAAATTAGACAACAGTTACGAACCGAAATCAAATTCCACGTTACAAATAACAAAAAAAGAGAATGGATATGTTCATATTCCTGGCAGGTAATATTTAGTCATAGTTAATCATCTATACATATAATAAAACAGTAACTTAACAGAATCTGCACATGAAATATTTTTTAAAAACAATGATCGTGTATTAAATGATAATAAAACATATGAATGACGTATTATGCACACATATGAATCTATAGCCAATAATAATCCAAAACTATAGTTATTAAAATTTTTATCTGTTTGCCTATATGTCTGTTTGTGAATGCGCGTTTTACGCGAAAAGTAATGGACCGATTTTAACGAAATTTTGTGAAGTGATAACTTATTTCTCGGGTCAACATATAGGATACCTTTTACTTCAGGAATATCTTTCTTTCCCCCGAAAAACACAATAACTGTTCTGTCGACCCGTCCTTAGAAACCTTCCGCTGGCTTAACCTTAAGACATACATAAAAACAATATATTTACTAGAAAATTGTAAGTAAATCTTGAAAAGGCCTACAGAAAAACCTGTAATAGTATCTGTCTATCTCGGAGTGGAAGTTTGAATGGGGAATCAGTCATTTCTTAAAGGTTTTTTTTTTAAAATGCTTGCCACTTATCTATATCTATCTATGTATGTGCATTGTACATATTGTATATATATAGTCTGTTCTATACTGACCGTTAAAAATATAAAAAAGAAAATGAAAAAAAATATTTTACCCTTCTAGTCCAATGAAAGTTGTAAGAGCCAAAATAACCGAAGAGGTCAATCATCGCTTAACATCATTGGGCGTAGATCCACTTAAGAACAGAATACCTCAAAACATTTTTCAAAAACAACGAACACTCTTACAAAAACAAAGAGAAACAAAAACTAAGGTAAGCTGCATCAAAATATTCTATATCTGTACAACCTACAGTAATAATTGTATTAAAATGTGCATCTTTCAGAAACTTCCTATGAGAGAAAAAGTACTACATTCTATAATAACGCATTTAGATAAAAATACTTCTAGCAATAACGTTTCACACAACGAAGTTTACATCTCCCCAAGCAAGTCTCATAAGACATTTAGTTTATCATCAATGTTTACAAACGTTAAAACAAAAGCTTTGTCTCTTGTTAAATCTAATGAATCAATTAACAAATCGGAGAAATCATATAATGACGTTGCCAAAAGAGCTATGGCTCTATTAAAGACGCCCCCGGGATCTGGACAGTCTAGCCCTCTGAAGAATAGCGAACATTTAACACCTGATAAATATCTAAATGAAACAATGAAAGCAAAAAAAGAAGTAAAAAGGAAGTCTCAAAAATTAAAAAGAAATGAAACGGAAATTTATGAAGAAAATGACACAAATGACAGTAGCGATATAACTACTGCTGATGATGAGTTGCCAAATGACAGAACCATCAAAACAATTAACTATCTCATCAAATCACCCATTCGCCGTCCTGATAATGCTTCCGATAAACAAGGCAAGGATGATAAATCTCATCCTAAGAATGAAGCTACTTACAAATCAAACATTGCAATAGAAAGTGATGACGTCGAGTCTATTGAAATAACACCAAGAAAGTGTTTCTCACAAGAAAATATTAATAATCCAAAGCAAACAAAAGGGGTTCTGAAAAATGCTTCTTCTACATCTTCTTTGAATAAAAAGAAAGTTTTATTCGATATGGATGCAATTCAAATGAAATCATTAAGTGCTTCACCCTCGCAAAGTATTACAGAGAAAAGTGATAACAATAACAAACAATTAGAATCCGGTGTTGTTAATTTAGAAACAGAAGAATGGGATATATCGAGGTAAGTCTTAATATTTTATAGAAATTTATTATGGTTGCATGTAAGGTCTGGTCATGTTGTATAATAAGACTGGCTTAATGAGTCACTGTTCAGTTTGTGAACAATTTTTTTTAAAGTAGACAGATTCTCATGTATTAGAAGTATGAATGAAAGTATCCTCAGTCGATAAAGTTATTAGTAAGTACATGTGCCTTTCTATACAAAAACAGTCACTAGAGAAATGTTATGTTTTATTTTATCACTTCAACAGTATAGAAAATGAACCATCAATATCAGCAACTAAAGTTCAAGTTACTTCTCATATAAGTCCGAAGATAGCTGAATTGAAAAAAAACATAGAATTAAAATTAAATTATCGTAGTCCAACTCTTTCCACTGCCCTCGTCGGAGGAGTCGACGTGATGGCCGCGCCAATGCAAAAAGGTGGAAGTTTAAGAGGAAGCAACACAAGTCTTGGCAGTTCTATATTAGATGAAACAGATGATGTACCAGTACAGAATAACACATTCTTCCGACAATCGAAAATTCCTGAAAAAGATGATAGCGACATAGAAATTTCAGACTTAATTAACGACGCAGTAGATAGTAAGCATTATATCAAATCCTTTTAATTAATTTAACTTGAATAATATAAAATACAAACAATTCTATTTGCTGTAATTTTTTATTGTACCCTTTTGTCCCTTGAAATCTATTACGATACGACGATACAAGTACGATTTGAAACTTAAACTTCCTACTTTAAAAACAATATACGTACTACGATACCATCCAATTAATCTTATGATAGTAGTAGGGGAGCCCAAGAGGGGATTTTCTGTAGTTACTCGAGCGCGGCAGATTAACATAAAAGAGGTTACCTTGCACTCTATTGAGTACTTTCACCATAATATAAGTCTTCTATATAAAGGGGCGTGTCTAGGGAAGAAAAAATCGACTATAAAGTTTATGATGATTTTTGCCTCTTAGGCTTGTGCAAATCGGCAGATTATTAAATTGGACACTTTTCAGGATGTGACTAGCCTACCACACCTTAATCTGACGGTTTCAAGTATTTCTACCTTATCAAAACATTTTTTAAATATTTTAATCGGCTTCCCTAGACGCGCCCCTTTATATAGAAGACTTATATTATGGTGAAAGTACTCAATAGAGTGCAAGGTAACCTCTTTTATGTTAATCTGCCGCGCTCGAGTAACTACAGAAAATCCCCTCTTGGGCTCCCCTACTATAGAGGATGTGAAAATTACAAGTCTTCGATGGTTTCTAATAAAACCATCGAGTTGGAGCTCCTTTAATTCGGAATCGTCATCTATACGAACGGTTATCAAAAAGCACTAAACCGATTATAACTAAATTTTGTGTTATAACTTATTACTCGAGTCAACTGTAGTGTGTATGTGTGTAAGCCTCCCCAATATAACTCGCGTCATCTAAAAAGAACGCTGGATGTCCAGCTGCGCAGAAGCGATTTATCAGTCAAATTGGTGGTAAGAAGCGAGGCGCGGGGCGGCTCGGGGCAGCGGGGCACGCGCCGCATGCTTGCCGGCGCGCTATTGGTTCGTCAATTCGAAATACCATCGCGCACACAAAAGTTTTTAATTACGAAATGGTTTTATATATAGAAAAGAGAGAAAAAATATTTTGGACGTATATTGTTTTATAAATAAAGCCTGATAAACATAGTTATATGATGCAGTTAATAATTAAAAAAATGTATTAAACGTATTAATTTAATTTTTTGTAAGTAGATTAAACATTCTACACTGATTCAAACATATTTTAATAATAAATAGAATTCTATTTAATGATATTCTATCGAATATATTTTTCAATGTATAACTTGCGTTATGTAAAACGAACGAAGAATTGTTGGAAAAGGTGCGGCGGCGGTTTTTATATATAAAGATGAAAACCTTTTACACTGAAACAATCATGTTTTTTATTCTATTTAATGACAAAGGATGATGATTCTATTTAAAATAAAATAAAAAAATAATATTTTATTTAATATATTTTTCAATGTCCCTGCCAATAACCAATATTTATGAAGCCGCGAGCGAAATGCTATGAAAAATAAAATAATAGGGTTACCGGTTAGTACTTTTATGCGCGAGTATACCCATGCGCAAACATACCCCCTCCACTTTCTTCCAGCGTTCTTTTTAGATGACGCGAGTTATACCTATATATTGTACGATAGCTGTCATAATTTAAAGAGTATTAAAAACGAACCTTGGAGCCAACTGTTTATCTGAGTTTGTTCCCACATTACACAATATTTAGTATACCTTTTACTACAGGAAAATCGTTTCCACGGTATAACACAACAGCAGGCTGACTCAATCATCGTAAGAAATTGACAAAGCCTGCTTGCTAAACACGTTAGATTTCACAGTCCGCGATATTATGCTTATGTCTATCTCCTAAGAGACGTACCTAAGGACGCTCCCGCACGAAGCGAGGGTAAGTCGCTAGCTCAAATATAAGTGTTCTCCATTCTACGCGATATATTGGCGAAGTAAATTGTAAAAACACGGCACAGGAGCCACTAAACAAAGCAATTTAATTGAATTTAATTCGGTCATGGAGTTTCCAATTTATTACAGTTTGTTACAGTCACCCGTGAGGTTTTGTAGTTTTCGAAAACTATAATAGTTAATCATGAACGAATTAACCACTGGACCAGACATATAAGCGGACGTACCATTATCGGTCTTGTCACTCTCAGTAACCAGGAGATTTTAGGCTTGGTCGTTTGTTTTTTGCGACAGTCTTAAGCACTTATTTGTCAACAAAACATCTCCCAAAAATGACTAAAAGATCTGTTAAATGATGTAAAAACTATAACGGCGGAAGCAGCAGTATTTCTTTTCACTTGTAAATACATTATTTTATTACATTTATTGTTATTTATCACACAATTTAATTAAATGTAAAATAAAATGTCATATTATCCAACTATGTTAAATATAGTCGATATTTCTATGTATTGTTGACATCTGACAACCATCATAAAATGGCTGGATTATACCATTCAGAACAAATGACAAAACTGTCGAAAGAGTTGACATCGACTAGTGCTTGACAATGTCGAAAAATATATCGATATTTGACGAAATAACTAAGCGAATTGTGTTATTTGTACAGTACAATAACATAAAATACTTTTACCACAGTATCCTACAATCTGATGACAATAAATTTATAAAAATATTTTCTAAATCAAATAAAAATATATATATGCAAAAATTATAATTAGTATGTGTACTTAATTTAATATTTTATTTTATTCCACATTTATATACTTTGGAATATTATTCCATTGTAATAATAATAAAGATCATTTTATTTCAACACATAAATTACACAAAATCAAACTAATTATTTTACTTTCACGATCCAACACTCACTTTAATTTGCAATCACTTTTTCTTTTTCCTAATTTCACAAATGTTTATTAAGAACTGAGCAATATTAGGACAGTGTCACATTTTTATAACTACCCGAGACAATCAATTGCCAATTAAAATAGTTCAATAACAGAATCAACAAAATCACTTTATTTAATTAAATTAGCTTAATATTTTTTTAATCTTTACAAAATAATATTTATTATATATTAATGGAATACATACCCGATATTCATTTGTTCATTAACATTATTATAGGCCAACAGAATGTTGCCATCAATGCCATCGTATTTATATAAATCAAATTAAAAAATTATTATTATTTGGCACATTATATATTATTGCCTCTTTAATTCATTTATTTTAATTTATTAAAATTAAAAGAAGAAGAATAAATTAAAAGATGTAAAATATGATGACTATGCTAACCAATGTCTAAAATGTCATTCATTGGTTCATCGATATATGTATTTTATCGATTACGTTCAAGCACTAGAAATATTGTATTGTGTATCAGTGTTTATAATAATGTAATAAAATCTTTGTGTGCGTTATGCGTCACTTGGTTGAACTAGTTTTCATACATTTGTATTTTATGTCAGGTCCAGTCCATAGAGTCTTCTTCTTCTTTTCCCTGCCCATTTCCCAATCACTCAGGGTCGGCGCAGTACATCCTCTGTACTGCTGAAAGGATTTGGCAAAAGTTTTCCGACCGGCCGCCTGCCTGACGTCAACCCTCCTTGGGAATGCTATTGTCTCTCTTTGTTTCAATGGTGTCGCGGAAGTCTTGCAATTATTATGCACTTTCGATTTTGTTGTCTTTTAAAACATTTTTATACTATTACTTAAATTTTTAATGTTATTAAAATAAATTTTGATTACACCATAAATTTTGTTTTGACGTTGTCAATTTTTTTTTCATAAAAAAAAAAAAAAAAAGAGTCAGAGAGTAGAGTATATTGCTACATATATAAAGTCCAGTCTCTAATTCGTTCATGTAGTTCATGGATGACAAATAAAATAGATGAATTAGTTCCATACGAGCTCTTGGTGGATCTATCTATCCCTTTCATTTGCTTGGTAACTAGCATGCTATCTCTACATTTGGCGACAACGAGTGGGACAACAACTTATTTCTGTCGCAGTTACAAACGTCACTACTGTGACGTCACTGCAATATTTTTTCATTTTTGAAATTTTTAAGTTTTAAGTTTAACCGTTGTTATTACTCGCCCCTGGGGACTAGGGTGTGAGGGCTTGCCGTTTTTTATATTATTTTACACTTTAAATTTACATTTTATCAATTTGTAGATTAGTATTGATTAATGTGGGTAAGTGCTGATTAATGTAGATCAGTGATATAGTTAAGATTTGTGCTTGGATACAAAATTTGTGATTTCTTCATTAGTGTTTCTCTTCCTTTTTTTGGTTTTTTATTAATGTTGTGTGATCATGGGAAAGCATTGTAATTCCGAATTGTCAGGAAGGAACAGAAGGTTTTTCATGCCATAGAATGCCTTATAAAGATGCACTTCAATTTTATAACGTATACTTATAGAAATTCTTATAAACAGTGTTTATTCTAGAGTAACTCTATCTGACCAGGGTTCTGCCAATGTAGCTGCAATAAATTCATTAATTTCTGATAATAAGGTACATATATACTTTGTAGTGCCAATGATGCATCAAGTGCTATCCATTATGTAGTTAATGGGAACAAAACCTATCATAAGTATGATGTACCTCATTTACTGAAATGTTTCAGTAATAATTTTCAGAAAAAGAATTTGCTCCTTGGCAGTCAGCATGCTCAATGGGATTATGTTCATATGTTGCATAAAGTAGATGACCATAAAGGTGCTGCAAGGTTAACAAACTTACTGACAGGCATATTTATCCAAACTCTTTTGTTAAGATGAAGGTAACTATATTGTTAAGTTTAGTAAATTAAGATATTATTATATTACTTTAGATCTTGGATATTATCTTATCTTTAATATGAAATTGTTTTTAAGAAGGAAACTTCTTGAAGCTATTGATATTATTATACTATTTATTAATATACTATTCTATTCTAATATGTAAAATTGAAGAGTTTGTTTATTGTTTGAATGCACTTATCCATGTAATGCTCAGTCCATTAAAAACAATTTATCAACTCTGTAGCCTATCTATTGTATAATGTTAAAAGCTATTTAAGGGCCTAATTGGCTTATCTACCTAGACCCTAATAATAATAAACTATTACTATATTTAAATAAGCTACTATTCATCTATAGTAGTTACTAGTACATATACTATAGTTATGGTGACTATTTGTTGTATTACATTAATTTATTATAATAATATATTTACAGGTGAAGTATATGCTGCGCAGGTGTTTCAGCAGTTGAAGTGTTTCAACATCTATAAGTCTCCAGATAAAGGTTTTTAGTTTCCAGGAAGAACACAATTATTGTAATACATTAAATGTAAATATTGAGAATGGCTTATTCACAGCTGAGATTATTTTATTCATTAATAATAAAATACATGATCCTTCTAAGAATCTGTCATCTCTAGTATGGTGTGCAATTTACATAATTGAAAGACAATTACCAAAGATTTGTAAAGTTTACATATTTCCTGATTTAATAAAAGCATTTGAAAATCTTGATACCTCTTGGTACACTTGTGTAGATCATAGAGAAATATTTTTAAGAGCATTCTCATTATTTATGATATGTATAAAAGTTAAACAAAGGTGTATAAATTTTAATTAAGGAATGCATAAAGTGGATTCGAGAAAAAAGGGTCTGGAAATAGAAAATTTGCTTAATATGAAAGTTTCAGAAGGGCCTAGCTATGGTTGAACTCATCTAGTCTTCAGAGTAGTGAATGATTTTCCAATATTTTTTCATTATTTAGTTCATTAATTAACTTTTAATATTTATTACTCTTGTTTGTTTCATTTCTTGGTTATTTAAAAGATAATCACTTAGAATTTTCCATTTTCATTATGTTTCTATTAAGTATAAAAATAATGTATGAATATTTCATTTGATTTCTGTGAAATAATATTATAATTTCTTAAAATATACTACTATAGCAGTATATAATTTTAATATATTAATTATGATTGTTACATTTGATAGAACTATGTATTTAGAAATTTTATTTTAGAGTATGTTTAGCTGTTATTTCTTTTTACTATTACTATGTACATTTTGATTTTAAATTTCTTAAGCTTTTAAGAAAATTAATTTTATTATTCATTTTTTACTGAAATTTGCATTTTTTATAAATTTATGTAAGATTAAAATGTTTGTTTTTTCAAATGCGCTAATCTCGAATCTTTTTGCATTTTATAAACTGAAGATGAAGGTGGTTCTAGAGCTAAAACTTCAAACAAAAGCTAGATTTTAATTTATACCTACAATTAAACCTACTACTCGCTTAATATGATATTGTTATTAACATAAACTATTGTTCTATGTTACTTCTGATTTTATTGCATTGTAATATTTTATACCAAATCGTTGTACTAATTTATATTTTTTGTATTTTGTATTCAATTGATAAAATTCTTTAAAAATGTCCTTTTATTGTAATAACAATGTATTATAAATGTTAAGAAAAAAAAAAGGTTATCCCGTCAAGGACCTCAGTCCTTGCTAATTCTTCTCAGGTCTGAGGCATTTTTCCGAACTAGTGGTAGCATTAAAAAAGTAAAATAAAAAAACGAGAAACCTATCTTTGTATTTTATTTCTAATTATAATTAATATCATAAAAATGAAAACCTTACTATAAAACCGATAACAGTTGTTGAATACCGATAACATTACGATAAAATACATCCCTACTTAATCGTAATTGTAATGAATACCGATTTGTACATCGCTACGAACTAAAATCTCCCAGATTCGCATATGACGTCATACCCTTAGAAAGAGATGCGTGGCGACTCAAAAGAAATACAATAGCCGTGAAAGTGACAGCATATTTTGACTTGCCATTTATGCCATAACTGTCCCCATATTAAGGCAAATATCATGACACAGCTCTAAAATATAAATCAATTTTTATAACATAAAAACCTATGTTAATAGATATTTTATGTTTGGTATGAAATATAATTAAAATATAAGATATTCGATAATAGTTAAAATCATTTAGAATATAATTATATAAATCAATATATAGCACATATGATTTATAGAAAAAAACATTTTAAGCATATTTAACTTAAGTATATTTTATAATATAATAAGATATTAATTAACATATCCCATGTAGCTATTTTTAATTTATAATGGTTAAATCGGGAAAAATCTTTCTTTGACTATCTTGACCCCCCCGGCCCCCGCTTCGTCTTATTCGCCTTCGGTTTTATGAATATGCGCTTGTATGGAGCTCGGCCGGGGCTGATGTAGTTAATCTATTACTTATTGAAAGTCAAACAACCTTATACATAAAATATCCTAAAAATGTCCCTCGCTGCGTCTGTCTGAACGCGATAAAATTAAAAATTACGTACAAGTTCGAGTCGGACTCGCCCACCGAGGGTTCCGTACAAATTTGTAGGAAATCTGTTTTTAACTTTTATTTTCAATTTTTTTTATTTTTTGGAATTTTTCCTTTATTTGCTGTAAGACCTTGCTTTTGATACATAGGATATTTTCTGTTTCACGTCTTAGGCCGCAAAATTATCATTGCTTCTCGTAGTAATACTATGAAATACAAACTCATTTATGCCGATAACAAAATTGAAAATAATAATTACGTAAGGATAGATATTCATTATTTATTCATTTTACTTTGGACCTAACAAATTAGTATGTTAAAACTAATCAAATCCTATGTTGAATAGTTGAATAAAACGGATCCCTTTGTCACTTAGTGACGAACCCGATCGAAGCGAGGGCGAGTCACTAGTTATTATTATAATTAAAATAATAAGAAAAATAAATTGATTTTATTAACGAAACTATGTTTCTTTATTTTAGTCCATATTTCTTTATAGGTTTTTATATTAACTGTTTCACATCTGCCGGTTATTGTTGCCCGCTTTTTTTTATACCCAGAAACCCTAGATCATAAATACTGATAATGTTGGTAACAAAATTCAAAGAAGTAGGAGTTTTGAATTTTTTTTAATTTCCATGAAATTATGTTTATGTCTCCTTCTTGGTCTCGGTCTTGCCACCACGGATTCTTCCAGTTCTGCGGGCTGCAATAAGACCAACTTTGCGACCAGCTGATGTTCCTCTCTTGACAGTGGATGCCTTACCTAAAACAAAATTTATCATTATTTAGTGGTGTTTAAACTTCCTATAATATAAACACTGAAAACTATATCAAAAGAACAATGTTTTAGTTTAAAAGAGAAAATAATAATAAAAAATGTAACAAAACTTACCAATGTGTTGATGGTTACCACCGCCGTGAGGATGCTCCACAGGGTTCATGGACACACCACGCACATAAGGCCAACAGTTACGCTTCACCTTATATTTGTGGTAGGCACGTCCAGCCTTGAGGATAGGTTTGTCAATACGTCCACCACCAGCAACGATACCTGTAAAAATAACACTATAAGAACTGTGCACAAAGCAATATGGGCTTATAAAATATTTAAACATCTTCAGAAAGAGCCTCTGTGTAATCATAGCACATTCAGAGTAGGTAAGTTAAGGTCATCATAGTAAAAAGTTCAATTGTATGAACTGAATTAATTATAATTAGTCAAGTTAAAAAAAATTACTCACCAACCATTCCTCTATTGCTGGAAGGCAATACTTTTTTGGCACCAGAGGGAAGCTTTACTCTAGTACGCTTAGCATCAGGATTGTGGCCAATTACAGTAGCGAAATTGCCAGACGCACGAGCTAGCCGACCTCTGTCACCCATCTTCTCTTCCAAGTTACACACAATTGTACCCTCAGGCATAGCACCCACTGGCATTACATTTCCTATAAAATAAAAAGTTATCCTATGATTATGACACAGAAGCATAACATAATTAGTATAATCTTCCTTTTTAAATCTTTTTTTATTATTCAATCAAAACAAGTTTAGTAAATTATGTATTATTCCATTAATGTTTCAATACATCTTCTGGCAGCATGTCTTGCCAAATTAATGGTAACTCAAAACTATGAATATTAATCTATAAAGCCATTATTTACAACATTTTTATTTAGGTCTATAACATAACTGAGACATGGACATTATAATAAAATTCAATTAATAAAAATTGGACTTCACAGAACTAGAAATGGTATATAGTAATGTGATTACTGATTGTATGGTAGGATAAACATAACAGTAAACATCTGTGTATATTTTACAACATTTGGACAGATTAAAATCATCACTTGAATCTTTGTGGGATTACTAAAAATAATAAGCATTTTACACAAAAAAAATCAAGTCAGTAGACTTGTTTTTTTTGCACATCCCATAAACTAAAGAAAAGCCGTTAAAACTATTGAAAGTAGGTATTACAAAAACGTACCAACTTCAAGTGTAGCTTTCTTTCCACAATATACGAACTGCCCTGTGTAGAGACCCTCAGGTGCGATAAAGAGTTCCTTGCGTGTTTTGAACTTGTATGGATCACGGAAATGCACCACAGCTAGTGGAGCTCCACGACCAGGATCGTGAATAATGTCCTAAAAGAACGAATTAAATAAGTATAATAAGATTAGTAAATTTCAATAGCTTCGATACTGACTGTAACGTGCTTGTTACCTTTACGACACCCTTAATGTAACCATGGCGTTCAGCATAATCCAATGAACGAAGTTTAGGTGCTCCTTTCCTTTTCTTAGTGTGTGATACGAATACCGAACCGGCACCTTTACGTTGAGCCCGAATTACACGACCCATTGCGCCGTCTTAACCCTCACTGGAAATATTTTACAATAACTATTAAAGTGGATACGAAATAATATCATCATACTACAGCTTGGAATCAAATGGTCCTTATTTTGAATCATTTTGTTAAAATATTACAACACCAATTATGATAACTTTTGATTACAAGTTGAGCGCAATATTAACGTACATTTTCAATGAGGGGAACTTTAGAAAGAATTGACAATGCTGACAATTACAAAATGTTGCTTGCTTTACTTGCTTCCACAGATTATAATAGATTCCATATCATTAAAACTTCAAAATATAAGCACGCCTTAAATAAATTTAAACTTTCAGATTCAATAAATTCGATGAGAATTATATTTTATCTTATGCATATTAATTAAAATATGTTTATTATTTTGACGCATTTTTTTCTTTTTACATTTACTACTATGCACAACTACAATATACATTTACCTATACCAATTTTTATCAAAATCTGTCCAGTAGTTTTCTCGTGATGTATTTCCAGACAAACAGATAAAAATTCTAAAACTGTAGATTCGACCTCTATATCGATAATTATGTCTATTTCAAGAAGAGAGTTAAAATCTGTATCTAGGCTTGAATCTCAATTTTTTTATAGGCAAAAAAAATCATCAAGAATAAAAGAATTGCAGACCGTACTGGACGTAGTAATTGGATACCGACAAAATTTTCCGGAATTTGTTCAATCCATTTTGAAAGAAATTTATTGACAATAAAAGTTCAAAGATCTGTGTTGTTTCGTGATGCCCTATCAACTCTAAACATTCACGAGACACTGATATCCTTGATCTTAAACATAATAATGATCAATAACAATCGATTTATTGTATCTGTACGTTATGTTTTAATAATGTCTGCTTGCAAAAATATTTCTGTAATAATAGTTTGTATATAATTTTCTATAGCAATAAAGAAGAAAATTGTTTGTGATTTTTCGAAATGAAACTTTTTTAGAATCGTTGTTATTTGAAACTCGATGAAACGGAAATGCAACACTAAAAAGAGATAAATATTTAGGATTAAGCCGGCGAGAATGAGATAGAATACACTGCCATGTTGCCATGGCAACCGTTCTTATTTGAGATAGAATACATTATACAGGAAGTGAAAAGTAATAAAACTAAATATAAATACTGAAAAATATGTAATATATCCTATATCTTTAAACTAGCAACTATTTATATTATAATATATAAAGAAACTATCGAACGTGTCACAACTCACAAATTCTCAATTGGCTTTGGCGCTTTGCTTGTCAGATTGTCAAATGTCAAGTGTATTGTAAGTTGTGAGTTGTGACTTTTATTTGTCATCCATGGTTGTGACAACCATGCTGACATGACAACTAACAGTTGATAAGTTGAAAAGTGGGTTAGGCGTCGTAATAAGCTTTTTCTTTTCTCAAGAATGCGGAATGCCACGTGACCTTTCTGGAGTGTACAAAATCTAAGTTCAAAATATTTTAACTTCGATAAATATCTTAAAAACTACTCTAGCAGTTAACTTACAATTAATATGACCTTTATACGCGCTATCACTAATAGCAAGTAGTAACCTGCCATCAAGCCTAGCATTTCCATATAGTTTGTGCTGCCATTCATTATATTTCCGATAGGTACCGTAATATGTACATACATGAATCACTATATAAATGATAGGTACATAATTATACTTATATACATTGGTCACGTTGCAAGCGGCGTGGATCATTTTTTATCAGTGAGAGTCTGACAATCTAACTGTAACGTATATGTTATCCCATAGGCTCCAGTTTGTTCTGTTTATTATATTGTCAAGTATAATCGTAGTTTTACTTAAAGCAGTGTATATTATTAGATCATTAAAGTCTCGGTAGGATTTTAAGACGCATTAAGTTGTTGTTTGAAAGTGCCATTATTGTACTTAAATAGCTTAAAACTGTTTAGATTAGTGTAATATTACAAGTTTCGTTATTAATAAACAGTGAAATCAAAACTTTTGCGGATAGATAAATTCCTATAATATAATATAATAAACTAAGAAATCTTAGTTTTAAACGTCCCTGCGGAACTAACTTTATGGTGAGTACTAGTACGCGGAAATTAAACAATTTACATACCTATTAAGTTTGAACATTATTGAGGTTCTTTTGTCAAAATTACATACCTAGTCTGCCACCTTTCTCATTAAAAACTTGCAAACGTATGTTCTAATTAAGACCTATAGAACCAATTCTTCAATTTTATAATTATATTGAAGGCTATCTAACATAGGTAATGTTAAAGCTTTTAGAAGTAATGTAATTAAGCTTAATAAAACTAAGCAAGCAGCGAAAAATCAAGTCAATAAATTTTAGCTATTTGTGGACTACAAATCTAATCTAGTCTTCATATGCACAGCATGGTATGGCGGCATAGTGCATAGTTTTCTCTTTACACATAAATTCCATAAATATTATTCGTTCTTAGATTTACGTGAATATTTGACATTTTAAATAAAACTGTCTTTTTTGGATTATTTCGCGGATTTATTTTGATTTTTGGTTCCCGACGATACCAATGATTTATAGCAATCATGGTCACGGGAGAGACCATGCTTTTAGACGTCTCAAAGGTCCATAAATATTATAAATGGATTGATGTTTGTTACTCAATCATGCCAGAATGGCTGAACGGATCTCGATGAAAGGCACAGACATAGATTATAGTCTGGAATATCACATAGGTTACTGTTTATCCACGAAAAATAAATGGTTTCCATGGGATAGATTTGTTTTTGTTTTTCACAGAGCAAGGGATGGACTATCTATTCCATACTAACCGTTAAAACATACCTAGGGACAAACCCGAGTTAAGCCAGTATGAGTCCCAATACCTATATAATTATGTCTTATATCATAAATAATCCTCAACATAGTTATTATCATAAATTATGTAAAAATTGTTTTTATTCATTTATTTTATAATTTGTTTATATCAATTAGGTAGGACTAGATTAAAGTACATGACATTATTTACCTGCTTACATACTATAATTGTTAGCTGTTGTTATATTATTTTGTAAAGGTACTATAATATTCTTTTAATCAAAACCATAATTAACTCTGAATATATATTTTCATTTAGTTTTGAAGTGCATAACATATTAACTTGACTTAAATAAAAGTTACTTTAAATAAATAATATTTTTAATTAAACACCTATTGAAATGCATCATGTATACAAAATTTACATGCACAATTGAATTCTTTTTCATACCTCATTTTTCTCATAAGTATAGATTTCTATCATCTGTCTAATAATATTTTTTTATAATTTGATTATGCAATTTTACTACAGTTTTCACTTTTTAAATCTAAGTGTAAGAGCTATGAACTATGACTGTGTGACATATGGATGAACAGACAATGATACATAATGACAAAAAAATGTATAAAACTCATTTTTGCTTTTTGGTTCGTGAACCCTATACATTGTGGACTTTAAAAACAACTATTTTCATTTTAAAAATAATATTGGATGTTAAACTAACATTTAATAAATAAATATGTTAATTACAAAAAAAAATCCAATGAATATCCATAATTACAATGTAAGTCATACTATGGAACCCTAGGTGTGAGAGTTAGACTCGCACTTGTCTGATTTTATTTTTTTCCAAGTTCTTTAATTATTGTAAAAATTTTTAGAAAGTGATGTTGGTCACTTAAAAAGGGTGATGTCAGCTGCCGCTGAGACGCTCTTGGCGTCAAGAACGCGGGTACGTGCCTCGGCCTCAACCAGCTCTCTGCCCGGACCTCAGTCTCCTGGGAAACATACCGTTCATTGGTTTAGAAAAGGCCTGCGCCTTCACGATAACCCTGCACTACGAGAAGGACTCAAGGATGCTAAAACTTTTAGATGCGTATTTATCATTGACCCATGGTTCGCAAGCTCCTCTAATGTTGGAATTAATAAATGGAGGTATATTAAAACAAAATTAATATACTAATTCCAATTACGTTTACAATATTATAACTCCAAAATCTTGTTATAGATTTCTTCTGCAATGTTTAGAAGATTTAGACAATAGTTTAAGAAAATTAAATTCGCGACTATTTGTGGTAAGAGGCCAACCCGCAGATGCCTTACCCAAATTGTTTCAAGAATGGGGCACCACCGCCCTTACCTTCGAGGAGGACCCGGAACCGTATGGCCGAGTTAGAGATCATAATATTATGACAAAATGTCAAGAAGTCGGCATTACAGTCACGTCGCGAATATCACATACATTGTACAAATTAGACAAGTATGCTATGATGTTTTTATAACTACACAATTGAATTTCTATTGTATTACATTTATGGGGACTTTACAATATATGTTTTTTTTTCAGTATTATAGAACGTAACGGCGGTAAAGCCCCGTTGACGTACCACCAGTTTCAAGCGTTGATAGCGAGTATGCCGCCCCCGCCGCCGGCCGAGGCCGCGATCTGTGCACAGTCCCTCAACGGCGCTGTTACACCGGTCGCAGACGATCATGACGATAGATTCGGAGTTCCTACTCTCGAGGAACTTGGTATGTATTTGTATTAAAATCTTTTACAGCTGTTTTAGGGCTCTATAGCCAAAAGGAATCCTTATAGCTTATTCATTATTCCTGTTTCATCATTATTCTCTGCCCGCGGTGCCAGGTTATAAAGGGCGCCGCGCGCGCCAGCTCAACTTAACCATTTAATTTGAATACTTATTTTTATCGATTTAAAGGAAAACTAGACTCAGCATTTTATCGTACCTCTCACTAATTAATTCTACATACATGTTTTTTTTATTGTAATGAACTAAGCATACCTAAAAAGGCGCCAAAGGCATGACTCGTCCCGGGTGCCCAGATGGCTAAATTCTCCTGATTATATTATAATTTATATGTATGTCGCAGCCAACTAGCTTAATGAGACGTTTAATTAACAACCTAGTCTCTTAACGAAATGGCGTTGTTCAACTAGCGGCCTGAACAATATTCAGCTATCAATCAAACAGCTAGGCAAATAGCATTTTTTTTTTCGAAAAGTCGCAGTCATATTTGGCATTGTGGTCTCAGTTACCTAACCTACTTTTTTCCGATTGAGCTTTGCGATAAACTGTTCATTTAATTACTTTACATAAATAAAGAACTCTCAGAATTAAAATATTTTATTTATCTAATTCTATAGATTGATCGATCGTTTTATCGAGCTACTTATCGACCGATTAGTCCACCGATTGGTCGATCGATTGATCGACCTATAGATCGACCGGTTTATCGACCGGTTTATCGACCGATAGATTGACCTATCGATTGATTGTTTATTTGAACGCGCTAGTGTCAGGAACTACCTACTACGAGTATGATATAGTTGCAACATTTTTTAAGTTGTTTTAAATGTCTTAAAGAAGTTTACATTAAAATTCGTTGTTCGTTAAATATATTTAAGATATAAATTTAAGAAATTGGTAAATGTGGTCCTAAGATTAGATGGAAAATATTAATGCAAATTTTTGCTAAAACATAGCGTAACGTTCTAAGCCTACAATATGTTAAGATATGAATATCTAATAGGTAAAATACTAAATATGTATTTTACGTATCGAAATATATTAGATTTGCTTTGCATCGGCTGGCACTGACTTCGAAAATATCTGATTAGGTATCTATTCTAAATGAAAACCTCCGTTTAGTTATTTTTTACATTTTAGTGCCTGGAAGTCGGTTTTTATTTATTTTTTAAAGACTTATTTTTGCCAACAAGTTAGTTGAAGTTTTGTGTCAACTAAGTTGTTTTATTATTTACTTTAATTTTGTTGACTTTATTATATAGGTACATATGGTTGTTAACAAACTTTAAATCGTTATATTACCTAAATTGTTATTTAAAATGAAAAATGATAAAAGCTACCTATATATATACCTATTCAACAATACCCCACTTGACATAGTTCGTCGATTTTTTTGTCAGTATGACTTTTGACAATAAGGCGTCTGGTTCTAAAAATAGCGCAGCCCTGTAATATTGCCAGAGAAATTATGCAATATATTGATTTAAAAACTTTTCTGTCTCTATAAATTAGCATTCGGTAAAAATGTACGTACCTATTTTTATTACGTTGCTTGGTTTATAAAAATACTAAACTTTCCCCTTTTTGTTGAAACTTGTATTCACGTGTATTGGAGCGTGGGCAAATGTCTTAAAACGTGAATGTTGTTGAGGGCACAGATTTTTAGCGGCTATTTTATTTTTACTTAGAAATATACTTACAGTGGCTTCGCCACAAAACTACGATATTTCGAAACCGAGGGGAATATTTTGCAAGCAAATTATGTAAAATCTATACATCTTTATAGATAAAATTGAATGTGATAAAATTGAATGTGTCTTAAACAGACACTTGTTTGTATATGTACATAATATGAAAGTACCTATAAACGGTACTATAAGTATACTTTTACATTGCAGTTTTGTATTTTTTCCCCGCGGTAAAAAGTATCCTGAATGTTGACCCGGATAACAAGCTATCACCATACCAAATTTCATCAAAATCCCTCCAGTGTTTTTCCGTGATGCGGTAACAGACAGACAGACAAAAATTCTAAAAACTATTGATTCGGCCTCTGTATCGATAATAATGTCTATTGCAATAAGATTTTCCAAAAAATATTTAATGTACAGATTAGATTTAGTTAGAATTTTATTATTATATGTATAGAAAACAAAATCGATATCTGCCTCTGTGGTTTTCTCCGCTTACTTCTTCTAAACCACGCAACGGTTTTTTTTCACTAATGTGAGGGAGTCTCTCCCGTGACCATGAATGCTGTAAAGCATTCAAAACGTCGGGCACCAAAAATCAAAATAAATCCGCGAAAAAATCCGAAAAGATAGTTTTATTTAAAATGTCAAATATTCGCGTAAATCTAAGAAAGTATTATTATTATCTATTTAAAACGTACGTAGACGAGCGTAAGTGATTATTCTTTCAAAAGTGTGTGTGCAGACATAAGTGTCTCTATTCCTTTAACTCTCATATTCGGATGGGACGAAAACTCGACACATCTATGTATATGATATATTTAAACTCAACTAACAAACTTTAATTGCAGGATTCGAAACCGAAGGTCTTAAGCCACCAATTTGGATCGGAGGCGAGAATGAGGCGCTATTGCGACTTGATCGGCATCTGGAGAGGAAAGCCTGGGTGGCGTCTTTTGGTCGACCCAAAATGACGCCACAGTCCTTACTGGCCAGTCAGACTGGTTTGTCACCCTATTTAAGGTTAGCAAAAACTTTTTTTCTTCAAAAGTATTTAGTAAGAATCTAGTAAGAGTAATTATAAGATTGTCCGAAAGTGGTTTTTTACTGATCGAAAATTCTAACCAGGAAAATGTTGTATGTATTTGGATAGACCTCCAAAAAACTAGCTTGTCTAAATATAATATCATACAGTTTTGAAACCTCTCCAATTTACAGAAAAATCGATTCTTATATTGTTGTAAATTGATACTTAAAATGAACAACACTTTATGATTACATGTCTAATTAATTATTACGCTTATAAAATGAAACTTTCTCATATATGAACAGAAATAGGGTAGAAACTCTTTTTTTACTTAGGATTAAAAGTGCATCCTAATTTATTGTTTTTAGCTCGAATGTTCATGTGCAAGTTGCTACATTTTAGTAATTTAATCCCTCCACGACCGCGGACACGCCGGCGTGTCAGTTAACAATAGATTTCTTAGAATTTTAATTAACTTCTTAGAAATTTACCTGAAGGTTTTAAGAAGTAAAGACAAAACCATTACATCCCGGCAGGGAAAATAAGCAGGAAAAATAATTATATCTTTAGCGAAAACATGTACACACTTTTTTGGTTTTACATTTGTGTGCAAAACTTTCTACGACAATGTGTGTGGTATTTACAATGTGAATGAATATTAGGTTTTACCTAACAGTAATGCGGTGTGATGCAGCTTGTTATAATGTAATAATGTTTTAGTTATTGGTAACCTTCATTTTCAATGCTTTCTCGTATATAAATGTTGTCAAGGAACCAAGGTTGAAAACAAAACATATTGACTGTAAGTCCTTTCAAGACGCCAAACAATTCTCATCACATGCACAGCTTCTTTTTCCAATTCTTGCCATTAGAGAGAGCAGAGGGCGTGCGAGTAGTATCAATAAATATTTAATCATTTTTCTTTTAGAAGGAAGGGTCTAAAAATATAATTTTAATGGTTCCTACTTCTGTATTTTTCATACGAATATAGTTTTATGCTAGTTAGATTTTTCTTGGCAAAAAAAAACAACGCCCATACAAAAAATTTGACATGTCTTTACAACCCACCTCCACTATTCCACATGTCCGTCCGTACTAATCGTAGAAAAATCCCCTTCCGAAGAAAAATCACATCTGACTGATAGCTCTAATTATTGCCATTATCAAACAAACAAAAATCATTCAAGCTTTAGATAATAGTAACGGCTGGCGTTGACTAATTACTTTACTATAAGTCCCTTACACAATTATTGTGTCCCATTCTGATGAAATATAATTTCAGAAGGTAAAGATGACTTCATAAATCCTTAAGTAGGTACAAATCTTTTTTGTCGGTATTAATAAAAATACATTACATACTTATTGGATGGTTGAAAACTAAATAATAATTTACAGGTTCGGTTGTCTATCGACAAGGCTGTTTTACTATCAACTCACAGATTTATATAAAAGAGTGAAAAGAGTGAGACCACCTTTATCTTTACATGGACAAATACTTTGGAGAGAATTTTTTTACTGTGCGGCAACAAGAAATCCTAATTTTGATAAAATGGAAGGTAATCCTATATGCGTACAAATTCCTTGGGAAAAAAATCAAGATGCTCTTTCAAAATGGGCCAATGTAAGTATTAATAAAGATGTAACTGGCGTCTAATACCTAATAGGAATTTATGATGAGAATTATTAATTCAAAAAATTAAGTGACAAATTGGATAATACTTTCTTAGATTTACGCGAATATTTGACATTTTAAGATAAAACTATCTTTTCGGATTTTTTCGCGGATTTATTTTGATTTTTGGTTCCCGACGTTTCGAATGCTTTACAGCAATCATGGTCACGGGAGATCATAATAAATTGGAGCTGAGGCATGTTGACTTTCCACAAAAATTATACATTAAGTTACATTAGTTTTTCTGATAAATATTTTGATTATACAAAGTTATATTGTATAAAGGTCAGACTTTATAGAATTGAATGGGTTTATATTGGTGAAGGGTTTTATTAAAATTCTCTATTTTAGAATTTATTAAAGTATCTGGCAAAAACAACGATGTTTTTATTCAGATTGGTCAAGAATGTCCAGTGTAAAAAGTAAGATTGGGTTCACACGACAAAACACGGCACGACTTTTAAAATATTCGATTATAAACATAGAACAGCGGAATGTTCATACCATACATATTCGTTCATGTAAAAAAATGTCGCAGTTTTCTTACAGCCACTCGGAGAATAGGTACGTTAAAGTTCATTTGGTTTGCTTAACAAATCCGGTGAGTATCCGTTTAACGTGTTTAGAGGTGAACATTTTTTTGCAGCACAAAGAACACTTTTTTTTTGCAGAAGAAAGGAGGGAAGTAGTGTTCAAGTATGGTTATTCATTTCACTCTTACGTCTGTTAGAATTGGTCTAAGATCAGAACTAGAAACGACCTTAACCCGTCTGTTTAATGGATGAAAAGTATTTTATATAAAATTTAATATATTAGAAAATATATCTCGAGTGGGTTGTCTAAAAAATTCCTGGCCAGACTATGATTAATTAAAAATTGAAAAATGACTTTTTATTAAATATTCCACTCATGAGTTTAACTAATTTTAATACCAACGGAAAGTATGAAGCTCAAAGAATATACAAACGTTGGGTTGTCTATTTTTCCTGGCGTTACTACTGGGTTGGCGGGAATAAACAGGTAAATCGATAATATTTGTTATTTTCACGTATTTGTTTAATAAATGAATCTTATATCAAAATTAGTGCTATTTGATTGCGAATACAATGATATAGGGTTGTCTGTGAAAAATCTGGCCTGAATGTGATAGAACAGGACACTACATTGCGCACGATAAGAAGTTTCCACGCGCATAAAATATTTACCTTTCAAAACTCGACAACCGTCATTCGGGCAGATTTTTTACAGACAACCCTATATCATCGTATTCTCAATTAAATAGCGCTCATTTTTATATAAGATACATTTATTAAACAAATACATGAAAATAACTAATATTAGGTATCGATTTACATGTTTTTTCCCGCCAACCCAGTTGTAACGCCAGGAAAAAAATAGACAATCCAACGTTTGTATATTCTATGGGGTTCATACTTTCGGTTGGTATTAAATTTATTCGAACTGGAATATTTAAAAAAAAACATATTTCAATTTTTAATTAATCATAGTCTGGCCAGGGATTTTTTAGACAACGCACTCGAGATGTATTTTCTAATATATTAAATTTTATATAAAATACTTTCATCCATTAAACAGATGGGTAAAGGTCGTTTCTAGTGCGGATCCTCTATTATAGAATGAATTTCAAAGACTGGATTGGAGTGGATCAATAACCAGGGTTCGAGTCCCGCGCCGGCAGAAAGAGTAAATGAATGCTTTGTTTTTTTTTTCAATTTTAGTTAGCCCGATATTTAATTCTTTTTTATTTATTTAAGTTTAGTTATATAAACAAATTTTGATTTTGAATAGGTACTAGGTTTTGGTTTAATTATTCGTTTTTTTCTTAAGAAGAAGTTTGAGGGATGCAATTATATTATTTTATTTTTATACATATTATACCCAAATATACGATACTTTTTAAGGTATAAGGAAATTATAAGTATTTGAATTTCTATCACTTACGTTACTCACTGCTTCGCGATTCAAATGAAACATTCAAACTGTAACTTTGGATTTTCTAAATATTTAAATTTACATGGCTTACTCTGGCTAATATTTAACTCATTTTCATTAATATCCATTTAAAACGTGCCTAGGGAGCACTCGAGCGAAGCGAGGGTAAGTTATAATAAAAGTCTTATGTGAATCGATTTATACGCGATGAATTAGACATAAAAAATACATATAAATGTATTATTCATATATTTCTAAATTGAAACATTTTCAGGCTCAGACAGGTTACCCGTGGATAGATGCAATAATGACACAGTTGCGTGAGGAGGGCTGGATCCACCACCTGGCGCGCCACGCGGTCGCCTGCTTCCTCACGCGGGGGGATCTTTGGATCTCGTGGGAAGAGGGCATGAAGGCAAGTCTAGTCCCTTTTATCACCACTTTTATTAGCTCTATTTATTACTAACAACGTCATCAAATATAGGAATTCAATTTTAAACTACTTCTAATTGTCGTATCGAAATGAAACTACAAGTTTATATATATATGTATAATGTATATGTAGTTCTGATGACAAAACAATATTTTGGTATCTTGGAGCTGATCCGATGATGGAGCCGGGTGGATAGTGGAACTTTTCAGTGGCTACTAGTAAACTCTTCGAGCTTTGGGTTCATTTGATCCGTTGTAAAAAAGTCCCTTATGTATACATATATATAAAAAGTTGGTCAAAAACATGTGTTTTAGTTTTATAAGGTATATTCTCAAATATTTCATTATTGCAGACTGTATAATATGCATTTTTTCATTTATTAATTACTTATCATGCGTATTTGCTGGATGATGTTAACTTAACTAATAAAACAATAAAACTGATAAAATACTTACAAGTACATATAATATTAACCTAACTGTGCACGCCAAGCCGCCGGCGGCTCGGTGACGTCACGAGCATACAGACTTGCATATAATCTAGTCTTTACTCTTAACATAATATTCATTAAATCATTGTGTTATTTTCGTTTTACTTTATATTTTTGTAATTTCGAATGTTAATTTTTAAAGTCATCTCTAGACCCCATTGCTACATACATACATACATTATTAAAAAATATATAAACACTTAATAAAACATGTAATTTTTGTTTCTTATAAAACAGGTAAATTATTTATTCTGGACTTCAATTAATCAGTTTAATCGTACAAGCAAATTAGCGATAGTTATGTAAGTAAACAGCCAGCATGGTACTTGAATCTTGTTCTGTCAATACTTATTAAATCTACCATATTCTCCATACCATATACTCCTTTCAAAAAATATACTTCCTTTAATAAAAGTTGGTAAATTAATCTACAGGTCTTGGGACTAATCCATTTTTGGATGTTTATTATTTATATTTATGATCATACTTTTCCATCCTAGAGGAATTTCATTACTTTGAATACGGATTCCATCGGGTAAATTATTCCATGGCGTGGAAATTGTTAAAAGGTAAAGTTTTATATAGAAATTATGTATTCTACAATAATTTTTACCCTTAACATCCTTTATAAATTGAAACAAACATTTGCTTAGTTTATCCCATAATTTTCTTGCTATTGTAATTTTGCTAAATTTTTTACATAATTAATCAATGAAAATGCTGTAATTTAATAGTACAACGAGTCATTGTTTTGGAGGACGACTATCTCTTTAAGGTATAATTTATTTTCATTACGAGGCTATGTGGTTAAAAACTTTTAATACTCAATATATATAAAAGTATTAAAATGGTTTATTTTTAATAGTTCTTGTCAATTTCATACTAAACAATCAACGTATGCGATTTTCTACATTCTGAGATGTGGTTGATGCATCAGCTAAGTTCTCATGTTGAAAAATGTGTTTTTTTTATTTTGTATTCAAAATTGCACTCAAAAAAACAAAATATTTTTAATCTTTTTAAGTTTTAATTATTGTTTCATTTTTTTTTGTCTTTTTTTTGTTTGATTTTCTCATTAAACACTATTTTATTCACCTAATCATTATACCTATAGACCAGGGTAGAAGCCTTTAAAAATAATAAAAAGTGAAAAAAAATAATAGTAGGATGCAAACCATTAGAAAAGGAGGGGAATATTATAAAAATGAAAGGAAAAATAATTTACGGGCGATCTGAGGTCGGGAAGGGGATGGGGGTCAGTTTTTAAGGGTAAAAAACGGTTTTTCTCGATTTCCGGCAAAACTAAAAGTCCTATCGAAAAAAGTCATATGGCAAAGTTGTAGGTAATAAAAAGATCTAAAACTTTAGTATTTACACTTTTTTCACATAACCTCAAAATTTATGTGAAAAATTCAAAAAACCAAGTTTTTGGTTTTTTATTTTTATCTTTTACAAAAATGCTTTTGTTTTAACGAAATTTGGTGAAAACTTACCTTTTTGCGTCCCAAATACGCTGTAATTTATTTGATTAAAAATATTTATATTTTCACCTTATTTTGAATTAATATCGTAAAAGCACCCTAATTTTCAATCGAAAATTCACCCGTCAAAATATCAGCTTTTTTCAAAAAGTTGGTGTGTTTTCTGTTCGTTGAAATCTCTACTTTCCGATGGTGAAAAAAAATATATGTTACTATAGTAAATCTTCTGAGAAAATGCAAAAAACAAAAAACCTTTTTTATTTCATACACTTGCTTATCATCTGCCTTATTGCCGATGATACAAACAGATTCATCCATACTGATAATCTGAAAAGACAAAATCGAATTAATAATGCCTTCACTATTTTATCGTGAGTATACCCCCATGAAAAAAAAATATTAAAGAAATAAATGTCAAAATGTATAAAAAATCTATTATAAATATATTAAAAATATATATTTATAATATATTTTTTATGTATAAATATATAAAAAATATGTATACTATTATTTTTTTTGGTTTCAAAAATTATCGACTCTGGTCTACTACATGTTTCGTGTCAAACAATATTCTACACGACTTTCCAATATTTATTTTCTTCAATGTGTATTTTTTTAATTCAATAGGTCTTCGATGAACTCCTGTTGGACGCGGACTGGTCGGTGAACGCGGGCATGTGGATGTGGCTCTCGTGCTCGTCCTTTTTCCAGCAATTCTTCCACTGCTACTGCCCTGTGCGTTTCGGACGGAAGACTGACCCTAATGGAGACTTCATTAGGTATTTTATTATTCTACATGAATCCTATGCTATAAATGTCATAGCGTGCTGTTTTATGTGTCTCTGGCTATTTTTTGGCGAGTTTGAAAAAAAATATGAGAGTAAAATTTTCGACGACACGTTTGGCTCAGTTTGTAGTGACCAGCGGTCGCGGGTTCTAGTCCCGCTAGGGGCATCAATTTGTGTGATGAGCACGAATGTTTGTACTCCAGTCATGGGTGTTTATATTTATAATGTTTATGTATTTAAAGTTAGATATATGTAGTGTATCAACCATCTGGTATCTATAACACAAGCTTTGTGCTTACCATGGAACTAGATGGTGCTCTGTGTTAATGTCCCAACAACGTGCGCGCACACCGACAGCCAAAAAGCGACATGATGAAGTTAGCTGTATTCCTTTTACAGAGTTGTGACATATAGGATGAAATCTTTATTACTTAGTTGTTCAAATTAATTATTTTATTTTTGTTCAATAAGACATTTTCGACATTTCTGACCATGGCGAAAAAGGACTACTGTAGAAAATATATAATGCCATCTATTATCATCTATATTGATACCACTGATATTTGTAGTATTTCATGAAACCTACAAAATTACTTGCCTTACCCCTCATAAAGCTTTAAAAATATAAGTAGTAGTCGATGGAGGTCAAAACAGATGAAATAAATAATAATATAATAATTGTTTCTGTTAAAGGAAATACATTCCAGCGCTAAAGAACTTACCGACGCGGTACGTCCACGAGCCGTGGGTGGCGCCCGAGGCTGTGCAGCAGGCCGCGGGCTGCATCGTGGGTAGGGACTACCCCATGCCCATAGTGGACCACTCTAAGGCCTCGCAGATCAATATAGAACGCATAAAGCTGGTCTACGCACAGTTAGCCAAGTTCAAGCCTCAAGGTAACTGGTCTAAGCATTTTTGGAATCGAATCAGAAATGGCCAAATCTTCAGCTTTCATGCAAAATCAGATCCACGTATTTGTTTGGAAATTCGATTAATATTAAATGTCAATATAGAGCATATTAAGCCAGTCTATGCATAACTTGCTAAGTGTATAACCACAAAATGGTCCTAGTTACATTTACATTGTCATCAAAATAGCCCAATTATTCAACATAATTTGTACAGGAATATTTTTTTGAAACAGGGTCAGGTTTATTATTTTTAAATTCTTAGGACTAGTTTTTATATATAATGGACTAATGTTATTTTAAACATAGATGGCTGTACAAGTTTGCTTTTAAATTATTTTATCTAATAACCCATTAAATAATTTAAAAGGAACAATATACACATACACAACAATATTCACTATTGTATATGAAAGATTGAATTTGCTTTTTTCTTTTTAACAGGTCTTCCAGGTGCATTCATTCCTCATATAATGCAAAGGCCCAATGTAATGCAGTCATCTCCAAATCCTACATCTATAATTACAAACATAAACCAATCCAATTACTTATGCAGCCAGGCACCAGAACCTCCGGCCCCTTCTACACCTACATCGCAATTCAAACATGATAGCTTGTTCGTCAGGCCAACTAAAATTAACATGAGATCAAATTTTGATTCTAATAAATTCAAAAAAATTGTTATAATTCAACAAGAAAAAATTTCTCTGCAATCCACTGTCGAGAACAATTTTATTGTTCATGGAGATACAAATTCAGCATACAAAATGAATGATAATAGAGTCAAACCTGGAAATTATGATTTTAAAAATTTAGCAATTGATAATAATTACATATCTAAATTTTCTAATGATCAAGTGAATTTTTTAAATCAAAAAACAACCAACAATGCGGTTTATAACACAGATGTTAAAATCGATGAATATAGCACTCACAAGCCAAAGTTTTACTTCACTGATAACGGAGTAATTTCTCACAATGACAGTGATCAAACTTTTGCAAGTAATCATTATGCTACTGATTATCACAGAGAAAGAAATTTGCAGTTGAAAAGTGATGATAATCCTAAAGTATATAATAGCAATCCATCTAAATCAGATAATAAACAATCATCAGGTGATAGAAAATAATATGGTTATGTAATAAAATATACAGATTCTTTTCTCTCATTTAATTTCAGTCTTTATTTTTTCTTTAACTCATTTTAAACGTTATTTATTAGTTTCTAAATCAGCCACAACTTTCATATGCTGTTTTAATGCCTTTGTTGCTTTTCTAGATTTTATTGGTGGTTTTTTATCATTATCAAGATTCTTATGTTTCCCTTTATTTAATTCATCTTTAATATTTCCTAACATGGATATCTATATAAAAAGAAACGACAATGGATAATAATGAATAAAAAAATGACAACTTAATAAATAAATTCTCATTATGATTACTTACGGTCTGTGGGATGTGCACATATCTAATATTTCGAGCCTGTACAAACATATTATCAAAATAGTATTCATTCCCCTGTGTATCACAATACACAGCTTTATTGAGTGAGATATTCATATAGCTGTAACCATAATGTACATATATCAAGAACATTTTTTTGTGTTTTTAGATAAAATGTTTCTTTAAATAATAATATTTCAGTGTAGTAAAAGATTTGGAGTAATTTTATGTTTAATATCCTACCTTTACACATGTATTAAGTATTATTTATATTTGGTTCAATAACATTCTAAATAAAATAATAATTTAAATTCAATAATGTACATGTTATGAAAAGGAACATTACTAATTCTGGTAAGAAAACATATTATTTAAGTAAATTTGAATTATTTAACTATACAATATATTAGATTCTAAAATAACAAATTTAGTAATAAGTATAATTCTAATCTGTGTTAAATGAATGAATGTTCTTACATTAAATAAAATTTTACTCAAATTATAATATGACTTGTTCAATTTTAACAACTTACCCATCTACTGTAGATAGTTCACCACAAACATATGAGTCATTTCTAAGATCAATTGTAATATTTTTGTTTTGTAGTGATTTTACTAAACACAATAAAGTGTTATGGTAAAAGAATTTTTCCCTTGATGTTCCTATAAACATCATTATGTAAAACTTGTATTTACTCTTTTTAATGAATTTTAAGTATCCTTAAAAGAAAATTATAAAATATATATAACAAAACGAATTAATATTATAAGAAGATTGTCTAAATCATATTTCAGATTAGTGTATTAATAAATAAAATAATCAATTATAAAATGAACTGGCTATATTACTTAAATTTACTAAAATAACTAAGTTATACAAAAATAAAGCTATTTTTGTTTGACTATTACTAATCGTTCATCAGGTTTCGATTTCAATTCCAGTTCAGCCTTAACTATTAACCACTTATCATCTGTCTTTTCTGCAGTGAAGTAATAAATTCCTTTTTCTTTTTGTCCAGTTACAGGAACTTTAAATGTAGCAGTATTTTGGCTCCATGAGTTATTTTCAGCATCACTCAATTTAAATTTTTTATCTTTTATTGGCTCGCCCAGGAAGTGAACAGCTCCTGGATGCCTTCTTAGTATTTTTAATGCATCTTTGTAATAATCGTAGTTTCTAACCCTATCAACAAGTTTATTTTGCAAATAAAATCCAGTGGATGCAACAACAATGCCGCCCCATCCAGCAATTTGTACTAATCTGTTAGTGGATATATGCATAATTATAAAAGTAAACTTACTATATAAAGTAAATATAAAATTTTAAAAGTGATTTGGTTGAATTTTGGTTAGTGGTATGTAACTACAATGTAATACCTATGTACCTATATATATGTAGCAATATACTCTATGGTACCTATTGCCTAAAGAATAAAGATGTGTCAAATCACAAATGTCAACTCAATTTACTAACTCAAGTTAACTGGAGTTGGGCTTAACTCGAATTAACTCGAGTTGAATTCTCTCTGACTCGAATTTGGATTGGCGTGGTAATGAACGAATCAAGCGAGTACGCAATTATTGACGCGCTCTCATTCTTACGCAAGCGTGGCGATTCGTTCGATGTGTGCACCCTATGTACAGTCGTCAGCACTTCAGACTTACATTTATGTTGCAAAATCGCCCCTATACAACCGAATAAGATGCCACAGTGTTTAACTTAAATAGCTGTTGTCCATACTGCCGCCCGCGCCATAACGTATCAACCGAATGACAGCGTTATAAAATCCATAATAAAATTATAAATGTGAAAGTGTGTTTGTTTGTTTATCCTTCTTTCACGTCGAAACGGAGTGACAGATTGGGGTAATTTTTGGGTGAGAATAGTTTGAGGGCTGGATAGTGACATAGGCTACCCACGGGAAAACACGTTATAATACAACCCAAAACAATATTTATGATCAGAACTACTTGAAACTTGGTATTAACGCTCTTCAATGCAATCAAATAAAAATACATGTTTTAGGATTCTTCGAAATTTATCACGTAATGGGGTAAAATAGTGGATAAAAGATTGTATGAAACCTACCTTTTCAGAGTATTTTTTGTAGTTTTAGCGCGAGCGAAGTCGCGGGTTCTGTTGGTAATAATATAAATAAATGAATATAAAAAAATATAAATAATTATAATGCTCCCAATAAATATTTATTACGAATCTGTACCATTTTATAATATTGTTGCGAAGCCGATTCATTAAATTGGTACAAACAAAACAAATCATTTACTTCATTTTTCATCCTGTTAACTCGAGTTCAATTCGAGTTACGTGAATTTCTACTCGAGTTAAATCGAGTTATATTTTTTCCGAGTTGGCACATCACTAGATGTGCAATGCGACGTAGGCTTGAAGAAAAAATTACGATACATTGATGTAGCGATATTTTTGATTAGATATATCGATATTTTTAGCCGATATATTTTGGTCTGATACATCGATACAAAATATTCAATATTGAAAATCGTATGAAAAACGATATTTTTTTTCAAATTTAATTTATTACCGGAATATTTAGAAAAATTCAAAGCCGTAAAAGATAAGACCGCACGGAAAGAAATATATTGTATTGTCTATGAGTAGTATGTTTGAGTTTTCTTTGTGTTGCGTGTATGTGTGCGTGTACCTTTGCGGCGGCCATTATGCGTCACTCACTTTTAAATGCCGTAAAAACAAGTTTATAGAAGGAGGTAAAATGCCTTCGGTTTTATTAAGGTCTCATACAATTAAATAATATACATTTAATATAAAAAATACTATTACCTATTTTTGAGCCATAGGCCAGACTGAATTAAATACATGATTATTTTAAAACCAAAAATCTCTAAAAATTCGACCAATATATCGATATTTTTTCTTCGGGATGTCGAGGTCTAAATCTAATTTTAATAAATATTAAATATCGATTTTTTTTTTCACTGCCGACATCCCTAATTCGACTCGATGTTAGAAAACCACGGGCATCTAATAAATGCGTTTTTCTCCTGAAAATTCATATTAGTTTCCAAAGCTCTTGTATTATAATCTGTATCGCTGTATCGTTGTATAATCTATATTGGTAATTGCAAAGTATGGAGCTACGATGTATCACAATGGACTGGATAGAACTGCTAGAGTGTGCGTGAGTAGGGAAGTAATCACTAGGATAGAACATATCGATAAAAAGGTGTACAAATGTATAAAACTGAGAACTTGTAAATAAAAAAATAATTTATGATAAATTACGTACTTTATTGAACGTGGAAATGGAAACAGACAGCTTTATGTTAATTAAGTTTCAGAGAACATCGTTTCATTTAAGATAAACTTTTTTAACTAAATTACGCATCTGTTTTAAGTTTCTTGATGGACAAACCAGGCACAAAACTGGATTTTTCAAAATGTTTTGAACATAACCTGGAGTATTTAGTCGGCTCCCAATTTTCGCGTCTTACAGCCTTTATCCACTGATCTCTGATTTCCGGACATTTTGGAAACCTACAATAAAATGATTTAGTTTTTATTAATATGCTAAGCTGTTATAATATTTTCATAAAAATATAGTGCAAGATACGAGTATATATATAAAAAAATTAAAATAAAAAAAATAAAAATGCCTTTTATTTCACTTGCTTAGTTACATGAAATTGTTGAATTGTTAATGTTTTTACATATTTAATCTTAAAATATATCTTGTACATTCAATTGTTACATGCAGTCGTTAATAATTCTATATATCAAAGTAATAAATATATATATATATATATTACTTTGATATATATATATATATATATATATATATATATATATATATATATATATATATATATTTATAGATTTATTTAAATTATTTTATTATTTTATGTCATTATTTACTAGTAAATTAATTATATTTAATTTTAATATAATATTATAGATTAGTATTTACTCATTTATTTAATAATTTAAACAATTGGATTTCTTTATGTAATTATTTACTAGTAAATTAATTATTTTTAATTTTTATATAATATTATACATTAGTAACTATTCATTTATTTAAATAATTTAAACAATTTGATTTCTTTAAGTAATTATTTACTAGCAAATTAATTATTTTTAATTTTAATATAATATTATAGATTAGTATTTATTCATTTATTTAATAATTTAAACATTTCTTTATGAAATTATTTACTGGTAAATTAATTTTATGTAGGTACTCGTTTACGCAAGGATATCGACCATATTATTATATATTTATCGACAAAGTTTTGCACAACACAAGCCATGAGGCGTAAAACAATGCTTTCAATATACTTAAATTAAAGATTTAAAACCATAACTATTTATCACCACGTGGAAGTAATATGACGACAAAAATGTATATTTCATAAGCGAAATGAAAATTTTGCTTAAAAATGGTTATTTTAGATAATAAATGCCCACAAAGACTTACGTGTGAAATAATAATTCTGCATCTTTGACTGCTCTTTTAGTTGTTCTTGATGGACAAAACACAGCATAACACGACATAATTTCACTATGTAACACGTTATTCAGTCTTTATAGCGATACTTCCATTTAATTTAACTTTTAAATATGATGCGTCGCAATGTTGTGGCCTACAAGTCGGTCAAAAAGGATACGAAGCGCGGCGTTGCCAAACTTACAATAGCATTCTCGTTTACTCTATATGAAGATCCGTGTAATGGAAAGAGAAGCTAGACAGTGTGTTGACAGAGTGAACGTCGCCACTCGCAACGCCATAACGCTCTGTCCATTGTGATACATCGTCCTAGGTATGGACTATGGAGGGTAGAAGTAAGGAGAACCGTCTTGTATGGGGAATTAGTTGAAAAAGTGTCCACTTGTAAACAGCAAATTAGTGTTCGAACCCTTACCGAAATAGCGCTAGTGTAGGAAATGGAAATGATATGAATTTAGCAGTTATAAACAGAGTGAAGTGTGCTGGGTTGAGAAATGTTTGTCTGTATATTATAATAATTTCAAAAAATGCGCTGTAACAAACCGGAAATTTTTCTTTACTTTTTTAATTTAGTATCCTACTCTAATAATTTGTGGCGGTCCTTTTAAAATTCTTCCACTTGCTACTATAGCGCCATCTTAATTTGCTCCCTTTTAACGGACACTTTTTAATACATTGAGATGGTCCTCTTTACATCTACCCTCCATAATGCAAAGCTTAAAGACAAGGTTTTTATGTATGCGTACCCCTAGTTTCTACTTGTTATGACATACGTAGAATAGACGTATACATAGACGGTGCGATTGGTCCACCAGTTTAAGGTTGCTCAGTGTGCTATGGAAAGGGAAGAGCATAGCTCTAAGTTTCTCTAAGGGTCGGATCCGAAATGATGAATGATCGACAACGAATAATCCGACAGAGAACCAAAGTTGTATTATAGCCCAAAGAATTAGCAAGCTGAAGTCGAAGCGGCACAAATTCAGAATTGGGGACTTGGCCCCTAGCGGAGTGGGTGGTATTTCTGGATAAGGGACGTGATAGGGAGTCGAAATGTTAAATAAATTTTTTAATACAACAAAAGATTCAAAAGTTATTGAGACTTAAAGTTACAACATTTCCATACATTTTCATATATTTCTTTACCACCATTCGGAGTGGGTGGTATTTTTAGATAGGGGAGGTGACAGAGAGTCAAAATATATTAAAAATATTTGGAGGAAACGTACGACTAAAAAGTTATTGAGACTTAAAGTTATAACATATCTAACACATTTCCATACATTTCTTTACCTAAATAAGTGATTACAACAGATAAACATACCTTTAACGAATAGTACGCATCCTTTTTTATGTACATTACACATTTTCACAACAATTAATGCTTTATTGTATTTAATATTTTAATAATTTCACAACACAAACAAAATGATCTTACATTTTGACAAAAGCAAAACTGACACTTTGTTTTATATTACCGCTTAAATGACAACAGATTATATTTGATTATTTTTGCTTTTTCTGTTGGTAAAATATTAATATTAATAAATAAATAAATAAAAAGAAAAATATTATTTTCACTTTATAAATACATTTATAACTTTTTATTTGATTTATGTAAAATATATTGTTTTACAATTGTACATTTAGTAAAAAAAATCATTTTTTTATCTGTGAATATTTTTAATTATTTATTTATTATTCGTCATATCTGGGTTAGGTTAGGTTAGAACATTTAAGATTATTTATTTATTATTCCTCATATCTGGGTTAGGTTAGGTTAGAACATTTAAGATTATTTATTAATTATTCGTCATATCTTGGTTAGGTTAGGTTAGAACATTTAAGATTATTTATTTATTATTCCTCATATCTGGGTTAGGTTAGGTTAGAACATTTAAGATTATTTATTTATTATTCCTCATATCTAGGTTAGGTTAGGTTAGAACATTTAAGATTATTTATTTATTATTCCTCATATCTTGGTTAGGTTAGGTTAGAACAGTTGCCACAACGCACGAGCCGAGCGAGCGAAGCGAGCGTGCCGCGGTAGCGGCCGGCGAGTGCCATAAATGACTAGAAAACTAGAAAATTCGAATTTCACGCAAAGTACAAATAAAGACAATCATCTGGAGATCATTTTGACAATTGAAAGTGACGTTTTGACTCCAAGTGTCTAAATGGTAGTAATGTCAAAATAATGTATGGAAATGTTATAACTTTAAGTCTCAATAACTTTGACTCTTTTGTTGTATTAAAAAATTTATTTAACATTTCGACTCCCTATCACGTCCCTTATCCAGAAATACCACCCACTCCGCTAGGGGCCAAGTCCCCAATTCTAAACGGCCGCCGTCGAAGCTGAGGCCCACCGCCAGTGGGCTGGTCAATGGTCATATTTGACGTAGAACCGGTAACTGACGAAGTAGATGGGTTCTTGAGTGGCGACTACGACTCGGCAAATGCAGTGTAGCGCGCCCTCCAGCTAGGTGGAGCGATGATATACGTAAAGTGGCTGAGTATGAGTGAGCAGTGGACGAAAGCAGGTTGAATATGATGATGATTACGATGATGATGATAATCTTATATCTTAGATATGTTTATTTCGGAAGCGTGACATTTTTGAGTTTCATATTGCTGATAAGGGTGTATCCATTAAACACACTACTATGAAGTAATAACGTACATCAATGCTTTGGAAATAAATTAAAAAGGCGGCGGACGGCGGTGGCCAATGTCACTTTTTATCTTCGATCAACAATACTACTTGTTGATCTAAGTTTTTATATTTAAATAGGTATTCGAATAAATCGAAGTCTTTTCAGATATTTCTTTTATCATTTCTCGTTATTGAATTAATGTTTTTTTTCTTGATACTTTTATATTTAATATTAGGAAAACAAAGGAGTTCAAGAAAATAAAAATTTGATTTTGAACCCAATTGAAAGAAGGTTAAATAACATTTTTTTAAATTACAATTATTGTAATATAATAAAATAAATTAAACATTAGAGCGTTTTAAAATAATAACAACATACTTAATACCTCGTCTGTCGATAGACCTTTTAAAGGTCGATGTCAAAAAAAACCCTGTCTGTCAAGCGACCTTTTAAAGGTCGATTGGTCCCGATGTCATTTATGTGATTTCTCGCATTTAAACTATATTTATTTTTTTCTAACTTTTGTAACGTGTAAAGAAAAATACAAGCAATAATATCATACTACATGTCAAAAAAGTAATAACTCCAATAACATAAATTATTGTAATTTGTGCAGACAATTTATTTAAATTTTGACATTCTTTGAACTCAATACTTGTGAGTAAAAAATTAACAAAATAGTGTAAAATTATTAGTATAAGGATTGGAATATGATGGAAGGGTAAGTAATTAACAGTTTTTATTTCATAGGATGTGTATTGAATAGAGATTTTATACAGAAATTGTTATATGTCAAACATCGTAAGCATTCACGCGCGCTTAGTCCTTATATTTTCACTTTTTCTGAATTAAAAATACACTAGTGATAGCATAATATTTTTATTAACATGATTTAAATTTATAACTAAATAACTACGTATAATTGAATTTGTAAATTTTCTATTAGATTTTAAGTACCTAATTAATAATATAATTACACGTAACCCAAATTCGAGCCGCCATTTTTGACGGTGGTTGGATAGTATGGGGAAGGCTTTTTTAATATTCATTAGAATATTTTGATTGATGTTTTTTAGCATTATTTGAAATTTAATATTTTATAAATATTTTAACTGTTTTTCTAAAAAAAAATATTTTTTTTTTAAAACAGTACGATTTTTATTTTACAGATATAAGTTCAACTTACACATTACTTTAAAACATAAAAATAAAAAAAAACTTAACTGCATAAAAGCTAACTAAAAAGATAAAAACAAGTTGACAAAGGAATCAAGTATTATGCAGTTGGTGACATACACATGTGTGCGCGTATAGGGGGGTTTTACTGGGATTTTAAATGAAAAATTAAAACTTTGACCGAACAGCACGCAGTCTTACGATTTATTGAGAAAGAAAAATTTAAAATCACCGTCTGTGCTATAATGACAATATATAACGACGCCTGATAAAAAAAAGAGCATTACGTTGGTTATGTTACTTAATTAGCTTAAAATAACCCAATGGTGCTTCAACATGCCCCCGGCCGTTGAAAGCCTGCCTTTCAACAGGAATCTTCCAGTAAGGGACAAATTCTTGAACAGACACTTCGTATGACTCCATTGGCAGTCTTAATATCTGCAACCCTGCTGATATTATCCGTCCCGGGATGAAGAGCGACAATTCGTCCCATCCTCCACTTTAATGGCGGCAGGTTGTCGTCATCTTTGACAACAACAAGTGAGTTGAGTTTCAATGAGTCTTTGGACGTGTACCATTTCACACGTTGCTGCAGCTCGGATACATACTCCTTGCTCCACCTGATCCAAAAATGCTGTCTCATTTGCTCAATTCGCTGTAAACGACTCAGGCGGCTGCTAGAAGGTTCTCGCAGATCCTCGACTGGAAGTGAAGTAAGTGGCCGTCCAATCAAAAAATGTCCAGGAGTCAACGGAAGCACGTCGTCAGGGTCCGTAGATAAGGGCGTAAGTGGCCGCGAATTTAAAATACCTTCTATTTGAATTAGTACGGAGTTAAGCTCCTCGTACGTGAGATTACAATTTCCCAACACTTTAATTAAATGGTATTTGACCGACTTAACACCTACCTCCCAAAGTCCACCGAAATGTGGAGCATAGGCAGGAATAAACTGGAACTTAGTTCCATGTTGGGCAACGTCTTCAGCTAAGGAGTCACAGTTAAGTTTTAAAAAATTAGAAATTTCATTGTAGGCTCCTACAAACGACGAACCATTGTCGGAAAAAAGATTAAGCGGTTTTCCCCTTCGAGACATGTAATGCCTGTAAATAATTACTGCTAGTCAAGTCACCCACCAATTCCAAATGAATGACCTTCGTAGTAAAGCACACGAATATAACTATATACTTTACTATTTTACATCCGCGACCTTGACG